GCAAGAAAAAGCACAGAATCAGGGGTCCAACTCTTAGAACTGCAGAAAACCTTGGGGACCTGTGACACTAATGTCCCCTAAGTTGGCACTGGGACAAATGCCACTCCTTGAATGGGAAAAACACAAAGATTCCAGACTCAAGAGGAAATGCTAGATTAAACAAAATGAAACAGAGCTTTGTTTTGTTTTTAGCCACGGTACATCTCAGAGCCTTTCGTATGCTAACCTGGAACCAGTTTTTCTACACCTTCCCTATTAATCTTTTCAGAACTTTCTGTCCACTGAAAAATTTGGGACAATACATCTCCAAGTATTGTATGCAGACTACCCAGGAAGTGTCTCTGGTCCTCAAGAGATAAATATAAAAGCTGAGAGTAAGAATTTAAAGCATTTAAAGGAGGCACATGGAATGAGTCTCACAGTCCTCATGCATCTTAGAACCACTTATCAGTCTACCAAGAGTGGAAACAAAATTAGTCCTACACCAGAATTTGCTGAGCACTGGTGGCCCCTACCTTTATTATGCACAGGGGATGATGCCACCCACAGAGAGAGTGACTTCAAAGCCAAGGTCACAAGCTTCAGTAGCAAAGGGCTGACCCTAAGGGTTGCCAACTGGCAGCAAGATGGAAGAATAGCCAGTTAAGGAATTAGAAAAATAAAAAACCAGGGTCTAATGCCACTGAAAATGATTTACTGATGGTGATTCTGATTTTAAATGGCATCCAGCTACCAGAGCTCCATCCAGCCTGGCCCACGATCCCTACAGAGATATAAAATGAAAACCAGAGTCAAGTAGACAAAGCTAATGCCAAAATCCGGTGAAACACTCCATGCTGAAAAATAAAACCAGATTGAAGAAATCCAATCCTGAAATAACACATAGATGAAAAAAGTGGAGATACAGTTTGTAAAATGGGTGTGGTATTACAGGAAGCTAAAGTGGGAGGATTAAAATTTGAGACCTGTCTCAGCAACTTAGCATGGTACTGTCTCAAAAACACTTTTTTTTTTTTTAAAGAGCTGGGAATGTAGTGGTAGAGCAACCCTGGGTCCAATCCCTAGTACCGCAAAACAGAAAATAAAAAGAAGTAGTTTGTAGCTCCCCACTCTATCTGGCATTGACTCAGACCTGAAAGTAGGCAGGTAACAAATGAGCAGTGCTTAGCCAAGTGTGTGACAATAAGTGAGTGAGGACTATAGCAAGTGAGAGAGCACATGTCACCATCCACAGACTGTCAGCTCCAACCAGCTGTTGCCATGAGAAAAGGCAAGCCTAGCATTTTTCTTTCTTCCTTCCATTTTTGTTTTGTTCTTCAGTATGTTATTTTTCGTTTTAATTAAACTTTTGTTTAATTAAACTTGTATCTTTATATGCAGCTATTAGAAACAGGCTGGTTGTTATGGGGATTGTGAACTGAAATTGAATTCCAGGCATGTATGATTTTGTCATGATGAATCCAACTACTATGTACCAGTATAAAGCACTAATTTTTAAAACTAAGTAATAAATAAAGGAAAAAAGAAATCAGCTAGGTGTGGTGGCACATGCCTGTAATCCCATCTACTTGGAAGGCTGAAGGAGAAAGATAGCAAGTTCCTAGCCAGCCTCCACAACTTGACAAGACCCTATCTCAAAATACAAACAAAATTTTTTTTTTAATTTAAGAGTCAGAGTGTAGCTCAGTGTTGGAGTACTTGCCTAGCATGCAGGAGGATCTAGGTTCAATCATCAGCACCTGAAAAGAAGGAGGAGGAGGAGGAGGAGGAGGAGGAGGAGGAGGAGGAGGAGAACAACTAGAGAGAAAGGAAGAAATTAATTAATTCAGATATTCCCTGTGCCCTTTACCCATTTCCCCCCCAATGATAACATCTCATAAAACTCTAGTGCAATATCAAACAAGAATGTTGACATTGATTTAGTCAAGATACAGAACATTTTCATCACCAGAAGGATCCTGTCACATCTTTTTAAAAAAGAAACAGAAAATCTGGATTTTTATGTGAGAAATCCCACTCTGTAAATACTGGCAATGAATTCACATGTTTCTAAAACCCTGTGAATATTCATTATGTGATGTCATTTATATTGACTTCAACATAAGCTAAACTAATTTCTAATCAAAAAAGGTAAGATAGTGGTCATCCTTGGTGTGAGCACAGTAACTGAAGAGGGGTACCTGGGTGCCTTCTGGGGTTCTGGACCTGCTATTTCTTTTATTTAATATATTTTATTTTATTTATTCTAATTAATTATATATGACAGCAAAATGCAATTCAATTCATATTACACAAATAGATCACAATTTTTCATGTCTCTGGTTGTACACAAAGTAGAGTCACACCATTCATGTTTTCATACGTGTGCTTAGGATAATGATGTCCATCTCATTCCACCATCTTTCCTACCCCCATGTCGCCTCCCTTTCCCTCTCTCCCCTTTGCCCTATTTAAATTTTGTCTATTCCTCCCATGCCCCCCCACCCATTCCCCATTATGAATCAGCATCCTTATATCAGAGAAGACATTCAGCATTTGGTTTTTTGGGATTGGCTTACTTAGCATTCTATTCTCCAACTCCATCCATTTACCTGCAAATGCCATGATTTTATTCTCTTTTAATGCTGAATAATATTCCGTTGTGTATATGTACCACATTTTCTTTATCCATTCATCTACTGAAGGGCATCTAGGTCAGATCCACAATTTAGTTATTGTTAATTGTGCTGCTATAAATATTAATGTGGCTGTGTCCCTTCAGTATGCTGTTTTTAAGTCCTTTGGCTATCAATAGAGGAGTAGGATAACTGGGTCAAATGGTGGTTCCATTCCCAGTTTTTCAAGGAATCTCCATACTGCTTTCCAGATTGGTTGCACCAATTTGCAGTCCCACCATCAATGTAATGTCCCCACATCCTCACCAACACTTATTGTTGTTTGTATTCTTGATAGCTGCCACTCTGGAGTGAGATGAAATCTTAGAGTAGTTTTGATTTGCATTTCTCTAATTGGTAAAGATGTTGAACGTTTTTTCTCATATTTTTTTTGATTGATTGTATATCATCTTCTGAGAAGTGTCTGTTCCTTGGCCCATTTATTGATTGCATTATTTGTTTTTTGGTGTTAAGATTTTTGAGTTCTTTATATATCCTAGAGATTAGTGTTCTATTTGATGTGTGTGTGGTAAAAATTTGCTCTCAAGATGTACGCTTTCTATTCACCTCACTGATTGTTTCTTTTCCTGAAAAGAAGCTTTTGAGTTTGGATCCATCCCATTTATTGATTATTGGTTTTTGTTTTTTTTTTTAAAAGAGAGGGTGAGAGAGAGAATTTTTTAGTATTTATTTTTTAGTTTTCGGCGACACAACATCTTTGTTTGTATGTGGTGCTGAGACTCGAACCCGGGCTGCACGCATGCCAGGAGAGCACGCTACCGCTTGAGCCACATCCCCAGCCCCTGATTATTGGTTTTAATTCTTGCACTAAGAGGAGACTTATTAAGGAAGTCAGGGCCTAGTCTGACATGACTGAGATTTGAGCCTACTTTTTCAGGTGCAGGGTCTCTGGTTTAATTCCTATGGACCTGCTGTTTCTTGATATCAGTTCATGTCACATGTGTGTGTTCACTTTGTGAAAGTGCATCAGGCTGAACACTTTTGATTGTGTACTTTTCTGAGGTATACAAATAAAAACCTGACTAGAAAAAAAGAAACGATGCCATCTCTACAGTCATAACTTTTTATTTTAATGAAAGTACACAGGAACAAAGAGAATTCCAAACGATGAGACAGATGTGACATTCTTATAAAACATTTATAAGAGTTTGCAGAAACAGTTAGTCATTAGAAGTTCACTGGCTTCTTGAAAAGAGGCGTCCTTGTCTCCCTGGCTCCACACAATACTTGACACCCTGAAGGTATTCAGTGAACTTGTGTGAGGGAGGAAGCAGCTCAGCTCAGCAGAAGGGAGCAGTTTTATAACAGTGGAAGTGGAAGTTTTGCCTAAAAATGCTTTCTTCTTGACAAAGTCAAACTCAGGTTGTTTCACCAAAAAGCCACTCCCATTTTGGTTTCCACCTCCTTTATTCTTTAATGTTTTTACAAAAATAGTTTGTAGTGATTTGTTCATAACAGCCAATGGAATTTAACCATAGTATTTGTAATAGGAAACCCCAAATTAACCAGGATTTTTAAATTTATGACTTTCCCTAGCAATAACCTATGAAAGACAATGGAATTTAGCAATAAAATCATTGGAAAAGTCTGATGTGCTAAATTCATTTCTCAATGTATTTTTTTCATGCTGTTTCTTTCCTCTAATATTTCTTTCTCATAGATTTTTTGTTTGTTTGTTACAAAGGATTTAACCCAGGGGTACTTTATCACTGAGTCACATCTGCAGCCCTTTTTATTTTGAGACAGGATCTCACTAAGTTGTTTAGGGCCTTGCTAACTTGCTGAAGCTGGCTTTAAATTTTTGATCTTCCTGTCTCATCCTCTCCAAATTGCTGGGATTGCAGGCATGGGGCCACCACACTCAGCCATACACTTTTTTTTTCTTATGGTAGGGTGTATATGACCATTATAATTTATTGTCCAAATGGGGGCATTTTGAATATGAAAAAATAGCATTTTTACTTTGGGGAAAAAAAGAAAAAGAAAAAAAGCATAAACCAGGACTGTCCCTGAACATCAGGATGAAATATCACCCTATTTTAAATATTTAGGTTCTCATTTCCATATTTATAGAATGATGGGATAGAACCTAGTGACTTCTAAGGACCCTGCCAGCCCTTTACATTTTTAAGAATCTATTGTTCTGATTTAAAAAGCTTCACAGTAGCAATTCGGGAGACTGAGCCAGGAAGATTCAAGTTGAAATTCAGCCACGGTAACTTAGCGAGACCTTGTCTTTAAAAAGGTGGGAGCGGGGGTGCTGGGGATGTAACTCGGTGTAGAGCGCCCCTAGGTTCAATCCCCAGAACTGGAGGAAAGGAAAAAACAAAAGAAACACACAAAAACAGCTTAATAAACAAGAAACTCCTATCACCTTTGAAATCCAGCTACACTCAAATCCTCAGAGGGCACAGTGAGCACTGAGCTTCCTGGTGGATCTGTTGAATGCTGCAAAGCAGCCAGGTGTTGAGCCACAGCGTCCCAGCCTCGCTGCCCTCCCCACCTTTTCCCTCGGAGGCCCTTGCCTTCGGGGCAACAAGCAGGTTGGACTCGTCGCTCCGAAGTGCTATGAGGTGGAAAGGGAGCCATCTGGCTGTCCCAGCGAAGGAGGTGTGAGTCCTCTTAGGTGAGTCAGTGTGAAAGAGGGAAAGCCCTCGGGCAGGCTCCGTGGGGGTCCAGCCCAGCTTCGGAAAGAGAGAATCAGGAACCGTCTCAGCATCAGCGCCCAGTTCTTCCACTTGTTCCAGGGGTACATGTCCTCGGAATGTCAGCATCTGCTGAACTACCTGTTACAGTACTAGCACAAAGGAAAGCGCGGGAGGAGGGGGGGGCTAGGGTTGTGGCTCAGCGGTAGAGCACTCACCTTGCGAGACCCTGAGTACGATCCTCAGCACCACATAAAAATAAATAAGTGAAATAAAGGTATTGTGCCCAACTACAACTAAAAAAATTAAAAATAAAAACTTTAAAGAAAAGGAAAGAGGGAGTTTTAAAGTTAAGTGGGGGGGGGGAGTTACTTTGTCACCTTAGGAACAAGCTTTTATTCTAATGATGCTGACACTATTTCGAACATTGCTAGAATGACTCTTTTGAAAATGCCCTAGAAGCTTGATTTTTTTTAAAAATCCTTCATGATGGCAAATCTTCATGCTTTGAAAGTGGGCTTGATTTTGTGACACATTGAAGTCAGATCAAATCCAAAGCAAGCAAAAAAAAAAAAATGACCAAACTGGGCACTTATTATAAAATCTTAAGAATGGTGACCTTGTGAAGTATATTAATGGTTCTGAAGGATTATTTAAAAAATAAATGCCCTAAAACTTATTTTGTGCATAACTAAGATTAGAGAATAATCCCCCACACAGTTATCCAGTTAGAGGTATACATTAATTGGCACTTTTCTTTTGGAGGATTAAAGCCTTTTATGATCTGGCTGCTGCCCACTATTCAGCTCTTCTTCCCCTATTTTCCAGACTCTTGAAACTTTATATATATATATATATTTTTTTTTAATCATGCCAAATTAATTACTTGCTTATGGTTACCTCCACGTATTTGTACATATTGTTCTGTCTACTCTGTCCATTTGGTAACCTTCATTTGTCTTTCAAAGCTGAGCTTCCATTCAGAGAAATATTCCCTGACCCCTGGAGCCAGAGTTAATGGTTCCCTTAGCACAGGGCCACATTTTATTATAGTCCTTGCTGCAACACTGTCATTATTGTTTACATGTTTGCCCCACTCTAGGCTGAGTCCCTTAAGGGCAGGACCCATGTCCTTTTCCTCTGTGTACCTCCAACACCTAACACTGCTATGCTCACAGCAGACTTTCCCAACACCTTTGCTAAACGAGTCCCTGCCCTCAAGAAACCCTCTCCTGTGTACCCCACATCTCAGCGACACTAGCAGCATAAAGCGCCCTCTGGTGGAATCTAGAAGAGCTACAAGGATAAATACAAAAACAATCCAGTTTTCACTTGATTTATTTTTGCATGCAAGATTGTCTTTAGGACTGAGATACCTCTACGGAACAAGACCTTCTCATTTTCCACTGCTTTCAGCCTAGGAGAAGCCACTAAGGAAGGGGAGCAAAGAGAATCTGTAATATACACTATTTATAATGTATACCATATATTTTAAATAATAATTTTCAGAATGTGTCTCCTACTTTGATTCATTCACTTTAAGTTTTAATCATTGAATCAATCAAGAATGGTGCTGTGTTGGGGTATAAAACCTAGAATTTGGGACATGCTCATTCATTCATTTATTTGACAAATACTGTTTTAATTGAATAAGAAAACTGAGGCTGTTTTTCATGTGTTGAAAAGACATCAGAAGATGTCATGTTTGACTATAAAGGACTCACAGTCTGGACTGTGAGTCCAGGACTTTTCCATCTGCAAAGAAGTGGAATACATGACATCACTTAATTCTTACTACTTTATTTTACAGATGAAGAAAATGAGAATGACAAAGATGAAGCAATTGACCCAACCAACTCAGCTCACTTTGGCTAGAAAATAAATAGAAAAACGAGGGTTTAATGTGGGCCCCACAGAATCAAAGCAAAAAATATTTTAGCATACATGTAGTAAATGGAGAAATTCCAAACAAACACAAAAATAGACAAAATAGTATAATAAAACCCATGTGCCTATCACCTACTCCTAATTACCATCAACCCCTAATTTCCATTTATAACTTTATCCACCTGTCCAGCATTATTTTTAAACAAATTGAGGATGTCATATCATTTTGCCCATAAATATAACTTCTGTTAAAAGATAAACTTTGGGCCAGGTGTGGTGGTGCAAACCTGTAATCCCAGAAGCTTGGGAGGCTGAGGCAAGAGGATTCCAAGTTCAAGGCCAGCCTTAGCAACTTAGCAAGGCCCTCCTTAGCAACTTAGCAAGGCCCTAAACAACTCAGTGAGACCCTGTCTCAAAATAAAACATAAAAAGGGCTGTGGATATAGATCAGTGGCAAAGTGCTCCTGTAATTGCTAGTACAAAAAAAAAAAAAGATTTAGCATTTACTAAACCAAATTAGTGCCAAAATTACCAATTATAGTCCTCAGTATCTGTCGGAGATTACTTCCAAGACCAAAATTCATGGGTGCTCAAATTCCTTATATAAAATGGCAAAATATTTGCATACACATCCTCTTATATTCTTTAAATCATCTCTAGATTATTTATAATACATAATACAATGTAAATGTTATGTAAGTAGTTGTATTGCTTAGGGAATAATAACAAGAAAAAAGTCTGTACAAGTTTAGTACAGATGCAATTTTTCAATTAAATATTTTCAATCAGCAGTTGGTTAAATCTGTAGATGCAAAACCTAAGAATACTCATAAATGTTATAAAATATTTTTAACCTACTCATTTGAATTAGGATCTAAATAAGGTCTAAAATGTGCATTAGGTTGATATATTTCTTCTATCTTTAGTTTATGAGTTCTCCCTTCATCTCTTTTATTTTCTTGCAATTTATATTTATTTAAAGAAACATTGTCTGATAGAATATCTTAAGTATGTTGGTTGGTTTGTTTTATCCAATTGTCCTATGTTCCTCCATATTTTCTATAAATTGGCAGTGTATTGGCACTGAACGGTTCTCAATCATTAGTGAGTGTTAGAATCACCTTATGTTTGCTAGGACAGGTTGTAGGGCCCCACCCTCAGAGTTTCTGATTCTTGTCTGAGGTGAATCCCTAAAATTTGCATTTCTAACAAGTTTCTATGTGACACTGACCACACCTTGAGAACCACTGATGTAAACTAGACTGAGGCCCAGTCACATTCTAGCTTTTCCAAAGCATGACTACCTCAGATGGTGTTGCGTTTTTCCTACGGGGGTGGTGGGGGGAGGTTAGTGTGATGTTTTTGTACATACCGATGTGTTCTTTGTGATGTTAGCAACCTTTGATGCTCAGTGCCTAGACCACTCATTCATCAGATGTTGCAGAATGCTGCTATTCTTTCATTCCTACTTCATTTACCAGCTACTTCTAGGAAGAAAAACTTGCTCATCTACTGAATTCTCCTACATCCCACAGCACCACAACAAGAATACATGTGTCTAGAGGATGTGGGGGAAAAGGTACACTCATACACTCATACATTGCTGGTGGGACTGCAAATTGGTGCAACCACTATGGAAAACAATATGGAGATTCCTTTAAAAAACTTGAAATGGAACCACCATTTGATCCAGCTATCCCACTCCTCAGTCTATACCCAAAGGACTTAAAAACAGCATACTGAAGGGACACAGTCAATCAATGTTTATAGCAGCTCAATTCAATAGCTAAACTGTGCAACCAACCTAGATGCCCTTCAATAGATGAATGGATAAAGAAACCATGGTATATATACATAATGGAATATTAGCCTTAAAAGAGAGTAAGATTATGGCATTTGCAGGTAAATGGGTGGAGTTGGAGAATATCATGCTAAGTGAAGTAAGCCAATCCCAAAAAGCAAAGGCTGAATGTTTTCCCTGATAAGTGGATACTGATACATAATGGGGGTGGGGAGGCTGGGAAGAATGGAGGAACTTTGATTGGACAAAGCAGAGGGAGAGGAGGGGAGGGGAGGAAAGATGGTGGAATGAGACAGACATCATTACCCTAGGTACATGTATGACTGCACATATGGTGCAACTCTACATCATATACTACCAGAGAAATGAAAAGCTGTGCTCCATTGGCATACAATGAACCGAAATTCATTCTGCTTTCATGTATTAACTAATTAGAACAAATTTTTAAAAAGAATACATATGCCTAACTGAGATGGTGGTACACACCTATAATCCCAGCTACTCGGGAGGCAGAAGCAGAAGGATCTAAAGTTCAAAGCCAGCCTTAGTAACTTGGCAAGGCCCTAAGCAACTTGGGGAGACCCTGTCTCAAAATGAAACAAAAAAAGGGCTAGGATGTGGCTCAGTGGTTAAGTGCCCCTGGGTTAAATCCTCAGTAAAAAAAAAAAAAATACACGTGTCTGATTTCCCTGTCAGTTGCTTCATCCTTCTGTTCATTTTAGGAAGAAACTGGAGGCTGGGTCCAGTGAACCAGGAAGGAGGAAGGCTTGAGAGTAATGATTCCCAGGTGAGAATCTCAGCTATTCACTAAAATGTGTTTTGGAAATGTGAGGGATTATTTGCGTGGGATGCTAAAGCAGCCAGAGGCTAGAAATGTTGGCATTTTGCAATGCACTAGAGCAGTTCAACAAAACAGAATTCTTCTACATGACATTCAAATAGTCCATGGGACATGACATGCATGGAGCTCATAGATGGTTTTAATATACATTCTATTTTCCAGGAATGCAACTCCCATACAATTTGAAGGAAGACTGATTCGTTCAGAACTTCATCAATAGTTGTTGATCATTTTGGAAAATTACATCTCTAGACCCCCTGTGGTATTTAGGTCGACAGCCTAACCCAGCATTGTGCATTTATTTGAAGTGGAGCATTCACATTGATTACACATACACAGATGAGCACCTGACCCTCTTATTGTCTTCTAAGGTAGTCTTGCCAAAGGATTTATTTTGTTATGTCCTCTTTTCTTTATATTTTTCTCTATTTAGTGCATCATCTGGACCAGAGTAGAAACTATGAGTATAGGTCGATTTTATTTTCTATGATTTCCTTTCAAAACATTAAAAGATACCTTATTAGATAGTTGTTATAGAAAGGGACAATTGAGTGGAGAAGTCAAATGCCCCTTTTGGATAGCCACTTATTATTCCAGGCTGTGCTATCCCAAATAACTGGGAACTATTTGGTGCTGGAGAGGAAATGACCCCAAATTAAGAAGAGACCTGGGTACAGAACTATGAAAGATAAGGAAAGTAAGATGAGTATGTCTGCATGCTGATATTAAAAATACATACAAATTAGATGCATACCTATTTGAAAATTAGTATCAATTATCCTTTTCTTTGAAAACACTTGTCTTTAGCTGGTTATATGTTATACATATTCATTATAGAAAAATTTCAAATATGTAGAAAAATATAGGAAGAAAATTTGAATTGCTCTATTTATATTCATGGGGCATCTTTGTAAGCATTTTGCTATAGATTTTTCTATAAATTATGCACTCATAATTTATATGGCAAAAATTCTACTGAGAAACTCTATGTTACATTGTTAAATTGAATTGATCATGAAATTTTACTTAAATTTAACTTGTAAATTCCTTTTGGTTTTATAATTATATAAGAGATACATAATGGATTCATGCTTAGTTTTATGTATTATTTTAAAAATAATTCCCATGAAATCACATCACTTCCAAACAAACCAAAGCCCCACTTTCTGCTCTCCTTCATTGCAAAACTTCTCAAAAGAGTTATCTGCATTCTGACTCTGCCTCCTTTCTTGCCTCTCATTATGTCAATATCTTTAGTAAAGAAATATAAGGCCAGACACAGTGGCACATGCCTGTAATGATTCCCAGGTGAGAATCTCAGCTATTCACTTAGCTGAGGAGGCTGAAGCCAGGAGAATTGCAAGTTCAAAGCCAGTCTCAACAACTTAGGGAGGCCCTAAGCATTAGCAAGATCCTGCCTCAAAATGAAAAATAAAAAGGGCTGGGGATGTGGCTCAGTGGTTAAGCGCCCCTGGGTTCAATCCCTGATACAAAAAAAAAAAAAGGAAATACACACACACATATACATGTTTATGGCTTTTTAAAAATCAGTTTGCTGAAGGCTTAGAAAACCCAAAAACCAAAAACCAATCCTGCTCCTCTTCTCTTTGTTCAATCTATTTTCTTTTACTCTAACCCTGCTGTATAGTCATTTTACTGTGTGGTATGTATGTGTGCATTTCTTTTTTCCTTTTCTTTCTTTCTTTTTTTTTTTTTGGTTACATCCCCAGCCATTTTGTTTTATTTTATTAGAGACAGGGTCCTGCTGAATTGCTCAGGGCCTCACTAAGTTGCTGAGGCTGGCTTTGAACTCACGATCCTCCTGTCTCAACGTCCCAAGTCACTGGGATTACAGGCATGAGCCACCGCACTTGGCTGAATTTCTTTTTTAAAGCATGATCTACATACAATAAAATGGACCCATTTCAACCATACAGTTCACAGGAGTTTTCACAAATGCATACACTCATGTAATAACCACCACCCCAATTAAATTACATAACATTTCTATTACCCCTAAAATTCCCTTCAGGCTCTTTGCAATCAATCTTCCACCTCAGGCCATACATAATCTCCTTTCTAGAGCTATACATTAAATTTTGCCATTCTAGGATTCCATATAAATGGAATTACATAGCACATGCTCTTGCATCTGGCTTCTTTTGCCTAAAAATAAGGTTTGGAGATTTGCCCATGTTGTTGCACATATCAAAGTTTTGCTCCTTTTCATTGCTTAGCATATTCTATTATGTGAACATGCTGTGATTTGTTTATTTATTCATCTGTTGTTGGGTTATTTTCAGGTTTGGGCCATTATAATAAAAGCAGCCATGAACAATAATGTGTGGATCTTTTTCTGGATACACATTTTTATTTCTCTTGGGTAAATGCAAAGGTATACAATTGCTGCTCTGTCAAAATAAAGCATATTCGCTGTGTAAGAACTGACACAGTTTTCCCATTGTTGCATCGAGTAGCATTGCACACTCCCACCAGCAACGTACCAGAGTTCCAGTCACTCCACACCCTCTCCAACACTTACTGTTGTCAGTCATCCTAAATTTTAGGCATTCAAGTGGATAAATAGTGGTATCTCATTGTAATTTGAATTTGCATTTCCCTTAATATAATGATATTGAAAATATTCTCATATGCTTGTTGACTATTTATGTGTCTTCCTTTGTGAAATGTCTATTTATATCCTTTGTCCAATTTTCTTTGTCTTTTTCAGTACCAGGGATTGAACCCAGGTCCTCGCACATGCTAGACACCTGCTCTACCACTGAACTTCATCCCCAGCCCTTTTTATTTTTATTTTGAGACGGTCTTGCTAGGTTGTCCAGGATGGTCTTGAACATGCCATCTTCTTGCTTCAGACTTCTGAGTTGTTGGGATTTCAGGTATGGGTCCTTTGCCCAATTTTTAATTGGGTTATTTGTCTTATTATTAAGTGGTAAGACTTTTTATATATTTAGGATACAAGTTTTTGTCAGATATATGAATTGTGAATCTTTTCTCAGTCTGAGGCTTACCTTTTCATTGTCTTAAATCTTTCAAAAAGCAAAAGTTTTTTTTTTAATTCTGGCAAAGTCTAATTTATTCTCTTTTTTTCCTTTTATGATTCCTATCTTTGTGTCCTAAGATATCTTTGCCTACTCCAAAGTCATAATGATGTCATCATTTCTTTTCTTCTCAAAGTTTCATAGTTTAAGCTTTTACATTTAGATCTGGCTCATCTCAAGTTAATTTTTTTAAAAATATTTTTTAGTGGTTGATGGACCTTTATTTTATTATTTATTAATATGCAGTGCTGTAAATTGAACCCAGTGCCTCACACATGCTAGGCAAGCGCTCTACCACTGAGCCACAACCTCAGCCCTCAGGTGAATTTTTATACATGATTTGAGATAAGGGTTGAAGTTCATATTTTTTCCTTACAATATCTATCTAGTTTTTCCAAGACTATGTGTTGAAAAGACTATCTTTTCCCCCATTGTACTATCCTAGCACCTTCATTGAAAATCAATTGGTTATATGTGTTAGGACCTATTTGGGGCCTTGCAAAATTGCTGAGTTATTCAGCTCTATTAAATTCCATTCTTATGCTAATTTCAGCAATACACTTTGAAATATCCCAAGGGTCAATAACAAATCAGTGGAAATGAGAATATATTTTAAATGAACAAGTAAAACAAGCATTCTAAAATTCATGGAATGTTACATTTGTCTAATCCCAGTGATTCAGGGGGGTCTCAAGTTTGAGGCCAGCCTCAATAATTGAGTGAGACCCTCAACGACGTAGAAAGACCCCATCTCAAAAGAAAAAAGAAAAAGGACTTGAGATATAGTTCAGTGGTAAACTGTCCTGGCACCAAAATAAAATTAAATTAAAATTAAAAATTCACAGAATATACTCAGAACAGTCCAAATGCATATACAGATGTTCTTTAATGTATGTCCTGACAACCCCATTTTGAATTGAAATATCTCTAGTCAAAAATACATTTAAAATACCTAACCCGCCAAGCACCAGGGTGAGCCTAGCCTGCCTTAAACATGCTCAGAAGATTTGCGTTAGCCTGAAATTGGACAAAATTTCTACATAAAGCCTGTTTTATGATAAACTGTTGAATATCACACTATCCAAAAACCACCAGGAACACAGTGCACTGTGCAGTTGTCAGTGGGTCTGGTACTCATTTCACTGGCTCAGGAAGAGATCAAAATTTTACATTTGAACCAAGTGCCCTGGAATGTGGTTGTAATCCCAGGGACTTGGAGGCTGAGGTAGGATGATTACAAATTCAAAGCCAGCCTCAGCAATTTAGCAACGCCCTAACAACTTATGGAGACCTTGTCTCAAAATAAAAAAAGAAGGGCTGGAGACTTAGCTCAGTAGTAAAGCCCACCTGGGTTCAATCCCCAGTACAAAACAAAATTGTTTGTAATTTGAATATGGTTGCTACTGAATATGTATTGCTTTCATATTATCCTAAATTCAAAAAATCATAACTATAATAAGTCAGGGACAGTCCGTATTAGGAAGTGGTCTTCACATGGAGAAATCCAAGGGCCCACATATCCTCTCCAGTAATTCAATTAATTAGTGCAAGCAACAACCTCATAAAACCTTTCCATACTTTAAGAAAGAGCATTTCCCCAGTAATTTTATGAATCTAGTGCAAACTTGATACCAAAACTAAACAAGGATATTAGCTAGACTGTGGAACCAACCTAGATGCCCTTCAATGGATGAATGGATAAAAAAAATGTGGCATTTATACACAATGGAGTATTACTCTGCATTAAAAAATGACAAAATCATAGAATTTACAGGGAAATGGATGGCATTAGAGCAGATTATGCTAAGTGAAGCTAGCCAATCCCTAAAAAACAAATGCCAAATGTCTTCTTTGATATAAGGAGAGTAACTAAGAACAGAGTAGGGTCGAAGAGCATGAGAAGAAGATTAACATTAAACAGGGATGAGAGGTGGGAGGGAAAGGGAGAGAGAAGGGAAAATGCATGGAAATGGAAGGAGACCCTCAGAGTTATACAAAAGTACATACAAGAGGAAGTGAGGGGAAGGGGAAAAATAATATAAGGGGGACAAACGAATGTCAGTAGAGGGAGCAGAGAGAGAAGAGGGGAGGGGAGGGGAGGGGAGGGGAGGGGAGGGGAGGGGGGATAGTAGAGGATAGGAAAGGCAGCAGAATACAACAGACACTAGTATGGCAATATGTAAATCAATGGATGTGTAACTGATGTGATTCTGCAATCTGTATATGGGGTAAAAATGGGAGCTCATAACCCACTTGAATCAAATTGTGAAATATGATATATCAAGAACTATGTAATGTTTTGAACAGCCAACAATAAAAAATTTAAAAAAAAAAAAAAGAAGATCAACAAACTATGCAGATGAAAGAGACCTAGAAGAGTGACACTCTCATTGAGCAATGGGCATGATTCACTTGGAATTGGAAGACTTGCATTGTGTAAGGAGAGGAGGGAGAAGAGAGTCAAATGGATGGTTCTACTTTCAAAGATTTAAAGGGAAATCTTAGGACTTAATGTGATTCTATTTACTATGATTTAATGTGATTCTATTTACTCTGACAGAAGTAGGGAAGGGGATTTGTACCCTTGACTTATTTTCAAATATATGAAGTTGTGGAGAATGGAATAGTCTACTTTGTAATTTAGTAATCATTTGCTCATGGGAATTATTCAAGATGAATCTGGATGACCAAAATAATTTGATTCTTGGAACTTCATTGAAATTAGTCTCAATGACCTATAAGATCCATTTGAACCCAAAGAGTCAATAATTGTTTATAGTAGTAATCATTGTCATGATATCAAGTAATATTAATTGAGAAAGCTATCATAGTATAATGATGATACAGATCATCATAGTATCATGACATTATTATATTTAGCCTGACAAGAACTTTATAAAGTTTTTATTAATCCCATTTTATAAATGAGGAGACTGAAGTCTTAGGCTAATTTTGACAAGAATATATGGCTTATAAGTGCTAGAGCTAGCACTTAAACTAAGGGTGCTCCTAATTCAGGGTTTCTGATACTACTTTTTGTCCTAAATTCTTTTAGTTTCTATGTAATTTAATGAGTTATAGTAGGTGATTAGAGTGAGATTTTTAGCCCAATTTCTATCTGCTTAGAGTGAATATATATGGGGGAGGTGTTGTGTTGTTAGACATCTAAATAATTCAAGGTCAACAGGAAAAAAAAAAAAACTAAACAAGGATATTCAAGAAAAGGAAAATTACAGGCTAGTATCACACATGAATGTACATGAAAAATGTTAAAAGAAATATTAAAAACAAAACATAGTAGTGCATAGAATTTATTTATAGGATTTATTCCAGGAATACAAGGTTAGTTTAACATTAGAAAATCAAGCAATATACTTTATCAATTCATAGAATAAAGTAGAAATATCATTGATTACTTTATAGCAAAATGGCATGTAATAAAGTTGACAACTGTATGTGATTAAACTCTTTGCAAACCAGAAAGAGAATGGAACGTGTGTGTATGCACACTAGGGATCAAATCCAGGAACTTGTGCATGCTAGGCAAGTACTCTGTCACTGAGCCACATTCTCATCCCTAGAAGTGACTTTCTCAATATCCTAAAGATATTTCTACAAAAAGAAGAGGGAAAAACTTACATCAAACGTCATATCTAATGATGAAATAAGATCTGAAATGCGACAAGAATTCCTACCCTAATCATTTTATTCAACATGTGGTATAGGCAAGAAAAAAAAATAGACTGGAAAGTTTCTCAGATGACATGATTCTGTATATAGGAAATCCAACATCATTTAGAGGTAAACTATGAGAATTAGTAGATGAATTTAGCAAAGTTGCTATATTTAAGGTCAACATATTAGAGAGAGATTTGATCATTGTTGTGGTTTGGATATGAGGTATCCCCCAAAAGCTCATGTGTCAGACAATGCAAGAAGGTTTAGAGGCAAAATGATGGGGTTATGAGAGCCTTAACTTAACCAGTGCGTTGATCCCCTGGATGGTAACTGTAGGTGGGGGGTGTGATTGGAGGAGGTGGATGCCTGGGGACATGCCTTTGTGGTATATATTTGGTCCTTATTGAGTGGAGCTCTCTGTCTCTGCTTCCTGGTGTGATGTTCTGAGCTGCTTCCCTCTGCCATACTCTCCTGCCATGATGTTCTGCCTCACCTTGAGCTCAGAGCAATGGAGCAGCTATCTATGGACTGAGAACTTTGAACCCATGAGCCCCAAAATAAACTTTTTTTCTTTAAAATTTTCTAGTCAGCTGTTTTGGTCACAGCAGCCAAAAAGCTTATTAAAACAATCAGAGAAGAAAAGCCATAGGGATGATATAGAATAAAGGATTTATTTTAGAGGTTTGACCTTACACAATTGGGAACTGATAAAATAGTGTCTATTTGGCTGCTTCTTCTGCAACTGGTGCTGAGAAAGTGACCAAGAAGATGGACATGAACTGGGAAAGAGAAAGGACAACTGGAACCCACAAGGATATCTCTGGAGGCTATTTTTTTCTTGCTCTCACCAGAACTCACATAAGCCTTATCCAGTCTCCAAGCTTCCAGCCTCGATTCCATAGGTGGCCTGCCGTGGAACCAGTTACTTTGGCCCAGTATATGAAGGAGCCAAAGAAAAAGATCCCTCAGAAACTTAAGCAAATGTGCGTCTAGCTGCTGCCCAGACCAACAAGGCAAGCCAGCAGATTTGCAAAAACTAACTTGAGCTACAAAAATTCCTCACCTATGTCAATCTTTTGAGTAAGCATAGCTACTACTTTACTTTTGCCTTGGGAAATTGGTGCAATGTTTTCCCATGGCTGACCATAACCAGAAATCTTTACTCGCAGTATGCAGAACTTCAATTTATTTCTATACAACTTTTATCAAATAGCATATGAAAAAATTTTAAATATCATTTATAATATCATCAAAAACATAATATGCCTAGGCCTTATTCTAACAAAAGGGATTTAAAAGCTCTACACAGAAAGCTATAAAACATTAAAGACATGAAAGACTTCTAAATAAATGAAGGTTCTAGGTACCATGACCATGGAACTGAGGACACAATACTATGAACATGTCAATTTCCCCCAAACCTATTTTCAGATTCAATGTAATATGAATACAATTTCCAAAAACCAAATCTTGACAACTATTTTAATTATTGGAATGTGACAAGCTGTTTCTAACTTTAAATGGAAATGCAAAGGGCTGAAAATGCCAAAGGAGAACAAGAAAGAGAAGAAGAAGAAGGGGTTGAAGAAAGAGAGGAAGAGGAGGAAATAACAGGTTCAGATCAATTAATCACTAAATTGCTTAAGAGCTTGAGGCCCTCCTTCCTCAGCAGCATGTAAAGAAGACCTCATCTTCTACAGTCAGAAGGCAGACTGAGCCCCCATACAGGTTTGTTGTTGGTTTGTTTTGACCAGGGATTGAACCCAGAGGTACTTAACCACTGAGCCAAAACCCCAGCCCTTTCTATTTTTTTCATTTTGAGACAAGGTCTTGCTAAGTTGCTCAGATTGACTTTAAACTTTTGATCCTCCTGCCTCGGCCTCACAAGCTGCTGGAATCACAGCCATGTGCCACCACATCCAGCCCCACACAGGTCTTAATTGTAAAAGTAGAATTTCAGAGGAGAGATTCAAATCTCAGCCTAGAAAAGTTGCTTATGCCAAAGTCAGAGGCATAATAAGGAAGAACAAGGACTCTGAGACTGGTCAAATATGATGAAAATCCTTGATCCTCCTGATTCCCCTGAACCTTTAGCCCTACAGAATTAGCTCATTTATTCAGAGGCCTCATATAAGTAGCTGATTTGTAAGACACCATTAGCCCTCCTTATGATCTGCCCTCACTCCCCTCTTGGCCATCAGATCAGTCACTAGAGTTAAATCTCAAGATGACTCTACTGAGGAAGTGCTAGACCTGTTAGAAGAGAGAGATTAACGTGCCAGAGCTTGCCAGACCTGGCTGACATGTAGTGGCAAGAACTGGGAGCTTCTGCCTGTGAGTGGCATGCAGATCAAGTTGGGAAGAATGTAAAGTTGGGTAGAGGAGGCTTTATTACTGTGGGCCACTTTTATGAACCAGTATGCGACTGAGAGGCTGATCTAATAGCTGCTAGTTAGGCTCTTGGGAAGTTTGGTTAAAGTGGTAGCTCATATTAAATGAAGCAGAGAGTCAGAATTGCTACAGCAAATTGTGGACCAAGTACTAAAGAGGCTCAGAGAACAGACCATGCTAGGATGAATCCTCTGTATAAGACCAGAAAACCCACCATCTATCTGACTTTGTCCCTCAGGGGGTTAACTAGGGAATTTGCCAAGTGCATTCCAGTGAGAGGGCACTAGTATTGTTAAAAGGCTCAACACTGGCCATGTTCTGTAGGCCAGATGCTCTCCTAGGCCTAGTTCCCTAGTTTGCAATGGGAATGATAGGGTCCCGAGGAGAAGAGGCCAGGTGGCAGCACTAACTTCCAAAGAAAGATGGCCAAATTGTCTAACTGCCAGCCAGGAGGCCTGATTCACAAGGATCTATGGAAATAGCTGATGGGCCATGGTAATCCTAAAGTCAGTGTGTCAGATTTAGCAAATAAAAATTTAGGCCATGGATGGTGGTGTGTGGTAGGGCACTTGCCTAGTATGCCTGAGGCCATAGATTCAATCCCAGGACTAGAAAAACAAAAATAAACATATATATGTATTTAATTTGTATAAAATATTTGAGTATTTAATATTGTTAAATATATGTTTAATTTCAGATAAACAACAAGTAATTTTTTAGTATAATGACATTCCCAAAAGAATCCAAGAATGGACAAACAGATGGCTGAGGTGAGTTTCCCCAATGGGAAGTCACAATTTCCTTTTGAGTGTCCAGAACTGAGTCAATTCTTACACCAGGACCCATCAACAAAACTAAAGGCCAGATCCCCATAGGTCACTTCAAATGATGGCATGTGTATAAAATATAGTAGTGATCCCACAGTGTCCTCCCCTGCCAGAGGACCTAGCAGGGTCCATATACTAGTAGAAGCTGAGTGACTATGGGACATCGACTAATCATTAATCCAGAACTGCCTGTTATTAACCGGGCACTGTCAGATCCATCAAGTCATAAGGTCAGATGGGTGGAGTGATAAGATGGAGTGAATACAACTCAGATCAAGCATGAATGAGGGTAGAAGCTGTAGCACTGGAGTAGCTGGTCCTGACCCCTGTGCTGCACCACTGCTTCACCCTTGGCCCCGCCTTGTGGTGGGCTGCACCAGCTGACAACAGAGAATAAAGCCCAAGCTTTGCCAACAGATCAGCTCAGTGTGTGAATGCAAGCCAAAAACAGAATGCTATAGGCCCGCAGCCCCCACCCAGGGATGGCCTTGAAGACAGCAGTAAGGGGAATTTCTCCCAAAGGTCAGAGTATCTAGCATCTCACCTGGTCATCCACTTTATTTGGAAAGAGAAGTAGCCTAATGTTAGAATATATAGATTCATGGGTTGTGGTAAATGACTTAATTTATCAGTCAGGAGCCTGGAGCAAATAACTGTAGAAGATTGGGGACAGAGACGTATTATGAAGTGTGAAGGTCTTTGTGTCACATGTTAGCATCCACCAGAAAACATCTATCATGGAAAATACCTACAACACGAAGTAGAAGAAAATAACTTGGCAAGTTAATGTCAACTAGCCTCTGTCCAGAGCCATCTCAACACTGGAACCATGGGAATAAGAATGTAGTCACCATGGTGGCAGTGGTGGAGGTTATGCCTGAGGATGGCACTGTGGGCTGGCCAAATCTGACCTAGCTACTGCCACTGTTACAACTGTATCCAATGCTGAGTCCCTGATTTGGCATCATCCTGGAGGAAAATAACCAGTCGCTTCTTGGTAAGTGGATTATAATGGATCCTTTCCAAAGAAAACCTGGAAAAATCTCAATTCATTTGATGGGACACATCAATTCATTTGACATAATCTGGGTATGGGTTTGACTTTCTTGCCTGCAGTGCCTCAGCTAGCTCTACAATCCAAGAGTTCACATGCTGCCTGATCCAACATTACCGGATCTTGCATACATCAAAACAGAACAGGGGACCCACTTACAACAAGGTGTCTGTGGACATATGACATGGGATCCTCTGGTGCCATGCTGCATTGAAGCTGCCAACCCAATAGATCAGTAGAATAGCCTTTTGAAGACATAACTAAGGTATCAACTCAATAACACCCTTCCAGGATTGGGCACTATCCTTTAGAATATGTTATCCTGAACTATCCATCTTAAACTAATGACTGTTGTAAGGTAGTGTGTCTGCAGCAGGTAGAATACATGTGTCCAGGATCAAGGGTCAGAAGTAGAAGCACCCGTGCTCACCATTACTCCCGGTGACCCACTTAGGACATTTATACTTCCCATCCCATAACTCTAGGCTCAAGTTTCTAAAGGCCACGGTTTCTAGAGGCAGATACTTGCACCACAGCAAACAGCAAGATTCCTAATAACTTTAAGAGACCTGTAGAAAAAATTTTTTTTACCCTCTCAATAGAGTATATCTCTCCTTATCATCAGGAGGAGGCAGGGCCACAGGGATCAGGGGAAATAGACAGCACCCAAGGGTTCTCTGGGACACGTCTACAAAGTTGACAGTAAGTGGGCAATCAGCAGCTAGAACCTGAAAGCCTGTGGGGACCAGGGGCTCAGACGCCTCCATGTCTTCCCTTAGGTCAGCGGAGGTGCCAGCTGGGGGCTGGGAATCATCCAAATTGGATAACAAAGAAAAGAGGTAACAAGGATCAGATGGAGCCCCCCCCCCCCCCGCCAGCGCCCGAACAGCTATGGGAGTACAACTGTAGCTTGTCCCACTAACTGCTTTTATAAGCTTCTCCAGCATAGAGATCAACCAGGATTCTTGAAGGGCTGTTTATGGATGGAGTAAAATTATTATAGGAGCAAATGGCTCTGAACAATGCAGGAGTGAATCATGGGGAGATGGTGTGGCACCACCCAGGCTCCCCTTTAGGACTGCCCCCTCCCCCATATGCTGGGATCACTGTGCCGTGAGAACTCACAGGTGAGCCTTGTCAGGTACCAAACTCAGGAGAAGCAGCTGCTTCGCCCCCCTTCACATCCGTCTCTGGGAACAAACAGCTCCCATCCAAAGACTGGATGGTGTGCTCCTCACCCAAACCCAGGACAGCTTTAAAAGGTCCTCCCAGCCTGAGAAGCCATCCTGTTCTGGACTCGCCTTTTCTCTTCCTCATCTCCTGGCTTCGGACATGACGCTTCCTCTGGACATTTGCCTGTCCTCCTCTCGACCTGGTTCATTCCTGTTCATCCTCAAATTTCAGATTATATGTCACCTGCTCAGAGAGACCTCGACCCTCAGACCCTCTTGGGTGCCCCCTTTCACCCCCACAGCACCAGTGTGTCCTCTTTCTTAGTATCATTCTCCTGAAGTGATCTGTTTCCTGATCACCTTACTTTCTTCATCCACAAGGACTACAGATCTCATTCCTGCTGTCTTACCATCACCAAGCACAAAACAACAGCACAGAAGGCACTAAATATTTACCAAGTGAATTTTGCCAAAATGTTTTCTAGTGTCCTAGCCTGCAACAAGTTAGATGATCTGCTTGAGACTAGGTTCCCTCAAGTTTGAAATGGGAATATAAAAATAATACCTACTGCTGGGCATGGTGTCACATGCCTGTAATCCCAGCCACTCAGGAGGCTGAGGCAGGAGCATCACAAGTTCAAAAGCCAGCCTCAGCAATGGTAAGGTGCTAAGCAACTCAGTGAGACCCTGTCTCTAAATAAAATACAAAAATAGGGTTGGGGATGTGACTCAGTGTTTTGAGTGCCCCTGAGTTCAGTCTCCAGTGCCTAATAATAATAATAATACCTTCCTTGGAGGGTTTTTGTTCTTGGTGCTAGGGATTGAATGCATGGGCACTTTATCACTGAGTACATCCTCAGCCCTTTTTGATTTGAGACAAGTTCTCACTAAGTTCCTGAGGGTCTTGCTAAGTTTCCCAGGCTAGCCTCAAACTTGCAATCCTCCTGTTTCAGCCTCCCGAATCACTGGGGTTACAGATGTGTGCCACTGCACCCAGCTGGAGGGTCATTTTGAGGATTAAATGAGATGTATCAGTAAAGCCCTGAGCATAGTGCCAGGACATAGTAAACAACTCACACTTAGACAAGCAGATTTTGAGGCTGCTACTCTTTACTCTTTCTAATATTGAGTATTATGTTTTATTGTTGTAAAGGTAACACAGGGAAACAGGGTTTATCATGATTTCACACCAACATGTATTTTCAAGCCGAAAGCTCTTGTTATAATGGATGGCTCCATCCTGCAACTCCATGCCAGGGACACCATAAAGAAAGCAAATGTTCGGTGCTTCTCTCTCTTCCTGTAACAGTTGGTGGGTGGGTGGGGCGGATATCTGAGAAAGGCGCCCTGAATGTGGAGGTACTCCACACATGGCCCAGGCAACTAAATGGCAGGGTTTCTCACAGCTCCTTCAGGATTTGTCTCAAGTCCTCTTGCACAACCTTAGGAGAAGTCTATGAGGCCCAGCTTTCCTCGGCCAGTCCAGGTGGAGGCCTCTGCCTCCAACATTTCCAAGTGACGTAGAACCACAGACCCAGAGGCCCCTCTGCACTTCCTGTGTGGTGTTCAGAAGCCCGCCTCCCCTCTCAGCCTCAGGTGCTTGCTTCAGAAAATGGTGAGTCTCCTCATATAGTGCCTCCCTTTTTCATCCTGGCATTGAGAACAATGACTCTAGGGCCCTTATATCCAGCAGATGTTTTGAAGACATCCTCTGGTTTCCTTTTCAGAAGTAATAAGCTGACTCTTCACCGTCTCAGTAGAGTGAGTGTCCAGTGAGAGAAGGATGCAGTCAAGCACTCTCTGGGGAGTTCTGGGACTCTGCCTCCTATCAGGTAAGTAGATTGGAATAAAGAAGGGTGGTGTTTCTCCAGTCCACTGGAAGCCTCAGAGACTTACTCGTGCAGCCCAGTCATACCAAAGAGCCTCATTTACCAGAAGATGTAAGGGACTGTGCTATCGGTTAGGGTTGGGGATTGAGGTCGGAAGCAAACAAAAGAAATGTGCAGGTGCCTAGGGCATCATTCAGGGAATAGCCAGGGAGAAGCAGTTGACAAGATCATATCAATTGAGAGCAAAAAGGTCTCTCTGCCACCAAGAAGAAGCCCACCCCAGTTCTTACTAAGCCCTTAAGAACTAACACAAGACATTAGAAGAGCTAAGCCCCAGCCTTTGTTTTGGGGAAATCAGACAGTTAAACCTAAACTCTGCACATAGTAGAACAAATTTAGTACCTTTGAAACAAACACCTCACAATTTTCAGTCCTTTTTGGATGCCCAAGAGCTTTCAATTAGTTTAGTCTTTTTTGAAACAAGGCAGGACATGAATTGATAAATAACCGAGAGCATTTGCATATCTCATGAGATAAATAATACAAAAAAAGTTGCCATTTATTGAGTGTCTGTACTATACAAAGAAAACTCCATTACATGCATTAACTGATTTAATCCTTACCTCCACCTTGGAGGAAAGATGTTATACCCTCTATTTTATGAAGAAATTAATACTCAAAGAAGTTAAATAACATTTAAAACCATACTGTTAGTAATTGCAGAAGCGGATCCAAGAAATCGGGACTATCTGTCCACAAGGCCTGTGCTCAGAATGGCCGCATTGCATGAGGCAAAATGGCTCCTGATAGTTTTATTTCATAAGCCTAGGAAATACTGTCTCAGCTGGGGCTCCTAACTCAGAGCCACAGCCATGGTGTCTTCACTTCCTGCTTCATCTTGGGTTGTTTTCTTAAGCTTGAACACAAAAATCACCTGGGAACCCTGTTAAATTGCAGCTTCTATTTCAAGAGGCCTGGAATGGAGACTGAGAATGTGGGCATTATGAGAATGTGCCCAAAATGCTCTTGTTACCGGACTGCTGGGCCATAGGCCCAACTCTGGGGGTCCCAACAAATCAGATCTGGCCACCTGCCCCAAAAACCAAATGGAAAAAGTAATGACGAAAAGCAGAAAAGGAACTGTAATCAAGATGGCCATATTGGGAAGGCAAATGAGATCAAGCTTCCCAGTCCTGTCTTTGGGATACTGATGTGTTAGGTTTAAACAGAAGAAAAACTGAGGCAGTGGACAAGTAGTATGCAGAACTAAATAATCTTGGTTAAACTGTGTCCTGGTTGATTATTATCTCAGTTCTGGTTCTACAAGGTGGCTCCAGGGAAGTCCTTGTCTCTTGAAGAGACAATCTCCCTTTGCTTCACAGGATGTTTATCAGACCTGGATCCTGGTGGGGACAATTCAGCTCCCAGGAGATGATTGCTCTTGCTTCAGGGTAGGGGGATGGTCTCATCAGGAAATTATCTGCCTTCAATTTTTCACTATTCCTGGAATGTCTAGGAGAATGACTGGAGACTTCTACGCATTGCTCCAGGGGGTCTGGAACAGGAGCTTTTTAAAAGCCAGCAGTTGAATGTCCCTGAAAATCTTAAAAATACCTTACTTACCTTTATTGTGGTGTCTTCAGTCTTGAAGGGGACAGAATGCCAGCTTGAGATGAACACTCCTTAAATGATTAACATACCTATGTGCAAAATTGAGCAGGATTCTAACACAAAAGTTTAAGTTAATAAATAAAACTGGAGCTGGGCACAGTGGCACATGCCTGTAATGCTAGCAGCTCACGAGGCTGAGGTAGGAGGATCACAAGTTCAAAGTCAGCCTCAGCAAAACAAGACACTAAGCAATTCAGTGAGACCCTAAATAAAATAAAAAATAGGGTTAGGGATGTAGCTCAGTGGTCGAGTGCCCCTGAGTTCAGTCCCTAGTACCAAAAAACAAACAAACAACAAAAAAAACTACTGGATACTAAATGAAGGTAACTTTTAGTTACCCATAGGGCATCTGTAGGCCCAAGTGAAAAGTCAGTACTTTTTAGCAAAGGCAACCTATCTAACTAAGTACCTGTTATTCTCTGGGGATTAAAGAGTATCTCACCCAACATAGAGGCTATTGGTGAACAGAAAACTCTCAGGCAGAGCCAGGGAAACTGGTCACTGTAATGAATCTAAGTCATGCTTAAGTGATTTGGGAGAGTCCAGAGGAAATGTGATCAGGCTCTTTAACGCATAGGCTCTAGGTTATGAGTGACTGGGGTTTCAAATATTTCCACTTGTCTCTAGCAGAAAACAAATGGAAAAACTGAGCCATCCAACAAGCAGAAGCCAGAAATGGAACAAGAATCCCGACGTTTGTAGCCAAACAAAAGCTCATTTTTTTTTCCACAGTCTGAGACCAGTTTCAAAATGGAGGCTTAGTTGCAAAATTCTTTTGCTATTTCTCTTGTCAGACAAAAAGCAGCCCCAACTTATTCTAACTTCTGTTTGTTGAATATTGTGTTGTCATGTTTAATGCTGGACGGTTCCTTTCTCTTTCTTCCCAAATTGACTGGATCAATCCCCAGCAGTAAAAGGCACTTTTCTAAAGTGTAGAAGCCACTGAGATCATACAGTGGCTGGAAAGAACTTTAGATGGTCATTAATATAATTATATAATTAATATAATTATTTGGAATTGCATGCACTCACAATATTTTCTAACTCTTTTTTTTTAACTATTTATTTTCCAGTTGGTGCTTGGGGGCAGGAAGGTAAGATATGCTCTCTTCACTATGAAATCAATCCAGGATTCTTAGTACAATCGTGTGCTGACAAACAATGTTTCAGTCAACAACTAACAGTATATACAATAGTGGCCCCATAAGATTGTAATGACTCTGAAAATTCCCTATCACCTAGTATTTTTGCTATACATTTTCTGTTTAGATGTGTTTAGATACACAAATACCACTGTGTTGTAGCTGCCTATAGTATTCAATAGAGTAACATGCTATACTGGTTTGTAGCCTACAAGCAATAAGCTACACTTTATAACCTAAAATGTATAGTAGCTATACCATCAAGGTTTGTGTGACACTCTATGACATTCATATAATGACAAAATCATCTAACATCATATTCTCAGAAACCAACTGTATTTGTGAGTGGAGAGCTTCCTCTTGGCCTCCCACAGAGCTTCCTCAGAGACCAGTGAAAGGGTTTTCTACTATTCTCTTTTGCCTTTTCCTGATGAAGCTAGCCCAGAATAGGGAATCAGAGATTATAGTAAGAAGCCAGTCTTGATTCCAAAAAAGAATTGAGACTGTTAAAATAAGTTGAAAGTACCAACAGTTTTCTTTTGCTAGCCTCTCCTATTTGATGTGCAATTTTGTAAAGAATGTGTGGCTGGCCAGAATGCATGCTCATGGTTGCCTGGATCAACCTCAGGGCAGCATTTTGCTGCACATTCAGAATCACATCTGAATACTCTGAATGTGTGTGCCAGGTGTGTCTTTGTGTGCACATGCATACAAGTGAACCGGGCCTGGACTTACTTTCTCAACCACAGCAATAGAGTCCATAGTGTCCCAATACTGGAAAAGTCTATTCAATAGCTCCTCCAAACTGAGGGAACAGCTACTATGTTCAAAAGCAGAAATTGTGCCAGTCTACTTTCCACTGGGCTGCCTGACTTGTGGTGTCCTTGGCAGTTATTTTTACAAATGGCCATTAGGTATTTAAGGTAGAAGTAAGATCCAAGACAGCTTGTGATATGTAGCTGAGAGACTTGAAGATCCTTTGCTTTCTGACAATTGAGGGAAGAGTCCTAACCCTTGAGGTCAGGGCTTATCTTAGTTGCTGATAGGAATGTCACTCATGGTTTTTTATCATTTCTTTTTCAGATGATGAAGAAAATGGTAAGGGCATTTTCCTTCTGTACAACCTCTTTTCAAATGTGAAACAACATGGTCATAGAGAACACTCTCAGTAGTAAATAGTGAGAACCAGAACCAGTAGCAGGAAAAATACAATCACCTTTCAATGGGATCTGTATGAGATATGCCTGTCTTTGTTGCTAGCTGTCATGCTGGACTATAATAGCTATGCATGTATACATCCGTCCCTGAACTTACTGCTACAGAAAAACACACATCTGGGCGTGGGTTGGAGCATCCATGGATTTTTGTACAAAAATTTATCCATGAGTTTGTTTACCTGGTCCAATGTCTAGTCCACAGAAGGTGCTCAGTGAATATTTTTTGAATGAGTAAATGAACAAAAATATAAATGCTTTGCTAATTCCTTCTCCTCGGGGATCCACCTGTCTTGTATGAAAGACCAAAAAATGATATTAAAGTGTGTTGTATGCCATGATATGGGTAGATACAGAGTAAAATGAAGTATAAAGAGAGGAATGGTCAACTCTGCAGAATGTAATTGAAGAAGGCTCCCTGGGGGTGGCAATTCTTGAGCTGAGTTTTAAAGGATGAACTGGTATTTTGAAGAAGAGAGAGACTTTAGGCAGAAGAGAGAAGGGCATACAGTGTGAGGTTAAAGGTCTAACTCTGAAGCTGGATGGCCATGTTTGAATCCTGGTCCAACTCCCTAGTTGCTATATGTCTGAACAGTTAACTTCTCTTTGTACATCATCATGTATAAAATGGAAATAATAATGATACCCATTTTATGTTATTATAACTGTTGAAAGAGTAATTCTTTTGAATTCTTAGACATTACCTGACCTATAGAAGGCAGTATGTGAATTTTAGCTATTATTATATAGAAAGCACACTGAATCTAGATAATAAGCATTAAAGGGTATTAGATATGTGTGTTCTAGATATTGCCCTAAATATCTTACCCAGATTTCCTCATTCAGTTCTTCTAACATTCCTACTCTACAGATAAGAAAACAAAGACTTAGAAAATGGATAGATAGCCCAATCATAAGGCATAAGTGTAAATTTATAAGATACTGAAGTTCATTTTCTTAACCATTATGAAATACCATGCATGTGTTTACAATCTTTGTGAACATACCTATTTGTAGACATAGACACATCTAGGCCCTTGTATGAGCACATGTAAATCTAAGCTCTGCTACTGAATTTGTGCGAATAAGGGTTGTAAGCAATTTTTTTTACATTTGTTTTTCAAACAAACCTACCAAGCCAAGCATACTGTCTATTTACTTTTAACTTATTTGCGATTTCTGATTCACATAATATTTCTAAAAAAATAAGTGCTGAAAAATTATTAAATCAAAATAATACCATCTATTGTCATTATATTCAACTTCCAATTTATCACCAGATGGAGAAGGATTTGTTTATGTTGTGTACAGTCACAGCCAAATGACTATCTGGGTGGCAGAGTCAAAGCTCAATTCTGTTCTCTATGGTATCAGGACCCCAAGAAAGAAAGGAGAAAAGAAACTAACATTTTTCTTTTTTTGTAAGTTTTAAAAAAATTTTTTTAGTTGTAGATGGACACAATACATTCATTTTATTTGTTTATTTTTATGTGGTGCTGAGGATCAAACCCAGTGCCTTATATGTGCCAGGCAAGCGCTCTACCACTGAGCTACAACCTCAGACCCCAGAATCCATTTAATTCTTACAAATGGAGATTTCCCTGATGAAGAAACTGAGGTTCAGAGATGTTAAATGACTTCCATTGCACACATAGAGTAGGGCAGATCTGAGATACAGACACAAGATTTATGTCTCAGAGTCCAGTGCTCTTTATCCATTACCACAGTGTCTCTGAGATAATATAAAGCCACTTTTTATTGGGAGAATAATTTCCTTAAAATGTGTAGAGTGATTCACATCATTTAAAGGCAATAACAGAGAAAAGTACATGGAATAAAAAGAAAGGTATTTGATTTCTATTACAAAAGACTTTGTTAGTTATAAGAAAGAATTTCTGGCTGGGCACAGAGGCACATCCTTATAATCCCAGTGGCTCTGGAGGCTGAGACAGGAAGATCATGAGTTCAAAGCCAGCTTCAGTAACTTAGCAAGATCCTAAGTGACTCAACAAGACCCTATCTCTAAGTAAAATATAAAAAAGGGCTGGGGATGTGGCTCCATGGTTAAGCGCCCTAGGTTTAATTCCCAGTACAAAAAAAAGGAAAAAAATTTCTGGGGTTGGGGCTGCAGCTCAATGATAGAGCACTTGACTAGCATGAGCAAGGCCCTGGGTTCCATCCTCAGTACTGCAAAAAAAAAGGGGGGGGGTGAATTCCTAAATAAAGAGACATAGGTAAGGCCAAGAATCAGTGACCCAAATATGTGAAAGATTTTTTTTTTATCTCTGAGAAGATCCTTTGATATTTATCTGAAAGATAATCTAGCTAATGCAAGAAGATAAACCTGAAGTTTTTAGACTTTCTGAGTTGCAGTCCTGGGCCTAGGAGCACATGCTGCCACACTTGCAATTTGCTGTACGTGAGTCATGTCAATAAGTGTATCTCAGAGGCTAAGTGCACACATCATTTTCAAGACTGGGGCTCCCCTCTCTGGGGACTGATAGGGAAAGTGTTTAGACCCATTAGAAAAATTTTACCTCAAATTTAAACTTAAGCTGGGCATGGTGGAACACGCCTGTAATTCAGGAGACTGAGGCAGGAGGATCACAAATTCAAAACCAGCCTTAACAACTTAGGGAGACCCTGTCTCAGAGTAAAAAATAAAAAGGACTGGGAGTGTGGCTCACTGAGAACACCCCTGGGTTCAATTGCCAGTACAAAAAAAAAAAAAAAAATTAAACTTAAACCAGGACTTTTTCTTTCTAATCTTTCTTTTTTTTCTATTTGCAGATGACCTAACACAGATACGTGAGTTTATGGTCCTTTAATTATGCTTTGTCTGAAGATGCAGTTTGGTGGATTGTAAAGAAAGTAATCAAGAAAGATTAGCCTCAAAAACTGAAGGCCCGCCAAAAAACCAAACGCTGGATGTTTTCTTTGATATAAGGAGGCTGATTCATAGTGGGATAGGGAGCCCGAGCATGGGAGGAATAGACGAACTCTAGAAAGGGCAGAGGGGTGGGAGGGGAAGGGAGGGGACATGGGGTAATTAATGATGGTGGAATGTGATGATCATTACTATCCAAAATACATGTATTAAGACACAAATTGTATGAATATATTATGTATACAACCAAAAAACAAAAGAACTGAGGGCCCCTCAACATTATGTGCCGAACTCCCATTTTAGAAAAGTTTCAAATAGGGACCTTTGTGGGGTTTTCTTTACTTCCATCCTTCCCTCCCCAAGTTCCAGTGTTCCTGCCTATAACTGAAGCCAGCTTTCAGAGGGTGGTCCCTTCCTCACACACTCTCTAGCCAGTAGCGGGTAAAACCAGGATATGAATTTTATTGATTCTTTTGTCATTAGTTTGACCTTTGGAGAATTTTTCTGGTTTCTCCCTCCAATTTCCTTTCTCTTTTCTCTCATTCCTCAGAATACAAAGTCTCCATCTCGGGAACTGATGTGATGCTGACATGCCCTCCAAAAGCTCTGCAGGGCACAATAAATTGGGAAAGAAATGACAAAAAACTAGAAGGCGAAAATGACGAACAACTGATACTGAAGAATTTTTCAGAAATGGATAACAGTGGTTATTACGCCTGCTACACAACCCCAAGACAAAAAGAGAATATCCATTTTCTGTACCTGAGAGCTAGAGGTAACATTCTCCATGACTTCTCCAACCCAACTCACAGTCCTCTGATGTCCCAGGGCTTCCTTGTATACTCAACCCTGGGAGTGTCCAAGGCCACACAGCATCAGTATTTTCTAGAACAGATTAAAACACAATTTGGGGCTGTTTGGATAATCTCAGTCAGCTCTTGTTCTAAAATAGCAACTTCCCAAGGGACAGGCTTGGGTCATTTGGATTATGTCACACCCAGAATTACAATATGAGTTTATCTGATGCTTTATCCAGAGATACATTCTTTAGAGGGACTTGCAAAGGAAGCCATAGCCACTGTTTTTAAACCGTCTAAACTAGAGTATAATAATGAAATCACAAGGAGAGCTAACATTTATCAAGTGTTTATAAAATTTCAAGCACTGAACTTGCCAGGGATTTTTTTTCCATGTATTCTTCTCAAAAGCCATATGAGTTAAGTACTACTTTATTACCATTTCGTAGATGAAGAAACAGAGATTTTGTGAGTCAAAAATACATTGCACAATTCCCATAACTAGTGAGTAATGAAGCTAGGACTTGAACCCAAGACCGTTGAACTATAGCTTGCTAATTGTTATCGTTGTTATAAACATATTGAAGGGAAGGGCCTGTGGCAAGTGTGTGAGTATTGAGGGGAAAATCACCTTCATCTGTTCCTCCCCCTTTTCCAGTGCCCTGATATCTTCCCTTCTCTGTCATTTCTCTTCTCTCTGCCCCTGGTCCCTGTAGTGTGTGAGAACTGCGTAGAGGTGGATCTGACGGCTGTGGCCACAGTCATCGTAGTCGACATCATTGTCACTCTGGGCTTGCTGATGCTGGTTTATTACTGGAGCAAGAATAGAAAGGCCAAGTCCAAACCTGTGACACGTGGAGCAGGCGCTGGTGGCAGGCCCAGGGGTAAGAGCTGTGTCAGAGAACATTCCCATCAAGGTGGCGTCCAGCCTGGGACAGGGTGGGCAAGTCCCCAGGAAAGTTGAAACTGCTTCCTTAGAACATTTACTGTTCTACCAAAGTCTCCTTCTCCAAGACCACTCCTCTCCTTCCCACCCTAGAAAAGTGTGACCCCACTTAGGAAAATGAAGGGCTTCCTCAAATGCTTATCAGTGCTCTGCAGTAATCAGATCCCACCCCCCAGGCTGTGAGAAGAGAGACTTTGGGGTGTTCCTGCCTTTTCCTTTCTGTTCCTCCATGGAAAGAAATGATGGGAGGACTTGGGCTAAGGAAAGTCACAAAATGATAAGAACAGTGTGGGGGTCCTTAGGGATGGGATTGAAGAAAGAAAATGAAAAGGGCACTGGATGGAAAATGGGAGATTGTGGAGGAGAGACAAAGGGGACTGTCAACCTTGAGCTGGGTCTCACTGGGGCACTCAGCACTGCAACATTGGGGTTCCCCCTGGAAATGAATACTTCTCCCTTCCCTCCTCTGTAGGACAAAAGAAGGAGAGGCCACCACCTGTTCCCAACCCGGACTATGAGGTAACAGGGATGGAGTGGACAGGGAGAGGTGGGGAGGAAGAGCATGCCCTTCTAGGGGGAGGGAACAGGTAGGACTGTCCCTCTCTCACCTGCCAGATACTTTGAAGGCCCTCACTCAGGGTTCCTAGGACAACTCACCATGGGACCACTTCTGCCTCTTTCATGGCAGAACAGACTAAGAGGTTGTGTGGCTTCCACACCCATGAAGGTGGGAATATACCTCTCTCTCTGGTTCATTCATTGGCTGGGATATAGCTGTGGAACATCACGTATGTGAGGTCTAATATGATAAATTCAGGACTGATGTTGCACTAGCATATACTAATGTAGTCAATCAGTTATTGAAATATGATAATGGTTTCATTGGTAAGTAGCCCCAAGCCTCCTGCCATCGCACCCACACATACACTCTCAGACATCACAGCCCATCCCTCTGCCTCTTGACCTGGTGACTAAGCAGCTAATGCCTGGCATAGGGGAGGACCACCAGAATTGTTCTCATTGGTTGGTGGGTGTGCACTAATAGTTATCACATATTTTTATTGTCACACTTGGACTCATTCTACAAATATTTATTGAGCACCAGCCAAGCATGTGATATTTACTTTCCCATGAGTGACTTCATTTAATCCTGACAAAAGCCCTGAGCACTTGCCTAGCATAAGAAAGGGCCTAGGTTCAAAACCCAGTATTTCTCTCTCTCTCTCTCTCTCTCTCTCTCTCTCTCTCTCTCACCTGAGAGGTGAGTCTTTAGACTCCCATTTTTAAAATAGGAAAGTTGAGGCTCACAGAAGTACAGAATCCATGCAAGTCTACTACCTGTAAGGACCAACTTGGAATTCCCAGGTGCCTCCTGACTCGAAGCACAGCATCTTTCTACTGCACTACAGCTAGATCTCCAGAGCCATTCTCCCCCATGAGCTACTTCCTCCACCCCTCTAGCCACCCCTCTCTGTTCTACCCACAGCCCATCCGGAAAGGCCAGCGGGACCTGTATTCTGGCCTGAATCAGAGAGGAATCTGACAGCTCTGGAGGATCGCCTACGTCTGCCTCTCCCTAGGCACCCTGCAATTCCTTGTTCCCTGGACAAGTTTTGGACCCTACAAGAGAATTGTTCTTCAGTCTCACGGTGAACTCACAACATCCTGCAGAATTGTCTTTGGCTCGTTCCTTCCTGCCATCTCTACCTGCCGCCCAGTTCTAGGATTTTTCTGCTTCATTGTCCTTTGAAACATCATGGCTATTCAACCCCTTACACCCAGCCTGCCTGTCAGGATATTTATTTCTGTGATTCACTCCCGGCCAATTATTCCCTTCCCCCACACAGATATTTCTGCCTTCAAATCCCTCCTTTCTCTGCATATAAATTGTCCCTCATTCTGTAATCACAGTGGCTTGGGAGGCTGAGGCAGGAGGATCTCAAGTTCGGAGCTAGCCTCAGCAACTTAGTGAGGCCCTAAACAACTCAGTGAGACCTTGTCTTTAAATAAAATATATAAAAGGGCTGGGGATGTGGCTCAGTATTTAAGTGCCTCTGGGTTCAATTCCCAGTACCAAAAAAAAAAATGTTCCCTCATTACTAACAATTTCATTTAACTTTCCATTTTCCCAGCTCTCTCTCTCTGCAGCCTTCTTTGTGGGGGACTGGGTAAATGTTGGCAGAAGCCCTGTCCCATTCACAGATCCTGGCCCAGAGTCAGCCCTGAGCCCCCTTCCCTGGTTCTTACTGCAGGCTACTGGATGATCATTCGCAACTCCATGAATGCATGTAAGCTCCTCTCTACTGACAGAGAAAACAAATAAAGTGTGTTTGGCTGAAAGAATTGCTGTCTCTCTTTTCTGGCATGTCCTCAGAGGCTACCTTGCTTCACAAGATAACTCAGGTGTTCCCCACCTTTGGTTCCAGTTAGTACTCACATTTAATATTCCATTTACTACTGCAAGTACTACCTGTTTTTCCGGCTGGTAGAGGTATTATCTGAAGCTCTCTTTAAAGAGGGAAATAGAGGCAGAGATGGGGAGGTGCAGATACAGAAAGTTTAATTCCTCTTGGAGGAAAACGCCAAAGGTGGCAGAGAGTGACTGATGGGTCCCTGATGGAGAAATCAGGTCATAAAATGGACAAGATAGAAGTAATCCCAGCAGCTCGGGAGGCTGAGGCAGGAAGATCATGAGTTCAAAGTCAGCCTCGGCAACTTAGCGAGGCCCTAAGCAACTCAGTGAGACCCTGTGTCTAAATAAAATATTTAAAAAGACTGGGGATGTGGCTCAGTGGTTAGGCGCCCCTGGGTTAAATTAAAAAAAAAAGTCCATAAAAAGGTAGATCCAGGTAACAGAAATGAACAGTGGAGGTATAAGGGGGGCCTTGGGGATGGGACACAGGTTTCTGCAAGCTGCCAGGAAGAGCTGCTGAGCTGGGCTGGGGGCAGTGGAGGAAGGAGGTACCCCTCCCTCCTGCTCTAGAGGCAGCTGCCTGCAGCTAGAAGCGCTGCTGCGGGTAAGCCACACAGGATGTGGGCTGCACTGGCATGGGGGGGTGCAGCAGCCGGGGGCCCAGGCCAGTGTGGGAAGGCTTCGTTCTCAGTCTCCCCTGACTCACAGTCAGCTTGCTGAGAGAGGAAGCCAGAGCATGAGCAAACTGTGCTAGTCCAGCTCAAACCAGCGTGCTCTCTCTGCACTCAGAAATCTCCCTTGACCAAAGAGCTAATTACAAGTGTGACCACAGCTAAAATTACCTTTTGTGAATAGCACAAAAGCGTGAGCATCCTGCACATGCTCAGCCTTGGGCTGTGGCTACAGATTCTGATTGTTGGCCCCTGATGAAGGGTCACTTCTTTTCCTGTAAGCATCAGCACTTAAGCTCAGAGCCTCAGTGACCTTGCCCATCGCTAACTGTTGATCAGTAGGCTGGCCCAGGGATGGCAGGTGTTGTCCCAGGTATATTTGATTATGCACAGTCAAGGGAAGACATAGCTCAGCATGATAAAGACAATAATAATAGCTCACACTTATTGAACATTTACTATGCTCCAGAAACTGTGCTTGGCCCTTCTTCACAGCTGTAATCTGATTTAATCTTTAGAATGACTCCACAAGATAGATGTGTTGCTCTTGCTTTACAAATGAGGATAGTGAGGCTCAGAGAAGTTAGGTCTTTTGCTCAAGTCACAGTTAGTGAAGGGCAGGGCTGGAATCAGTAGCCAGGGTTATCCAACTACAATGGTCTCAACATCTACCCTACTGACTGCGATCTAAGAACTGCTCTCCATCCTGTCAAATGTCCTTGGAAAAATAGATGGACAGGTTGAACGTGGAATTAAAATAGAGAGCAGGGTTCCTACTTGGGGCAGAGACAGGATAAAGGTGAGGAAGATAAGCAGGATGCCAGGGATGCAGAAAGTAGGAGGGTTATACTTTTTAGAAGAACCACAGATTGCAGTAGGATTACAGTAAAGGTGGGCACAGTGGAGAGGGGTAATGGAGAATAAAGGAAAGATTAAAAAGAGAGAAGATCAATTTCTGACACTGGCCAAGATGGAGTAACAAGAATTGAATTTACCCTTCTGCCTAAACAATTAAAACATGAGACAAAAAAAAAAAAGTTAAAACAATTTTAAAGACATCGGACATCAGGCAACTGTGGACAATGATTCCTGAGAAATGGGAAGCACGGTGAATCCTAGGATTGCTCCAGTTTATGGTCTACAAATAATTTCCATCTGTGTGGCTCAAGGAGGAAGTACCTAAGGAGAGCCCAGAGATCTCCCTGAGGGCAGGCAAGGAAGATGGGAGGCCAAGCAGTCTTGGAGGAGAGTTTGCAGGAGAGAGTGTAAGAGAAGAAAATTCTTAATAAGGACACCAGAGATCTGAAGAGGACCCCTGCAGTCTTCAGCTGAATAGTGATCAATATACGCCAGAGAGGAAACTGCAAGAGGTCCAAGAACCACTTGAAAGAATTAGAGACAGGGTCTCACACAGCACTAGAAATAACTGCTATGACCTCATAATTCAAGGGAGGTTAGGAAAAACTGTGTGCTCACATGACAAAAGAAGCAAGTGATCTCTCTAGAGTTTCTTCCATAAGGCCAATAATCATGTTCATGACCTGCTCACCTTCCAAAGGTCCCACCTCCTAATACTATCACCCCAGTGCTCAGGACTTCAACAAATTGCAGGGGGAGGGGGTGATACAACATCCAGGCCATACAGTTATGAACAATTTTATGCCAATAAATTAAACAACTTAGATGGAAAGGATACACTCCTTGAGAAAGCTCATTGAAGATGAAATAGATCCTGAATAGCCCTTTATTTATTAAATAAGTTGAATTTGTAGTTAAAAACCTTTTCAAAAAGAAAATCCCCAGTCCAAATGGTTCTCTAGAGAAATCTATCAAAACTTTAAGGAAAAAATAATACCAATTCTATGCAAACTCAGGCAGAAAATTGAAGACTTATCCTATGGAAACCAGACTTACTTGTATTGATTAGTCTAGTTGATTTTATATGTCAACTTGGGCAGGCCACAGTGCCCAGATATTTGATCAAATATACTTGAGTGTAGGCAATAACTTTCTCAATAGGACCCCCCAAAGCTCAGGGAATAATGCCAAGTGTCTATAAATGAGAGGGCATCTAATTGAAAAGTTTCTGCCCAACATAGGAAACAATTAAGAATGTGAAGAGAAAACCTGCAGAATGGCAGAAAATCTTTGCTAGCTACTCTTCTGACAGAGGATTAATGTCTAGAATATATAAAGAATTCAAAAAACTTTACCCCAAAAATCAAATAACTCAATTAATAAATGAATTAAATAGTTTCTCAAAAGAAGAAATACAAATGGCCAACAAATATATGAAAAAATGTTCAACATCATTAGCAATTAAGGAAATGCAAATCAAAACTACACTGAGATTTCATCTCACACCAGTCAGAGTGGCAGCCATCAAGATTACAAATAATAAGGGTTGGGGTTGGGGTTCAGTGGTAGAGTGCTTGCCTAGCATGTGTGGGGCACTGGGTTCAATTCTCAGTATCGCATATAAGTAAATAAAGGTCCAACAACAACTAAAATATATATATTAAAAAAGAAGAATACAAATAATAATAAGTGCTGGAGAGGGTGTGGGAAAAAAGGAACATTTTTACATTGTTGAGATTGTAAATTTGTTCAATTACTAAGGAAATCATATGGGGGTTCCTCAAAAGTTTCTCTACCATAGGATCCAGCTATACCACTTCTCAGTATTTATCCTGAAGAATTAAAGTCATCATATTACAGTGATCAATGCATACCAATGTTTATAGCAGCACAATTCACAATAGCCAACTACGGAACCAGCCTAGATGTTCATCAATGAATGAATGGATAAAGAAAATGGAAGGGCTGGGGATGTGGCTCAAGCGGTAGTGCGCTCGTCTGGCATGAGTGAGGCCGGGGTTCGATCCTCAGCACCACATACCAACAAAGATATTGTGTCTGCCGAAAACTAAAAAATAAATATTAAAAAAATTTTTTAAAAATGGAAGATATACACACAATGGAGTTTTATTCAGCAATAAAGAAAAAAATGAAATTGTGTCATTTGCAGGCAAACAGATGGAACTAGAGATCATTATGTTAAGTGAAATAAGTCAAATTCAGAAGGTTAAGAGTCACATGTTTCCTCATATGTGGAAGCTAGAGAGAAAAAAAGAAAAGAAAGATGGGGTGGAGCTAATGAAAATTAAAGGGAGATCAGTAGAGAAAGGGGAAGATGGGGAGGGAGGGGTAAGTGCTAGAGAGTGACACTGGCCAAATTATGTTGTTATATTGTATATTGTATGCACGTTCGAATATGTTACAACAAATCCCAACAGGATTATAATAATGCACCAATAAAAAGAAATGGAGGAAAAAAAGAAAAAATACATATCTGGATGTTGCTATGACAATTCAAATCAGCAAATTTTGACTAAAGCAGAATGGCCCTCCACAATATAAATGGACCTCATCCAATTGGTCAAAAGCCTTTGGAGAAAACAGACTGAGGTCCTCTAAAGAAGAGCGGATTCTGCCTCTAGTCTCTCTTTGGACAGCTAGGCCATCAACTCTTTCCTGGATCTCCAGCCTGCCAGCATACCCTGCAGATTGTGGACATGCCAGACTCTACAAATACATCACCCAACTTCTCCAGGGAAACAGAACCAATAAGAGATGAATATATGTGGTTGCCTGTTCTTTGGAGAACCCTAATATACCCTGAGATCTAAACCAAAGACATAAGAAAACCACAGACCAAAATCCCTCGTGAATACAGATCCTCCTTCCATGTTTTTTTCTTTGCCAGTCAGCAGCATTTGAGTTAAGCTGATCACTGTTTCATGAAAACTAGACTTACCAGGGTGACCAAAGAAGGACGTGCAATCCCTGCCTTGATCTGGGAACAGGATGGCCTGGGTCAGCACTAGCCCATAAAGGAATTTTGGTGCACATTAAAGGAGTTACATCTTCTGGGTAGACACAGCTGCACACCAATTCACACTGCTCCATGAGTGGCACCTGGGAAGGATCAGAGCTCCGACTCCAGGTGCCATCATATAGGGCATAACCTGCAGGCAGTGGTAGTCCTGGAGGGCGGTGCTCAGTAGTGGTGTGGGCAGAAGATGGTGACCTAGCTATCCTGGTGCAGCTCCTTTTCTTGCTCCAAAGGACTAGTTTGATTCATCTGGATGAGTTCAAGTGGAAAGGATCCCTTCTCACCACTTGCGATGGTTTGGCTGAAGAGGGAGACCTCTCTAATGGAAGATAATCTTTCGTGTCCAAGTGTGCAGATGGCTGTGCTCCCCTGCTGCTTCCAAGTAGGCTTTCATGGTTTAACTAGGAAGGAACCCAGTGTTGAGTCTTAATTCTGAAAAAATATGCTGTCAATCTGGCTATAGGTGAAGTTTGCATTTTCCCTCTCGATCTTCACCAATTCTCACATTATCTTGGTGCAATCTGTATCCAAGAAGTGAAGCAAATGCAAATGTGGTGAACATTCTCCATTACCAAAATGGGAAAACCGTCTTATCTCCTCATCAAAATGCTTACACCAGGAAATCAGCTCTCTTTCTCTCAGAGGCTCAGCTCTGCTGCCTTTGGCCCAGGCAGTATATAGAGTCTTCGAGCAGGAAAGAGGAGCTGGCAAGAGGAAACCACCAGGCAATCCCAAATCTTCCCTCCCTCCTCGCCCCACAATACCAGGGACTGACTCTATGGCACTCTTATCACCAAGCTGCCCAGTCCCAGCCCTTTTTAATTTGTATTCTGATACAGAGTCTCATTAAATTTCTTAGGGCTTTGCTAAATTGCTGAGGCTAGCCTTGAACTCACTATCATCCTACCACATCCTCCTGAATTGCTGGGATTACAGACACATGCCACGGTACCCAGCTGGTCCCAGGAGCTTAACAAAATTTCTTATCACAACTTTAGCAAATTTAATTCAATAATATAAGCAAGATTAATACATAATGACCAAGAAGAACTTTTTCAGGAAAGCAAGATTGGTTTAATTTATCATATGAACAGACTAAAAAAGTAAAATCATATAATTATCCTATGGCCGCATTAGCCACACTTGACAATATCCCATGTGTGGTTTTTTGTTTGTTTGTTTGTTTGTTTTTTATTAAAATATTTATTTTTTAGTTGTTGTTGGACACAATACCTTTATTTATTTTTATGTGGTACTGAGGATTGAACCCAGGGCCTCACATGTGCCAGGTGAGCACCCTACCACTGAGCCACAACCCCAGCCCCCTCTCACATCTATTTTTTGATAAAAATTCTCAGAAAAGTAGAAAGAGAGAAAAAAAACTTCCTCAGTCTGTTAAAGGATATCTCAGAAAAACCTTAAGCTAACATGCTTAATGATGAAGGACACTGCTTTCCACTAAGTTGGTCAACAAGGCAAGGATGTCTTCCTCTCCACCTCTGTTCCAATGTTACTGGAGTGTGTAGCAAACACAGTAAGCTAAGACACAGACATAAATCACATGCAGTCACAAAGGGAAAAGTTCGACCATCTTTATTAACAGATGACAAAGTCATTGGAAAAGAATCCATAGGAAAAGCAACTAGAATTAATGAGTGAGCTTTGCAAGTATTCAAGGTCCAAGATCAATACACAAAAATCAATTTAGTTCTAAACACTAGCAATGAACAATTAGAAATTTAAATTTTTAAAATACCACATACAACAGCATGAAAAATATAAAATAGGAATAAATCTTGACAAAAGACATGAATATGGATTAGAAGACTCAATATTGTTAGGATGTTGACTTTCCCCAAATCAATCTGTAAATTCAATGCAATCCTGATCAAAATCCAGATAGGCATTTTTGTAGTAATTGAAAAGCCAATTCAAATGCAAGAGCTGAGAATCTAGAGCAGTCAAAACAACTTTCTTTAAAAAAGAATGTCCCCGCTGGGCAGGGTGGTGCACCCCTGTAATCCCAGCTGCTCAGGAGGCTGAGGCAGGAGGATTGTGAGTTCAAAGCCATCCTCACCAAAAGTGAGGTGCTAAGCAATTCAGTTAGACTCTGTCTCTAAATAAAATACAAAAAGGGCTGGGAATGTGGCTAAGTGGTCGAGTACCCCTGAGTTCAATCATGGTACCAAAAAGAAAAAGAATATCCCCGTCATTTATACAAAAAAAGCATATATTTTGCATATTGACTAGCATCTGAGAGTTCATAGCAGCTTTATTTGCATAGCCTAAACCAATAAACAACTAAAAAACCATCAATAGGTACAAAGATAAACAAACCGTGGTATATCCACACAGTGAGTACCCTTGAACAATAAAAAGGAATGAACTATTAATGCATGCAACAAAATGCATGGTTCTCTAAACAATTATGCTGAGTGTAAGAAGCCAGACAAAAATGGTACATATATTATTTCAGTTATATAAAACTCTAGAAAAATGAAAACTACAGTGACTGAAAGCAGATCAGTGGTGCCTGGGGAAAGAGAAATGAGGAGAAGGATCTTCTCAGGGTGCCGAATATTTTTCATTATCTTGATTGTTGATATTTCACAAGTACATATATAAGTATGTACTTGAAAACTTGCAAAATTGATCAGTGATAGAGCTCATTCTTACCATATATGAGGCCCTGGGTTGAATACGCAGCACACACACACACAAATATGCATTTCATATTTGAAGTATGGACAATTTATTCTTTTTTTTTAGTTGCCGATTACCTTTATTTTATTTATTTATATGTGGTGCTGAGAATCGAACCCAGTGCCTCACACATGCCAAGTAAGTGCGTTACCACTGAGCCACAGCCACAGCCCCATGGACAATTTATTCTTGTTTCCTGTTGTTTAAAAGAAAGAGAGAGGGACACACACAAAAAGAGAGAGAGAGAGAGAGGAGAGAAAGAGAAAGCCCAGAAGGGACACAATTTTCCAAAAAGCTCAGATGGAGGGAAGTGTTTCTAAACCTCAGTTTCACATCAGAATCACTGTAGGTAGCTTTAAAACACCTGGGGCCCATGTGGCAGTGGGGGCAGGTATGGAGCAAGAATGGTTAATGGGTGCAGTTGGATAGGAGGAATCATTTCTAATGTCCTATAGCATAGTAGGATAACTAGGATTGACAAATACTTAATTATATATTTTAAAATAGCTAATAGGATTTTTAAAATATTCATAACACAAAGAAACGACAAATGTTTGAGGCAATAAGTAAACCAGTTACCCTCATCTGATCAGTATGCACTGTATACATGCATTGAAACATCGTGCAATATCCCCCAAATTTTACAATTATTATGTAGCAATTAAAAATTTTTAGTACCTTTATTTTATGTATTTCTTTTTTATATATGTGTTTCTTTTTATGTGAAGCTGAGGATGGAACCCAGTGCCTCACACATGCTAGGCAAGTGCTCTACCACTAAGCCACAACCCCAACTTAATTTTTTAAGTCCTAGGGCCCATCTGCAACCCAGATCTGTAAATTTAGAAGGTGGCATCCAGGCATCCATATTTTTTTAACTCCCTCAGAGATTCCAACATGTAGCCAGTGTTGAGAACTGGTGGATGTGGGATATAAGCAAATTTGAGGAAAGCAAGGTATAAGGAAGCATGCAGGGCATGAAAAGGATCCAAAGTGTAGGAGAAATACAGGCCGAGGAAGGGATGCCCACAGTAGAGGAGTTCAATGGGAAAGGAGGACCTAGGGAGAATTATAGTGGCTGGAATTTAAAAGCTAGGAAAAAAACATGCCTGTGAATGAAGCATGTGTACATTTAAACTTTATTCTGTCTCTGATGAAATGAATGTCTGCAAGTAAAGATAGGTCTTGAGGAAGGAAAGATAGGTATGCTAGGAAAAGGGGGACTGAAGGAACCTAGGCTACTATTCAACAGGGTCCTAAAGCCAAGGTCAGACCCTTAGTAGCACTGGGACTTTGTCACACACAACACTCTGTGAGTTTTGGAGAAAAATGAGTCCCTTGATGTCTCTGCCACCCCCACTTGTGACATAATGGAAACTTCTTTGTGACTGGCTCCTAAACACAGCAGCCAGCCCTCATCCGTGGTGAGGCAGCTAAAAGTGTGACAGGCTTGTGATAAGGGACTGGAGTCAACAAGTGGCAGAGGAGGATGGTAGGACAGACCCCTTCACCCTGGAAGCCCACTGGACTAGCAACAAGATGGGTTCCAGGGTGGGAGATGGCCTCTCACAGTGTCCATGTGTGACAGAGGAAGGGAAAAGATGAAGGGAGGCAGGGAGGGCCAAATCCCAGCCAAGTCAGGACAACTCCCATCCCCTGCCCCAGAGCCTTGAAAAGTGCAGGCACCTGCTGGGTTAAAGGGGACATCTTTATTGGCTGAGCAAAGAGAGAAGGCACAGTTGATAGTGATGCTTCTAGAAGCCACTGGGTCTCAGGGTCACTTGTTTGAAGCCCAGTTTCCTCCAAGACGGCTGTACTGACCATCATCATGATCTCGGAGAGGCTAAGAGGTGAAAAGGGAGACAGTGAGACAGGGTCAAAGTTCTTCTGCCCTCTCCGACACCCTCAATGATGGCTTCCTTCTAGAACGCTCCACAAATGCACATGACACATAGTGTCAGCTTCTCCATTCCCACTCACTCCTCCTCCTAATCTTGTCTCCCTCCTCTCAGGGCTCACCTGATAGAGCTGCTCGTTCCTCAGTAGAGTTTGAGTGTCCACAGCTAGAAGAACAAGGGAAGGAGTATCATTAGGGGTGAGGGGGGAAGGGCTAATGATACCCATGAAAGCTACAGAGGGGTCTGCAGCTGGTCATACCCTCCCATGCCCTCAAAAGTCTACATGAGCAATATGGGTGCACAAGTTTTTTCAATATCCAGTGGTAGAACATGGCAAGAATGACCCCCAGATGAGACCAAATCTACCACCAGCCCCATTCTTCAGAAGGAGCATGAGTTTGTTGATTTATATTCTCTGTTTCTCTACTAACCTCCAGAGAGCCTTCCAGTCTCATGGCCTGTAAAGCAGTAGACTCCCAAAGCAAGGAGCAGAGTGGCAACAATGTCAGCAATGATGATGCCAGCCAGGGTGCCTGGGTGCAGCTCCACACAGTTCTGGCACACTGGGGAAGAGGAGGAGTAGAGAGTTTCCAAGATCAGGGAACCATATCTGCCTCCTGTGGCAGCCGTAGGATCTCTCATACTAAGACCCAAACTTCATTAAGATCCTACTGATGGCCTTGCTATATCCTTCTCTCCCCTATCCCAAGGAATTCCCAAAGAGACCCAAGAAGTAATCTCGGCTTGATGGAACCTTAAACTAGGTAATGGGCTAAATCCCTCTGCCAACCAAGCCTGTGGTAACAAGGTCCCTACCACTCTGCCTTGCTGGATCAAGCTCTCTCTCCCTCTCTGAAGACCTCCAGATTTGACTCATGACATTACAAGAGTAACCCCAGTTTATTTAGAGAACAGATTGTTTCATTTCAGAGGCCCGCCATTCCAATCCAATGGGTCCAGGAGGCACATACTTCGATAATATATTTGCAGAGTGGACTTCTTCTTGTCAATCCCTTCACACATATACGTTCCTCGTGGGTCCAGGATGCGTTTTCCCAAGTCCAGATTTTTATTGACTGCTAACTCTGTTCCCACTGTGCCTTCTAGCCACACGACACTGGAATTGCAACGCAAAAACACCTTGTCCTCAATTTCCTCCACAGAGGGGCTCAGACTCGAGGGGCTCACTAAGGGAAAGAAAAATACCATAATCAGAGACAGCTGTTTGGTCTACACCAGACCCCTATTCTGCTGAGGATCACTTTGGGAGTACAGGATAGTCATGGTTTCTAATGAGAGAGGCAGAAGTGATAAGAGAAAGAGTTCAGGAAGTGAACTGCAGTCAGGAAGGTTATGAAGCCGTAGTAGAAGCAGAGAGCAGGCCCTGAGGGACTTGGGGCAAAAGAAGAAGCCGTGAAGCTGGGTTGATCCAAGAACCTTCCTGAAAATGCATTCAGACCACTGATTAGAAGAAGGAGGGAAGAATAGACTGCTGCAGTTCCCAGGAAACTTGGAAAGGCTCAAGAATGTTCCCAGGTTGGAGAGGTCTGCAATTATTCTACTAGAAGTCTTCTAATTCTACTCCCCAATCAATCCCCTATAACACTACCATTTCAACGACTCATCCTCTTTCCTCCCCCTTGTCTCTTCCCCAATATCCACCAGAGGAATGGGGCACTCACTCCTCAAGCCTTCCCCAGGCTTTAGATGATGGCTGGAGTGGGGAGTTGCTGCTATAAACTACCAGCCCAACGATCCAGATTTACGAGAGCAAATCCCATGTAAAGATTTTCAGTTGTTTCACACTTGCTTATGAGAAGAAGGACAGAAAAAATATATTTATCAAATTTATTATTGAGGCTTCACACACAAATCTTGTGGGGAGTTTAAGGCCAGAGGTGAGGCCAGATTCTTTCTAGAGCCACTGAATTTCTTTGACAGCCTGAGAGCATCTCCACAAGGGCACTGGAATCTATAATACCCATCCCAGGGAAAAGTGAAACTTATGTTCTCCCTGAGCTTCATATTCAGGGATTTGGATATAAAAACATTCTTAGAAAATAGTTATTTCTCCTGCATCTGAAGCAAGTCAGGAGTACATGTGTGCACACTCAGGGAGACATATGTATATCAAGTACTTTACTTCCTAGAGCCATGTCTTCTTTGGAATTGTTTCTAGCAGGATTGCTGGGTGTTCCAGGGTTGCTGTGAATTAGGATGACTATTTATTTTATTTTTTTTTTAATTATTTATTTTTTTGTTTAGGTGGACACAATATCTTTATTTATTTTTATGTGGTGCTAAGGATTGAACCCAGTACCTCGCACATGCCAGGCCAGCGCGCTACCACTTGAGCCACAACCCCAGCCCCTAGGATGACTATTTAACCCAGTTTTCCTGAGAGTAAGAGGATTCTGGGACATGGAATTTTCAGAGTTCTCTTGTTTTGTTTTCTTTTGTTTTGTGGTACTGGAGATTAAACCCAGGGCCTCACACATGCTAGTCTAGTGCTCTGTCACTAAGCTACGTCCCCAGCTCCATTTCAGTTTACTTTTTTTTCTTTTCTTTTCTTTTTTTTGAGACAGTGTCTCAGTATGTTGCCCAGGCTGGTTTTGAAATTCTCCTACTTCAAGGAATTCTCCTACTTCACCTTCCTAAGCAGCTGTGATTCTGTTTTAAAACGAACTTAAGACAAGAGCTGGGTGCAGTGAAGCACACCAGTAATCCCAGCTGCTAGAAGACTGAGACAGAAGAACAGCAAGTTCAAGGTCAGCTTCTACAATTTAACAGGATCCTCTGTTAAGATAAATAAAAATAAAAAAGGGCTATGGGGGCTGGGGATGTGGCTCAAGCAATAGCACGCTCGCCTGGCATGCGTGTGGCCCAGGTTCGATCCTCAGCACCACATACAAAACAAAGATGTTGTGTCTGCCGAAAACTAAAAAATAAAATAAAAAAAAAAAGGGCTATGGGTGTAGCTCTGTTAGATCACCTCTAGGTTCAATCCCCTGCACCACAACAAACAGGGATGTATTGGTATACTATTGACCATGTAATGATCTCCACACACCAATCTGCCCTTCTGCTTTCTCAACCTAAAATTAATTTTTCTCTTAAAGCATTCCCCTGAGTCCTGGAACATGACTCCAGATGGTCACATAATGATGGACAAATGAATAAGAGCCCTGAAAATACTGGAAGGAGTGCATATAGTTCCACTAAGGCACACACATACTGAACAATTTCCTACAGATCTCTGGCCTAAGCTCTTTAAAGAGAGACATTCAGGGCCAACATGTGCCCTGGCTAGAGTAAGTTGAAGCTAAGCACCTCTTTTCTACCTCTCAACCCTGCCCTCCTGACACCTAGGGTGCCTGGTGAATTGGAACAACATTGAGAAGCACTTTCCAGTGGACCTCTCTCCCAGTAGTAATGTCCTTTGCAGGGACCTTCCGCCACCTGCTTGGAGAAGCCTTACTTACCTTGATGGAGAATGGCAGCCAGTATCAGATGGGACAGAAACCTGCTGAGTTCCATTTTTTGGTAGAATTCACCCAGCAGATAGAGCCAGGTCAAGGAACTACCAACCAGAGTGAAAGATACCTTCCCCCAAATGATTCATGGGTATGCGGAAAAAGTAAAGAGTTGGGGAGGAGCTGTAAGATGTCTGCCTCTCTGCTCTCTGCCTTTGATGAAAGGAGTAGGTCAGGGGTGGGGTAGGAAGGAAGCAGTTGCAAATTGTTCTTTCTCTGAGCAGGGAGCTTGGGGTTGGGACGGAAGTCAAAGTAGAGAATATGGAGAAGATTGCCTGGACTTCTAGGAGGTGAATGGAGATTTAGGACAGCCTTTCCTGAGTCATTGGTGAAAAATGAGAACTTCACAGTCCCTGTTGACAACCTAACTACATTTACTTACTAGTTAAAAACTGCCACCTCTCACAGCCCCTTGAGAGAAGGTATGACCCCCATTGCACAATCCTATCAGCTAGGTTCCTCCCATTTCTGGTATTTCTCAGGACCCTTCCCTGGGCAGACTGGGACACCAGATGGAACAGCTTCTAGCCACTGGGAAATTGGACTTCAGAGCATCGCCAGCCAAAGACTTGAATCCCAGCTCCACTTCGAGAGCCAGGCATGGAATTCTCCAGAGCCTCATTCTCAGTATCATTATAAGGATTTGAAAAAAGTGTTTGTATAGTGTCTGCCACATCAGATGTGCTCCGTAAGAGGAAGTTATTAATAACAATATAATCAACTCCCTGGCAAAATTAAGCCTTCCCAGGAGACAATGTACTTTTTCCCCTTGTGACCTGTAGGGATCTGAAACTCCATACTTCTACAATAGGACTGAGCCATGTCTGTCCTGCTCACTGCTGGGATTTTGTGACAGGCACATAACAGAGCTCTGTGAATTTCTGTTGGTCACTGATTGACTGGATGAGGGAGACAGGGACCTCAGATTCTTGAAACTCAATCCAGGCCTTACCCCTGGAAATGTGCTGGCAGTCCTGTTGAAATTCTCCCATCTACTCTCTTCCAGGCAGGCACCACTTTATGATCTCAAAAAAATAGTGACAAAAATTCCTGAATGAAGGCCTAGTCAGAGGTGCTTTTGCACATGGAGTTCCAGCTCCAAGCACCCAAGAATCCTGCCTAAAGTCATTAGTTATAGCATCAAGTGACAACTGGCTGCAATCCTAGCAACAACAGGAAGCAGGATGTTTATCTCTCTCATGAAGAAAAGAGGTCAGGATCATACCCGAAACCTAGCATCCAAAGGGGTTCTCAGGGCAAGCCAAGTCTCTGAGTGGAAATTCAGTTCTCTCTCCCTCTCCCTCCTTACCACCTCCTCTGTACTCCTTAACAGAAAAACAAGAGGCATCTATCTGCACCTGCAGCCCTGAGAAAGCCCCTGCTGCCCACACTTGAAGCAGAGGGTGTAGGCTCTGGGTTCTTGCCTTTGTGCAGGGGCCCTAGGTGCTGGGCGGAGCCAAACCAGTTGCTGCTCAGGCTGGCTGGCTGCTAAGGCTTGCTCCACACTTCTGCCAAGAAGAGTAGAAACTGACATGGAGCAGGGGAAAGGTCTGACTGGCTTCATCCTGGCTATCATTCTTCTTCAAGGTAAGAGCCGCTAGGGGGTCTGGCAACCTGGAGAAGGGCTCACTGGTAGAGGCCATCACCAGAAAGACAGGGCTGCTGGAATCCTAACCTTGAACCTACCTCAGCAGTCACCCTGGAATTCAAAGAAGGAAAGGCAAAAATGAAACTTCTTACTGTTCTCAACTAGAGAGAAGTAATGTCTCAAAGGGGTTCTTATCTCTGAGAAATCAAAATAGAGGGCTTAACTGAGAAGACCTGCTGCCGCCATCTTAGGCTTGAATGTAGCCCAAAAGGGCACAGGCAAGAAAACTGAAAGGGAAAGGTACCTGTTCTCTGATTCAGAGATGGGCTTAGCAGTAGACCTGTGAATGACTCACTCACTCACTTGGTCAGTTGGCCAACTGGTCAACAAACATGGGTAAGATCCAAATGGGCAGATAGTGCAGAAGGATAAAAAGATAAATAAAAAGTTTCTGCTCTAAAGAGCTTATGGTGTAATTAGAGAGTTAAATTTCAATGTTGCCATACTAAGCATAAGGTGCAATCAGGGTTGCCTTAATGAATGTCCAGTTTAAAATATCCAATGGTCATCTGGAGTCTGGACACATGGAGGGAAGCCAAAACCACTATAGTTATTGATATTGCACAAGTACCATGTGATATGTGAGGATGGAACTGTAAGACACCAACTCTTATGAGATAATTAGAGGGGGGAAAAAAAAAACCTCAAGAAAGCAATGAAAGAATGATCAAGGACCTGAAATAATCAGAAGAGTACAAAGCATGGAATAGACAGCTTCCAGAGGAGAGAATTACCAAGACTGTGAAATGTTATCGAGAGTCCAACCACATAACAACATATTTAAAATTTAAGTTTGTGGGATCTGGCAAAATAAAAGTCATGAGTAATTAAATAAGAACAGTTTTGGTGGAATAGTGTGAGTGAAAACCTAATGGATGAAGGCAGGTGACAAAGGGCAGTGAGTATAGGCTACTCTTGAAAGAAACTTGAATGAAAGGCAGGTCGGATGGAGCAGGAGGCAGAGGTAAAAGTACAGTCTAAAAAGAAATATTTTTGAGGGTAAGAGAAACTTGAGCACATTTGTTGATGTCGGAAGTACAGAGCTAGGAAGGGAGTCAAGGGCACAGAGGGTAAGGCAATATTACCTGCTGGGACTAGCAGAAAGGAAATACAGATGGCTTGGCCATTGGGAGACTTGTAAAGAGAAAGAAGCTGGAGAAAAGTCTAACAGGACCTGTGTTCTCAAAAAAAACTAAGTGGAAGGCAATATCACCCGCTGAAACTGCGCTGATGATAGCCAAGTGGGAAACTTAAGAAGACAGGGAGAGTGTGGAATTATTTCTGAGAGAAAAGGGGTAAAGAGAGAGGTAACACAGGTTAGAGGGCAGCCCAGGAGCTGGAGGGAGCTTAGCTGCATATAGTGAAAAGAGCTTTGGATCAAGCAATAGAAATGTGAGCTCCGGGTCCAGCTCAGACACCAATGAGCTGTGCGTGCACTCTGGAACAAGGCCTCCAACCCTCTCTGGGCTCAGTTCTCTAAACAATCAATCCAGAAATTTTGCTATAGGAGCTCTCAAGTTCTGAAAGGAAGCAACACTCAGATGTAACAAACATCAGCAATAGTTCCATTTCCTTCCTTTGGAATCTGAGTTTGAAGCAATTTGGTGATCAATTCTTGGGGAGAAGGGCTGCTAAGAAATCTATTTAACTGTTATGCCTTTCTTCTGCATTTACTCCTTTATGCATTCAGGCATTTGTCCAACAATAAGAAGCTCCTACCATGTGTAGGCATTGTGTTGGGGACCATTCATAAGCAGTTCAGCCCTGCACAAAATTCTAAGATAGTTGACTCCTTCCAGCAATTTCTATCATACTTTGACTCCTGACCAGCTCTCTTCATCATACATTCTACCTCTAGCCACACTGCTTCTCTTGTCCTTTACCAAATCTGTATCTTCACTCACCTGTTTTTTTTCCTACCCCAAATGTCTTTCTCTGCCTAATGAATTCTTACAGGTTCGTTCTTCAGGATTCAGCCAAATTTCTCACAACAGCTTCTATTTTTTTTCAAATGCATTCACATTAGTACTAAAAGATAAGTTATGAGTTCTATTACATTAATTACATATGCTTATTTTTTCCACTTCATCTTAAATTCTTTGGAAGAGCAACTGGTTCTTGACATCACCACCCTTTTCCTTCACAATACTTTATCATGTTAGGTCATCATAATGCTCGGTAAATGTTTGAATTAAATCAAATTGAATTAATTCCAGAGCTATTTATCTGTACTACTCTACCATGCAACCTGTTATGGAGAGAGATTTGAGGGCTAATTGAATAGCTCATTTTCCTGGGACTCACTTTTCAGGGTTTCTATAATAAACTCACTTTTCAGGGTTTCTATAAGAAATAGATTGCCAAGATTTTAGAAATAAGGCAACTTCAAAGGCTTTGGCCACACTTACCCCTTGATAGGGTTTTAGTTGCTAACAGAATAGAACATTCTGGGCTGTATAGTCAATACCTTTACATATACTGCAATACAATTTGGATGCTAACCCCCCAGAGTTAATGGCAGATCTCACAAGTTAAGAGCATAGCTGCCAACAAAATTGTCCTCCCTGCAAAGGTATTCCCACAAATGCGGGAGTCCCCAGACCTCACTAACTGACAAACTAGCTGTATATCCAGAGAGTTCCCATGACTCCTCATGTTTGAACATGTACTAGAATGACTCACAGAACTCAGGAAAGTATTTTACTTACTGTTACAGCAAATATATATATATATATATATATATATATATATATATATATATATTCGGCTAAATGAAGAAACAGAGAGGGCAAGGCCTTGGGAAGTTCTAAACACAAAGTGTCTATGGCCTCTCCCTGGGGAATCAGAACCCATCACCTTCCCAGCAACCATGAAGCTCCATTACGTTATTATGGAGGTGCCACCACAGAGTCACAGTTAATTGAATCATTGGCCAGTTAACTGAATTCCATCTCAGCCACTCCCCTCCCAGGATTGGCAGCAGTGACTTCAAAGCCCCATATGGTTGGTCTTGACCAGGCCCATCCTGAGTCATTGCCTTAGCATGAGCTCAAGTACAGTCCAAGTGGGTACCAAGAATAGCAGATGCACTGCATCACTCATAAAATCCAAGGGCTAGAAACTCCCTTCCAGGAAGCTGGGACAAAAACCAAACAAATTCTTCATTATAATGTTGACTTCAATTCAGTAATTTAGGCTACATCCAGGAATGTGGGAACAGATTCTGTCATTCCCATGGGTTAGAATCCCTCTTGATCTTGACCTCAAATGACCATGAGAATACTTCAGGGCATCACAATAACTCCATGCCCACCTGATCCTCTCTCTGTTGTCTACAGGTGCTGTGGCCCAGTCAAAGAAAGGTAGGAAAAAACAGACTTCTTTCTGTCCCCAAACTCTGAGGAAATTCATAGAAATGTGACTTGCTACAGAAGTAGTGCACACCTCTAAACTCAACTCCTTGGAGTATTACAAGTTCCAGACCAGCCTCAGCAACTTAGCAAGACCCTTAGCAATTAGTGAGACCCTGTCTCAAAATAAAAAATAAAAAGGGATGTGGCTCAGTGGTAAAGCATGCCTGGATTTAATGCCCAATACTGAAAATAAAAAGTCCCTCAGGAGGAAACAGTTTTAGAAAGGATGAGGTGAAGGGTGATAGATAGCTGCTATCTCCATTATCCACCAAATCAGCCCTGCTGCAACCTGTTCTGGGCAGCTTTCCTATAGATAAGCAATGTCTGGTCCTTGCAGGAGAAAGAAGAACCTGGTAAATACACAGGTCACACGTAACTGTGACCTGCGAGCCAGTAGCATTGGCATCTCCTAGGAGTATGTTTATAATGCAGAATCTCTCCTCACCAGGACTACACATTGAAGTTTGAGGCACAACTTTATTACTACACTAAAGGTCTTCTCCTGGTACCCTGAGGTAGAGAGAATTTCAGAGGCAAGACCCTTAACAGAATATCGGGCTTTTCCTTTTCAGAAAAACGTCTGATAACAGTGAATGAAGATCGAGAAGATGGTTCAGTACTTCTGACTTGTGACTTGACCGACAAATACATACAATGGTTTAAAGATTCTCCAAATACACTTGTCCAAAATACAAGTGAAAAAACATTCAATATAGGAAGTAATGCCAAAGACCCTCAAGGGATATATTGGTGTGGAGGATCAGAGTACACTTCAAAGCCATTCCAAGTTTATTATAGAAGTATGTAATCCCCTTTGGTTTGTTTGTTGTGAAATTAAGTGGTGCTTACTCTTCTGGTGAGATTACTGTCTAGGATGAAGGTAGAAATAGATACTGAACAGTGACTACAGTAATAGCCATTTCTCTTCATCTCAGTTTGCTTCTTTTTTTTTTTTTTTTTGCTGGGGGATTGAACTCAGGGGCACTCCACCACTGAGCCACATCCCCAGCCCTTATTTTGTATTTCATTTAGAGACAGGGTCTCACTGAGTTACTTTTAGCACCTCACTTTTTTGCTGAGGCTGGCTTTGAACTCGCAATCCTGCTGTCTCAGCCTCCCAAGCCGCTGGGATTACAGGCGCTGCTTTTTTAACAAGACAGTTTTCTCATCTTTTTGAAAAAGCATAATTAGTCCTGTAAACGCTGGCTTACTTTTGGTTGGGTCCCATGAATTGGAGAAGCTTAGCAACACTGGTAAACTGAGTTGGGTGGGGGAGTGGGAATGTAAGGAAGATTACAAGGTGAGCAGCAGTGAAGAGAGGGATACAGGGGTGGGGAGAACAGGACCTGGGTTTTCTTCTATTCCACATAGTTCCTGGGCTTCCCTAGGACTTCTCAGTGAGGAACATTGAGAAGCACTGAGTTCTTGGTCCAAGGATCTTCCCTAACCATACCTCTAACAGAGGGAGAAGCCTGCCGCCCCAGACAGAAGCATTGTTGCTGGTAGGCAAGAGAAAAAGATCCAGGAAGAACAACACTCACACCCTATGGGAGGCTCATCCCTCACTGTGCCTGGTTTCCCCCAGTGTGTCAGAACTGCATTGAGCTAAATGCAGCCACTGTATCTGGCTTCATCTTCGCTGAAATCATCAGCATTTTCTTCCTTGCTGTTGGAGTCTACTTTATTGCTGGACAGGACGGAGTTCGCCAGTCAAGAGGTAAAAGAGGGCTGAGGGTATGGCCTAGTGGTAGAGCACCTGGCTAGCATGCAGAAGTCCCTGGATTAGATCCCCTGCACCACAAAAACAAAATGAGGAGGTAAAAAAATGTTCTTACCTGAGATGTGGAACCACCCAAGACCTTACCTTTCCTTCCTACCAAAATAGATCCAATAACAGAGACCATGCTGGCACATGTTGCTAATGTGCAGACTTGGGTGAGGCAGGAAAGAGACATTTGGTGTTACCCCAGTATATTTACCTGTTCTAAGACCCAACTTCCTCTGATTTGTTCTCTGTGTTTTTTGAAAACTCTTTACTGAAGTAAAACCTACATATAGAAAAGTGAATCACAAGCTTACAGCTGAAAACATTCAACAAAACAAACATCCATGCATCCAGCACCCAGTTTAAGAAAGAAAGTATTGGCCTGGGGTTGTGGCTCAGTGGTAGAGTGCTTGCCTAGCATGTGTGAGACACTGGGTTTGATTCTCAGCACCACATACCAATAAATGAGTAAAATAAAGGTCCATCAACAACTAAAATTTTTAAAAAATATAAAGAAAGAAAGAAAATATCACCAACACCATAGAAGCTCCTCTTAGGATCATTTTCAACCACTACCCATCCCACTACCCCACTACTATCCTGACTTCTAACAACAGAGATCAATGTATCCTATTTCATTGTGGTTGTTCTTTAGGCAAATGAACTCATGCAATAAGAATTCTTGTGCGTGGCTTCTCTCACTCAAAAATACACTTATGAGATTTATCCATGTTCTTGTGTATTGTTGATTCTTATACTATTTAGTATTCCATTGTGTGAATATGGTCTTTTTGTTGTTGTTGTTCAGGGGCACTTAACCATGGAGCCACATCCCAGCCCTTTTTTATATTTAGAGACAGAGTCTCCCTGAGTTACTAAGGGCCTTGCTAAGTTGCTAAGGCTGACTTTGAACTCATGATCTTCCTGCCTGTCTCCTAAGCCACTGGGATTTTAGGAATGCACTGCCATGCCCAGATGGACCATATTTTTAATATTAAACACAAATATGCCTTTTGTTTTTATCCAAGAAATAAAAAAAAAATAATATGAGATTGAAAATTTTATCAAAATACCAATGTCAATTTATCATTCTTATGTATGTGTATTTTATTTTTTGTGCAGCTTCAGACAAGCAGACTCTGTTGCCCAATGACCAGCTTTACCAGGTAAGGGATAAGGAATGAAAGACACAATGCCATCATTAGTTGGGATGAAACTTAGGGAGAGAAGCAAATCATTTAGAAACTACTGTTCAGAGAATGAACCACTTACAGCATACCAAATGATAAGATGATTGTCCTTTTGAGCAGAATGGGAAAAATAAAGAGAAGGACTGAAAGAGACTGAGGAAAAGTTGAAGAATATACTGAGAGGGACACATAAAGAAGCTATACACAGATCCTCCCTCTCCTCATCTTCTTTTGGCCCCTAGGAACATAAAGCACCCACTCCATATCCTTGCACATAAAAAGCATTCAGTTAACCAGGCATGGTGACACCCACCTGTAATCCCAGAGACTTGGGAGGCTGAGGATCCCAGTTTGAGGCCAGCCTCAGCAATTTAGCAAAACTGTATTTCAAAATAAAAAAACAAAAAGGGAAGGGATGTAGCTCAGAGGTAGAGCACCACTGGATTCAAACCAGAAAGAAGGAAAGGAAGGAAGGAAGGGAAAGAAAGAAAGGAAGAAAACAGACAAGCCAGGTACAATGGCACACACCTGTAATCCCAGCAGCTCAGGAGACTGAGGCAAAAGGATTTCAAGTTCAAAGCCAGCCTCAGCAACTTAGAAAGACATGAAGCAACTTAAAGGCTGTCTTTAAAAAATTTTTAAATTAAAAATGCTGGAGATGTGGCTCAGTGGTTGAGCACCCCTGGATTAAATCCCCAATACCAAAAGAAGAAGAGGAGGAGGAGGAGGAGGAGGAAAGAAGAGGAAGGAAAAAGAATTCAATCAGTATGCACCATATTAATTAAGAGTGGGTAGGAAAGATGGGTTTACTACTTTGCTGTCCTCTTCAGCCTCTCAAGGATCGGGAAGATGACCAGTACAGCCGTCTTCAAGGAAACCACCAAAGGAAGAAGTGACCTCAGGACTCAAGAGTAGGTGGTTCTTCAACACCAGTTCAGAGTAAGTGCCTTTACATCTCCTCTCCCCCAACTGCTGCCAAGTATGACTCTCTTCCCCAAGCAACTACAAAGATGTGTGTGTGTGTGTGTGTGTGTGTGTGTGTATGAGAGAGAGAGAGAGAGAGAGAGAGACACGCATGAGAAGCAGTTGACTGTGGAGTCCCTTTTCTACAAATACTGAGACCAGTACTGGTTGCCTTGACCTAAGAAAATATGAATGCTGTGTGTAGCTAAATCCTCTTAGAGCAGGGCCTCAAGCCACAGAGATGCTAAATATTAACCTTATTAGTGTCTCTCCACATCCTATTAGCATTTTGGTCTAGTTGATTCTTTGGGTTGTCCTGTGCAGATGCCAGTAGTAGCCCCATTATTATTTGGGGCTTACTGAAAGCGTTATTTGATTTTCCAACCAATTGCAATTTTTCTTTTTTTAATCCAGGTGTTCTTCCTTCTACTGAGTTCTCAGAATCAAAGCAATACATTTTGGAGAGCTCTCAGCAAAGAGATTTTCAGCCCTAATTCTAAACTCCAGGATTGCAGAAATGACAAACCAAGAGGAGGGGCCACCAGAGCAAATTTGGGTTTTTCTCAAAATAAAAGTCAAGGCTGGAGATATGGTTCAATAATAGAGCACTTGTTTATCTGTCTAGCATGTATGAACTCTGTGAGGCCCTGGGTTCAAACCGGGGTGGGCGGGGGCTGTAAAAATAAGCACAATGTGGTGTTTCAAGAGTGCCACCTATTGGTAAAAATGTAAATTGAAAGTAAAAAATAACCCCTCTATTAGAACAGATTTTTTTTTTTTTTAAGTTTAAATTTTTACTGAGTTTTTGTATAGGTCATAGTTCATGTGGCTCAAACATGCAGTGTTCACTTGCATTCCTATCTACCAGTTGCCTTCTCCATAGGTAAACCAGTTTCTTATATAGCTTCCCAAAGGTGTGTGTGTGTGTGTGTGTGTGTGTATCTTCTGGGCATTAAAGAGAAAATTCTCAAATACACATTTTTTTCCCTTCCCCTGTTTTTCACATAGATGATAGCATACTAGATATATTTCATTTCCCCTAATAAAACCTGAAGATTATATATTCCAAATAAAAATAACTATAAAATGCAGTCACATTGTATAGATTGATTTTAGTCATTTATTGATGGACATTTAAGTTGGTTCTAATCTTTCTCTTAAAACAGTGCTACAATGGCTAACATATTACTGTCATTTTAAAATAATTGCATTGAATTGAAATTTGTGTGCCACAAAATTCACCTATTTTTAAGTGATTCACCTGTTCTCAGAATTTTTAGCAAATTTACCCTTCACCATTACCATAATTCAGTCTTAGAACATTTCCTTATAACATCATTCTCTTAAGATGTGCTGTTTTGCCATCTCTCTGTTCTCACCCTCAGCCCCAGGTAACCACAAATCTTTTCTGATTTTTGTTTTGTTTTGTCTTGTTTTTTGTTTGTTTGTTACCAGGTACTGAACCCAGGGGCGCTTAACCACTGAACACCCCAAGCCATTTTTGTTTATTATTTTGAGACAAGATCTCAATAAGTTGCTTAGGCCTCACTTAAATTGCTGAGGCTGGCCTCAAACTTGCCATCCTCTTTTCTCAGCCTCCTGAGTTGCTGGGATTGCAGTGTGCACCACCACACCCAGCCTTTTCTGAACATTTCATATAAATGGAATCAGCATGAAATCTTTACATCCTTTAGTATGTTTTCAGGGTTCATCCATGTTATAACATGTTTCAGAATTTTGTTTCATTGTTGCTGAAATTAATTTTATGGATACTCCACATTTTGTTTATCCATTCACCAATAAATGGACATTTGGGTTGTTTCCATTTTTGCCTATTATAAATAATGCTAATATGTACATTCTCAAGCAATTCTTTGTGTAAATATGTTTTCAATTTTCTGGGTTAGATAACTAGAAGTGAAGAATTTCTAGATTACATGTCAAATTCATGTTTAACATTTTAAGAAACTGCCAATTTTTTTCCCAAACTGGCCAAACTATCTTACATTCCCATCAACAATGTATAAGGGCCACTGTTTTTCTGTATCCTCACCAATATTTATCACTGTCCATTTTTAAAAATATTTTTAATTGTCAATGGATCTTTATTTATTTATATGTGGTACTCAGAATTGAACCCTCTGCCTCACACATGCTAGGCAAGTGCTCTACCACTGAGCCATGACCCCAGCCCTTATCACTGTCCATTTTAAAATAGTTATTTTAGTGGATATAAAATAATATCATAGCCTTTGGGGGTAGGTACCAGGGATTGAACTCAGGGGTAGTCAACCACTGAGCCACATCCCCAGCCGTACTTTGTATTTTATTTAGAGACAGGGTCTCCCTGAGTTGCTTAGCAGCTCACTTTTGCTGAGGCTGGCTTTGAACTTGCCATCCTCCTGCCTTAGCCTCCTGAGCCGCTGGAATTACAGGCATGCACCACCACACCCAGCAATACCATAGTCTTAATATGCATTTCCTTAATGGCTAATGAACATCTATTCATGAATTTATTAGCTGTTCATATGTCTTTAGTGAAATGTCTATTTAGATCTTTAGCCCATTTTTAATTGGTTTGTTTATCTTCTTACCATTCAGTTGAAAAAGTTCTTTACATATTTTTTAATACAAATTCTTTATCAAATACATAATTTGGAAATATTTTCTGCAGTTTTTTCCACTTTTTTTTTTTTTTTTTTTTTTTGGTACTGGAAATTGAACCCAGGGACTCTACCACTGAGCTACATCCCCAGCACTTTTTAAAATTTTTTGAGATGGAGTCTGTCAAAATTGCCCAGGAAATTTTACAATCTTCCTTTTCAGTCTTCCAAGTATCTGGGACTACAGGAGTGTACCACCAAATCCAGCACTTTTCACTTACCTCCATGGTATCAAATCCAGGGCCTCACACATATTGGTACAAGCCAACACTCTGAATTATACCCCTCAGCCTTCCCCATCCCCCTTTTTAAAGGGTCTAAATTGCGTAGACCGACCTTGAACCTTGCAATCTTCCTGCTTCAAAGACCCAAGAAACTGAGATTACTGGCGTGTGTCACTGCACCTAGCTGTGTTGCATTTCCCCACTCCCTGCCCCCCAGGTACTGAGGATTGAATCCAGGACCTTGTGCCAGCTGGGCAAGCACTCTACCACTGAGCTAGACCCCAGCCCTAATGATTATATTTGTGATGTCATCTCTAAGAAGTTTTTGCCAAATCCATGATCACTAAGATTTTTCTCCTGCCTTATTTTTATAATTTTTAGTTTTATTGTTTTAGCTCTAATGATAAATGTCATTTTGAACAAGCTTAAAGATTATTTATAACAAGAACAAATAAATGAAATTGTTGAACCATCATGCATTTGCATTGTAGTTTTATTAAATGTTGACAAAAGTGTACTTCATAGAGGTTATACTAATATACACTACCAATAACAATAAACAAAAGTGCTTGTTACTCCACACATCATATATTGTTAAAATATTTGAACTGTGCCAGACAGGGTCTCGCTGAGTTACTGAGGACCTCACTAGATTGCTGAAGCTTTGAACTCATGATCCCCCTTCCTCAACCTCCTGAGCTGCTGGGATTACAGACATGTGCTACCACAACCAGCAATCCCCAGCTCTTTTTTATTTTTAATTTTGATGCAGTCTCACAAAATTGACCAGGCTAGCCTAGAACTTGCAATCCTAGTAGCTAGATTACAGGCATGTTCCATAGAACCCACTTTTAAGCCAGATAGATAGCTGCCTAGATATTCCAGAAATATTTATTGAATAATCTATCTTGCACCCATTAATTTATTTTATATTGAGCCCAAAGTCTTCTGTACATTAGACAAGGGCTCTACTACTGCAACATCCCCAGTTAAATACTATGTTACAACTCCACTCTCAAAGGATTATAAGTTTCAGGAAGGAAAAAAAACCTGGCTTTTTTTTTTTTCACTATGTTATCTCAAGGAACCAGAACAGTGTAGGCATTCTAAAGACTGTATAATGCTTTTTGTGTGTATGTGGTTAAAATATGCATAATATAAAACTTATCATTTTAACAAGTCTTAAGTATACTATTCAATGACATTAAATACCCTCACATTGCCGTACAGCTATCACCAATATATATTTCCAGAACTTTTTCATCATCCTGAACAAAAATCCTGTATTCATTAGAAAACAATTACCCACTCCTTTCTCCACCATCCCTTGGTAATCTTTATTCTACTGACTGACTCTATGACTTTGCCTATTATGGGTACTACATGTAAGTTGAATCATATAGAATTGTCATATATGGCTAATTTCACATAGCATGATGTTTTCAAAGTCCATCCATGTGGTGGCATGCATTTATTCCTTTTAAAGATCAAATGATAGTCTGCAGTATTTATATATTTTGTCTATCATTTATTTGTAGGTAGACATTCAGGGTTTTTTTTTTTTTTCTCTTTTGGTTATTATGAATAATGCTACTATGAACACGGGTGTCCAAGTGCCAGTTAAGTCCCTGCTTTCAATTCTTTTGAGCATCTGTTTTGAAGTGGAATTGCTGGGTCATATGATAATACTATGTTTAACTTTTTGAGAAACCATCAAACTGTTTTCCAAGTGGTGCATTTTTTTTACATCCCCATCAGAATTGCATAAGCTTCCAACTTAACATCTTCACCAACATCTGTCTTCTATTTTTTTGATAAAACCCATCAATAGTAGTAGTGAAGCAGTATCTTATTACAGTTTTGATCATCATTTCCCCAATGACTACTGATGTTAGGTATCTTCTTTGTAGCAATATCTAATCAAGTGTTTCACCCATCTGTGAATTAGATTGTTTGGTATTTTGTCAATGTATTGTAGGAGTTCTTTATATATTCTTGATATTAATCCTTTATCACATATATGGCTTACAAAATTTTTCTCATTTTATGAATTGTCTTTTCACTTGCACAGTGCTTCTGTTTTTAAAAGTATGCAGCTCCCATTACTCTTGCATATTTCAAAACGAACCTGTGGATTGTAGGCTGTTGCCACTGTAAAATCCAATTTTTTAAAAAATCGTACATTATCTGGCACCTACACATGCTCAAATCTTAGTTGTTACTGCTGTCATTGTTACTGCTTCACAAATAATAATCTACGAAAAGTTACAGAAACTGCTTCGGAAAGGTATGGTACCAGTGGGAAAATCCCTACAGAGTTTACGACCAGAGCCAGAGATCACAAAGTTATATCTGCGCTAGATGCTACGATTTCCAAAGACCACCCTCATACACCACTAACTTCCAAACCAGTTCGCCCAACAGACCCCACCTCCGACCCCAACCCGATCCCAGGGCCATTTTCGGCCACTGCCGCCCCGCCCCAGCAGGCTTCAAACAAGCTAGCGCGTGCGCAGTGGGGGTGTTTGCGTGCCATTTGTCTGCAAGGGCGGACGCATCCCGCTTCCGGCGCGGAGGTGAGAGTCCACACGCCCAGGCGCTTAGTGATGATGTCAGTTCCGGTTGCCATGCTGAGTCGGAAGTGGGAACCCTTTGGCCCCTGAGACTGTCGTGTTGTCGCTGCTGGCCCTTCAGGCTCTGGTAAGAGAGAACTTAGCTTGAGGGTAGGGGACCGTTGAGTCTTCAGTGGCAGCTTTTCTGCCAGTCGAATGCCAGCACAGGCCTCTTCCAAATTCCTTCTCCTGTGCATTTCTAACCAGAGACCCTCTCCCCTTCGTGAACTTTGACCCTGATTCGGAAACCTTTACATTGCTCCAACTTCTAATTTCTCAGCACATTTCTGTCCCCCTTTGCAACACCGCTCCTGGAAAAGGCCAGAATATCTTTTGACTTCCTTTCTCTAAAACATGCTCCCTGAGGGTGGGTCTCCCTCCTCCCAGTGAATCCCTTATGGAATCCGGAGGGATAAAATATAGAATAAACAATAGATAGCCATATGCCAAAAGGGTTAAATTAAGCACCAGACATAGTGATCAAACCAGTTGAGTACTTATGGCAAAATATTGACAGTTCTTAAGGCAAGTGATGGGCTCCTGGCACTCTGCTTCATGTTTTCTTGGGTTCAGAGGACAGTCCTAAAATTGATCACAGCTCAGGAGCTAATGTTTAATGGGTATTCCCTTTGGGATCAGTTTTTTACGTCCAGAGCAGAAATGTCTTTAGCTTCACCATCATTAACTGTTTGGGTACCACAGTTCTTACTTGATAAGGTCTTTCTAGCTTGCATACAGATGTGTTGAAAGGATTTGTTGCTACATTAGGATCACCTGAAAGTGTTATTGGGTAGAATATATTACACTCGTAGCATTTTTTATACCTATTTTTATTTGATGTATTGTTTATTCTTTGTAAGAACAGAGACTTTACAGGATTGACTTAAAAGAGTGTGATTTGTTTGTTTATGTATGTATATGTATGTATGTATGTATGTATATATATATATATATATATATATATATATATATGTATTTTGTGGTGTTGAGGATTGAACCCAGGTCTCACACTTGCTAGGCAAACACTGTACCTCTGAGCTACACCTACAGCTCACAAGCCTTGATTTTAACAATTCAAGTTTTACAAAGTGTTTCAAATATTTCTGTTTAAAAATAGTGTCAACTGGGGTTTTAAAACATTTGGGTGCTCACAAGAGCTGACAGTGGCCATTAAAGGATTATTAGCACTGCTTATAAACAAACTTGATTCTGGGGAGGGTGAAAGAATTCTGTAGAACCAGAGGTAGATATATATAGATGTAGACCCTTTCAGTGGGTATACATTGTAAAATTTGTTTTCAAGGAGGACTTATTCAGAAATATTCAAAATCAAATTCAAAAGCTTCTGAAGATTATTAGTTGTACCACACCAAAGACTGACAACAGGGTAGTGTTGTATCTCTGTATGGAAATTGAAAATACGAGGATTAAAATAGGGCATTATTGAATATTAAAACAAAATATCAAGGTTCCATTTTAAAAGACCTTTCTTTTGGAGTGGGTGATATCTAGGTACTCTTATTTACTTTGTAAGTTCATTGAATAAATCTAAGGCAGTATCTCCACAAAGGTTCTCCTCAAGCGATCAGTCCTCCTTTTTCCTGTAAGCAGTTAATGCAGTTTAGCCTTTTTTCTATGAAGAGTTTGCATAGATATTAAGTACATATGAAAAAGATGAGCTTATCCAGGTGCTGTGACACACACTTGTAATCCCACCAACTTAGGATGCTGAGATAGGAGGAGTGCAAGTTCAAGGCCAGCCTCAGCAACTTTATGAGGCCCTAAGCAATTTAGAGATCCTGTTGCCAAATAAAAATAACAAGAGCTGGGGGATGTAACTCAGTGGTGAAGTGCCTCTGGGTTAAATCCCCAGGTACCACCACCCCACCACCACCAAAAGAAAGAAAGGAAGGGAGGAAGTAAGTTGTTCAGAGAGGTAGGCATAAACCTTTTTTGTTTTCAACAGACATTTGAGATAACAGATATATTTTCATTCTTAATTCTACACATCTTTAGAAACAAAAGAGCCACAGTGCCTGGTCTGTAACTTGCCTTCCACTGCATTCCCAAGACAAGGAGTAAAGCCCTTAACCTTGAAGTAGGATCATGAGTAATGCTATTGATGACAAGGGGTTCAGGAATAATTATATGTCAGATTGAGTCATTCAATAAATATCTACTTAGGATTTTGTGATTGTGAAGTATAATTCCAACATGAAGAAAAATTAATCCGATATGAACCTGTACTCCAAGAGTTTACAGTTTAGTAAAGCAGAAAATCTGCTTAGGGATACAATATAGAAAGTTGAAACTCTCAGGAAAAAATATAAAGTTGTAATAGAAAAGTAGCAGTTCTATATAATGGGGCAGAGAAGTGTTGAGAAAGAAGGACATAATGCCATATATGGTGATAAATGCTCTATTTCTGTGTGTGGTCTTGAGAGCCTGTGCCATATGTTCTGTATTCCTGGCTTTCAGATTCCTTTCTGCATGATGGTGCATCTTCTTTGCAATGATCTGGACTCTTCAGCGTTTTTTTGTTTTTTCTTTTTTTTTAATGTTCAAACTGGCTTATGCAATTTAGAGGAATGTATTGAATTTTATAACTGAGAAGTGTGGAAAACTTTCTCTTTCCATCTCTCAACTGTTTTTCTCTTTGTTAATTTAGTAATTAAGATCAGCCTTTTTAGATATTGTAAAGATGGCAACTCTAGGTTTTAATCTTACAAGTCTAGCGACCAAACAGGAAAGAAAGAGTTCCCTTTTCTATAGGTTCAGTTAAAAGCCTGACTCTTACAGGCCTTGATAAGGTCTTATGCCAACTCTTAGATCAGTCACTTTGGCCATACTCTTTAAGAAGACCAGACTCCTATACACATCCTATACACAACCCATTTGGAACCCATGAACTGAGTGGAATGAATATCCAGAGAAAATTTTGAGGGTGTCATGTTGAAAAAATGGGACATTGTTTTGGAGACCAAAAAAAAAAAAAAAAAACCAGAAGCTTGCTACACTTTTTGCTACTTACTACCTTACCTTGAAATGCACGGTATCTCTGATATTAGCCAACTAACAGTGAGACAATTTATGGTACCTCCACTTGAATTAGAAGTGATAATTAAACTTGTGCAGTGGTTACATGGGGGAAAGCCATCTTGAGGACTATTGTTAATTCCAACACTAAATAGGCATCCTTTTTCACATTTATCTCAAATAAAATATGCATGGTAAATCGGATGTAGTGGTGCACATCTTTAATCCCAGCAACTCAGGAGACTGAAGCAGGAGGATCACAAATTCAAGGCCAGTCCAGGCAACTTAGCAAGTCCTGTCTCAAAGTAAAAAGAACTGGGGATGTAGCTCAGTGGGAGAGGGCCCCTAGGTTTAATCCCCAATAGCACAAAAATTAATTAATTAATTAAAATATACATGGCAAAAAATAAAATACATAGAGAGCAGTAGCTGACATTTCAATTCCTTGAGGCAGTAGGGTCCTACATCATACTGCAAGGAGGCTAGACATTCTGCCTGTTATTACAGCTAATTAACCATTAGCTCTTATGCAGAAAAATAGCAGAAGATGTGAAGAATTGTTCAGAAATGTTATAAACTCTTTTCCTCTCGTAATTAAGGGTAACTTTATGATTTGCATTAGCTTTTGTTCATATGATTCTATAAGGAGTCTCTCCTCAATAAACTAAGAGTAGATCAAACTTTTTTTTTTCTTATACCCCTGCCCACTTTCTTTCTAAGGCTCTGTCCTTGTAGCAACATCCTTATAAGCAGAATATTCATGCCCTATGTCTCTTCCCACCCTTTTCAGTGTTGTATTTTTATGGGGAAAAGCCTTTCAGAGAGCTCTGTACATCCCATTGTACCACTGATTCAACTTGACCTTGAATGAGGATATGTAATCAGAAGAATACAAATGCAGGCTAAGTCAGCTCTTCTAAACATGTTTGAGGTATCTAACAATTTCATGTTCCACAGTACACCTGACAGTTGAAATTTTTATTTCTATGGTATTGTAAAAAATCAGATAAACAGTGAAATGTAGAAATAAAATTAAGCAAAGACTCTTTAGATTTTAATTGAATAAATATCAGTTTCAGGCCCACTATGAGAGAGCAATTCCTTAATATATATTAAAGACTCATCTAGTTCCAATCCTGATTTGTCATTCCAAATCCCAGAGTTTGTAGCTAAGGAATTCCCAGCTTCAACCTTAAGTCATACAAGTCTGAGCGGGTTCCACCTTGTCCTCCCATGGTGAATGAAAACTAGTCTGCCAGCATACAGACTTAATAGAAATCCATAGGTCTCATTATTTCTAAGTACCATGTTGTTGTTACAGTTAATAGAAATTCTCTCTACCACTTCAATAATTCTGTTTAACCTATTTTCTTAAAGGTATAGCAGATGGAAACATGTGGACAGATAAATGCATTCCAGCTGAACATTTTTGTAGACTTTGTGGTTTTAGCTATCCCCAGATCAGACCATCATGTTCAGTTGGTGGGTTTGTAACCATCTTGCCAGAAACATCTTGAGTTTTGAAATGGGAATTGACAAATCTTGAGCCAAAGCCTTTTTAATTGTATTTTTTAAATGGGGGGTGGTGGTGGGGAGGAAATAGTAAGTTATAGCTGTTATGTTGTCTGCCCTTCTGAGTCTAATACCTGTTCTTTGCATAGCCCCTCCCCCTAGGTCTGGATGGAGGATACCTTAAAGTGAAATGACAGACCAGGAGAATAACAACAACATCTCAAGTAACCCCTTTGCTGCTCTTTTTGGCTCCCTGGCTGATGCCAAGCAGTTTGCAGCAATCCAAAAAGAGCAGCTGAAGCAGCAATCTGGTAAGTGAAGGAGTCAGTAGCAGCGGATGAGATAACCTAGAATGGAGTCTTCCCAAATTAAGTAATCTTTGGACACTTAATTTATAATTGGAATTTAAGTTTGGGGCAGAAGTTGTTTTTTGTCTGTCTGTTTAGGACAGAAGTTTATTTATTTATTTTTTTGCTGTTGATTTTTTGTTTGGGAGGCCTTCCCTTCCCCTTTTCTTCTTTTTTAGAAAGAAATCAGATAACTGGTGGTTACACAGGAACACATGCCAGTTGTAATCCTAAAGCTGTCAAGCTGCTTCATTAAAAAAAAAAAAAAAGAGCCTAGTAAAAGTTTTTTAAATAAAATTTTTTTTAACATAGGAAACCAAGGTGGTAGGTATGAAAACAAGTCACAAGCAGCTGTAGATAGCAGATATAAAAGGAAAATTTATAAAAGCATTTTACCTAGTACTTAAGAGGCTTTCTCAAGCGAAGTACTTCTTCTATTCTTCTGCCTCTCTTTTGTAGCTTAGTACTGTTAAAACAAACTGTTTTGAAACAAAATCAAAATGATCTCTCACCAGAAAAGTGGCTTACCTCATTTTAAATCAAATTTAAGGTCAAGTTCATTTCCTTCTCTTATGAGGAGACATAGATTAAAATAATTACTATGGTATCTCTTAAATATAATAGTGTCTTGAAAACATTCACAATCTTTAAACTACAAATTTGTCCTTTCTTCTCTGTCCAAAAAGAATAATGGTGTTTCTCTTTTGAGAAAAGGAGAATGTTTATATTTTCCCTTTTTTTATTTTTTAAAAATGTCAGATGCATAGCAGAGTTGTCCTTGCTTTATGATTAGGGTTGAAGAAAAAGGAGGTAAAGGCAAGACAGATCTATAGTAGACAGAGTGATAGATGAAGCAAGAGACAAGTGCAATGCTAACTTCTTAACCAGCAGTAAATAGACGTAAGGCTGGCGAGTGGAGAGCATTGCAAATGGCAAACTGTGGGAATGAGGCAGAGGCACATGCCCTTCTGTTACTATTTTGGCAACTCATCATTTTAGTTTGTTTATGCTGATTTTATTGTGCCACTAGGTCCAAACTGTTTGCCACCACCAGTTAGTACTTTGCCAAAACCTTTGACCTCCAAAATTGAAGTTCACTTTTACTAAACTCAGAACTCAAAATACTGAAGCAACTCTTAGTTCTGAGAGTTTTGTCTGGACTTTCAGAATACCCATCCTATCAAGAGAAAAGAAATATGAGTTCATATGGCTTTTATAGTACTGACTGTTATAATCATTCAACATGAGTGCATTCTAAGAGGCAGTCTTTATAAACAAATTTAAGGGACTCAGTCAATAAGGAAAAAGTGAAACCAGGGAGGGAAAAAAAAAAAAGCTGTAACAAACAACTTATATATTATATACAATAATCAAATGATGAAAAAATCCAATCTCACTTTTTTTTTTTTTTAAGTATAGGGAATTGAACCCTGAGCAATATCTCCAGGCGTTTTTTAGTTTTTATTTTGAGACAGGGTCTCACTAAGTTACTTAGGGCCTCACTAAGTTGCTGAGGCTGGCTTTGAACTTGTGATCCTTCTGCCTAAGCCTCTTTGAGTTACTGGGATTACAGGTGTGCACCAATCTCACTTTTTTAATGCTGTTTTGTTTTGTTTTGAGACAGGATCTTACTAAGTTGCCCAGGCCAATCTCAAATTTAAATTCCTCCGTCTTCCTATCTTAGCCTCACAAATTTCTAGGATTATAGGCATGAGCCATATGTGTGCCCACCATGCCCAGCTGAGCCTACTAAAACAACAATTATGTCATTTTTATTTTATTTTATTTTTTGGTACTGGGGATTTAAGCCAGGGGTACTTAACCACTGAGGTACATCCCCAGTTCTTTTTATTTTGTTATTTTGAGACAGAATCTAAGTTGCTTAAGGCCTTGCTAAGTTGCTGAGATTGGCCTCAAACTTGTGATACTCCTGTTTCAGCCTCCTGAGTTGTTGGGATTATAGGCATATACCACCACATGTGGCTTGAATTAGGTCATTTTTTTACCTGTGAAATTTTTGAAAATTTAATGGGCACAGTGGCACATGCCTATAATCTCAGCAACTCAGGAAACTGGGCAAGAGGATTGCAAGTTCTAGGTCAGTCTGGGCAACTTAGCAAATAAAATATAAAATAAAAATAAAAAATAAAAAAGACTGGCTGTGTAGCTCAGTGATAGAGCCCTCAGGTTCAATCCCTAGCACTGGGGGGTTGGGGGGGGGGGGAGAAGAAGACGAAAAGGAAGAAAGAAAATAAAAAAGAAATTTATGAGATTCGAACACACATTCTCAGGTTTTTGTTTTTTTTCCCCCAATGCTGGGAAGTGAACCCAGGGGCTCTTACCACTGAGCTACTTTCCCAGCCCCAGACATTCCCTCATATACTAGTGGGTCGGCATATAAATCAGTGCATCTTTGAGGGCAATTTACTAGTATATGTTAAACTTTTTAAGTGGCCAGGCTCAGGCTAGAGATGTAGCTCAATTGATAAAGTGCTTACTTAGCATGGGTGAGACCCTGGGTTTGATCCCTAACACTGCAAAAAAAAAAAAAAAAATGTTCAAGTCCTTTGCGCCAGCAGTTCTGCTTCTATGAATTTATCCTATAGAAATACACAAGTGAACAAAGAGTTACATTAAGTGCAGTATTATTTGAAATTATAAAAAAGCTGGAAACAACCAAATCAGGCAATGAATAAACCTAGAGTTTCGGCAGCTACATTAGTTACAGTGCATGTAAGATAAATGCAATATAGTGCAGCTACTGAAAGGAATGAGAGCTGGGCACAGTGACATATCCCTGTAAAATCTTAGCTACTGAGAGGCTGAGGCAGAAGGATCTCAAGTTCAAGACCAATCTGGGCAACATAGGGAGACCCTGCCTCAGTGGGGGTGGGGAGGACATGTTAAAAGGCTAGCTAAAGAGCATTATGTCTTATGTGATCCCATTTTTTAGAAAAAAGAAAAACTACAATAATGAACACAAAAAGAGAAAAATAAGAGTCTGGAACACAGCTAAGTTGAGTGGTTTGACTGTAGGGAAGTGGTTCAGAGGAGACTTTCTATACTATATTTTCCTGTACCGTTTTGTGCAGTTTTTTGTGTTTGTTTGTTTTGTTTTTTAGTTATAGATGGACATAATACCTTTATTTTATTTATTTTTAATATGGTGCTGAGGCTCGAACCCAGTGCCTCACACATGCTAGGCAAGCGTTCTACCACTGATGCACAACCCCAGCTCCTCCTGTACAGTTTTGAGTTATTAAAACAAATGTGTCTCCTGGAAAAAGCCAGACATTTAAAATAATTACAGGCACTTTAATGTATTAGGTAATTCTTTCTTCACTAGGATTCTATAAGGAAGGTAAAGCTGTTTTTTTTCCCCAGCAGTGTGGAGTACAATTATGGGTAGAAGTAATAAAACTTTTGCTTTGAAAAATATGGTAAGATTTATAGCCAGGGATTTCAGAATCCTGCACTTAACTTGCCTGACTTGAGATATTCACTAATTAGATGATTAACATGTTTCACATCTGAAATTATCCTATTCTTCATTATTTTGGTAGTAGCCTTGGTTCTCTCTAAAAGAAAGGGAGATGGATGTTTAACAGCTTACATGTTCTGACAGATGAACTCCCAGCTAGCCCGGATGATTCGGATAATAGTGTGTCAGAGAGCCTGGATGAATTTGATTACTCTGTGGCTGAGATCAGCCGCTCATTCCGGTCACAGCAAGAGATATGTGAGCAACTCAACATCAATCACATGATCCAAAGGATCTTCCTCATTACTCTGGATAACAGTGAGTTATAGACTTATAGCCAATCTGTTCATTCTTCTGTCTTTCCAGCTATTTCATCTAGTGGTTAAATTATTTCACAGTACTCCCTGGAGCATGGTGTTTATATTTCTGTAAAGCTTTTGATATGACCTAAAAGCAGTATTTAGACAGATATAATTTTTGTTCCCTTTTTGATAATGATTAGGCCATGTAACTACTTGCATTAACTACCTTTAGAGGAAAATGGAAATAGTAATCAAACCCATTTTCTTCTCACATGGAACCCTGAGGGACATTAGACAGTGATTTCCCACTGTGCTGTATCTGTAGTTAAACCCCAAAGTTAGAACAGTGTCTGGGATTTACTCTTTAAATGTCATGACAATAGGTTTATAACAAAGCTGGTGCTCTGTAGCTAGGGAGGGAGGACTTAAATCTTTAGATACTACTTTGTGTATCAAGATCACTCTGGTATTACCTGGATCAAACCTGGATTTAAGAGAAAGGCTATCAAGATTAACTATCTGGAACTGGGTATAATTACATGCACCTAAGGTCCCAGGAATTCAAGGCCATTCTTTGCACCAAAGCAAGGTCCTGTCTCAAAAAAAGACACCCCCCCCAAAAAAAAAAAAAATAGTGGTCTGTATAAGACCAGGAACATTGCCCCAGTGTCCTTAACCTATCAGATTAAAACTACTTCCCAGGTGATCCTAGCTTGAAAAGTGGGAATGGCATCCCCAGCCGTTGTGTGTATTTGGAAGAAATGGCAGTAGAACTGGAAGATCAAGACTGGCTTGATATGAGCAACGTTGAGCAGGTACCATTTTTATGTTCTTAACAGGTGCCCTCAGTAAAAATTAACATACAGTCAAATTGTACTCACCATTCTCTAACTGTGACATTGCTTACCTCCATCTCTCATGTTGTTTTTGGTTTCTTTGGAATCTTCTCGCTACTATGGCCACATATCCAAATATACCCCATTATTTACAAACAGTTAAAATGCCATCTTATTTACAAAGCTTGCCAAATAGGAGTTACATCCTCCTAATCTTTCTATGTATCTTAATGAGAATTGTCACTTTCGGTTTCATGTTGTGTTTTTTTAGGCACCTGTCTGATCTCACCTGTCAGACTGTTCAATTCTTTAGGACAAAACTCATCTCTATCTTCTTAGGGTTTTTTGTTCTTGTTGTTTTGTTGTGCTTTGGTTTTGGTGGGGGTGATTTTAAGATGCTAAGGATCCAATCCGTGGCCTTACCCATGGTAGGCAAGTGCTCTACCACTGTGCAGTATCTATAGCCCTCTTTCTTCTTTATATCCTTGCAAAATCCAGAATGCTGTTAGCTTTCCATCACTCTGACGTAATACAAAGAGAAGTAACTTATAAAGAGAAAGTTTATTTTACCCCCGTTTGAAGATTCCTGTCCATGATCCATTGGCCCCCTTGTTTTGGGCCTGTGATAAGGCAGTACATTATGGTGGGAGCATGTGGTAAAGCAAAACTGCTTTTATTATGGACCTTTGAGCAAAGAGAAAGAGACTAGGATATGACAATCCCATTCAACATTCAGGGCAATGATCTAAGGACCTCTCAGTAGGCTCCACTTCCTAAAAGGTTCCACCATCTCCCAACAGCACTAACCTAGGGACCAAGTCTTTAACATATAAATCTTTGGGAGAATCCAAGCCATGGCAAGTGCATTGTACCTTCCAAATACCTGATTAATATTAAAGAGATAAAAGTTTGATTGGAAAGACACTTAACAACTTGCAGTTTAACTTTACACATTTTGAGTATCTTCGAGTGAAGCCAGAAATCACATAGAGTAATAGATTTCACATGTAAGTTCAATCACTGATTCTCAATACCATTCAACAAATAGTCTTTTAATGCCTGTTCTATGCCAAACACTTTAGGCTTTATTTAGAATAACTTTACATATACGATTATTTTCTAACATTTTCTAAAGTAATAAGATACTGGGTCCTTTTTTCCTTTTCACTCTAAACCTTGTGATTCTTGTAATAACCTATTGTCAAAATTATTTTACCTCTTTATGTTCTAAGATTAACTTTGAATTTGTTTAATTTGTTTATTTTTCTTAACAGGCCATCTTTGCTCGCTTATTACTTCAAGATCCAGGAAACCACTTGATTAACATGACTTCTTCTACAACATTAAATCTGTCTGCTGATCGAGATGCAGGAGAGAGGCACATTTTTTGTTACCTTTATTCCTGCTTCCAAAGAGCCAAGGAAGAGGTAAAAGAATAATTCCTATTTAATGCTTTATTATCCTCTTGGGTATAACTTTAGCATATAAGTCAGAGTTGAATCAGTGTCTTTCATATTGATTTGTATACATTATAGTATCTTTGTCTTCTAATTTAATCTCCTTTCTGTGGATTGGAGTTCATCTCTTTCCCCAGTTAACCAATACCTCCCATTCTCTCTACAAACTTCTTTACATATCACACCCTTAAAAAATAAAAGTAAAGTGATAAATTCATTTCCATTGAGGTGTAAGCATTAGAATAGGAACTTGACACTTCCAGATTGGAATTTTAATAGGTAGGTGATTTTTAAGCCAAAGAACAAGTCTTGTCATGAATTTGCAGATATCCACAAGAGACCAATATTGTTTTGGGACACGGTGTCTTTTCCATTCTATTTATATCTACCCTTTTTCCAGGTCCTAAAGCTCTACTCTTCCCTTTCTTCCTTATGTTTGCAGATTACCAAAGTTCCAGAGAACCTGCTACCCTTTGCAGTACAGTGCAGGAACCTCACTGTGTCAAATACCCGAACAGTTCTCCTCACCCCAGAGATCTATGTTGACCAAAACATCCATGAACAATTGGTAGATTTGATGTTGGAAGCCATCCAAGGAGCCCGTGAGTGCATAAGAAGATCTTTGAGCTTCTACATTTTGATTTCCAAATTTAAAATTTCTCTAATTTCATTAGAAAGCCTCAGCACCATTATGGTTCTGGTATAAATTAAGGAAGAGACCTCACACTTTGATCTTTGGAGTTGATAACAATAGAATTATCAAAGAGTTTGAGAAGAGTAAAGAGCCATTGTGTAGCCGATGTGGTAACACAGGCCTGTAATCCCAGCAACTTGGGTAGCTGAAGCAAGAGGCTCTTAAGTTCAAGGTCAGCCTCAGCAACTTATCAAGACCCTTTCTCAAAAGTAAAAGTAAATGGGCTGAGAATGTAGCTCAGTGGTCCTGGGTTCAATCCACAGTATAAAAAGAAAAGAAAAAGAACCAGTTTGTGAAGATAGGGATATGGTTTAGCGGTAGAGCACTTGCCAAGCATGTGCAAAGCCCTGGGTTTAGTCCCCAGCACCTCAAAGAAGGAGAGAAAGAGTACCAGCATGTAAAACATATAAAAATTCCTATGGCCTCCTTTCTCTTTCATGTCTTCTGTTAGATTTTGAAGATGTAACTGAATTTCTAGAAGAGGTCATTGAAGCCTTGATACTAGATGAGGAAGTTCGAACATTTCCTGAAGTCATGATTCCAGTGTTTGATATTTTATTGGGCCGAATAAAAGATCTGGAGCTGTGCCAGATCCTGTTGTATGCATATCTAGATATTCTTCTCTATTTCACTAGGCAAAAGGATATGGCAAAGGTAGGTCTGAAAGATGGTATGTATTCATTGTATTGGAGATTTAATTAATACTTGATGCTTCCTTGTCCTGAGGATTCTATACTATTACTTATAGAAAAAGAGAAAATTGGATTGGTGGTTGTATAGACAAAACTCTTTGAGGCCCTCTCACTTTATTGTCTTTATCTTACCATGCAGACAAATAGTACTTATCTTCTCCTACAGGTTTTTGTAGAGTACATTCAACCTAAGGACCCTAGCAATGGGCAGATGTACCAGAAGACCTTGCTGGGAGTCATTCTGAATATCTCCTGCTTATTAAAGACTCCGGGTGTGGTAGAAAATCATGGCTACTTCCTGAATCCATCTCGGTCCAGTCCTCAGGAGATCAAAGTACAGGAGGCCAACATCCATCAGGTCGAACTGTTTCCTGGGATATCCTAGCCCCCTGGTCTTAGATTGTGTATGTCCTCAAGAACCACATACACATAAGGCTGCTTGAGCCTCTTTAGGAAAGCAAATTGGTATGGATGACTTTCTCCATAATGATGTGAAGAAATTGCCCTCTTTTAGCATGTGCTAAGAGCAGGAGGTAAAACCATTTAGGGTGAGAATAAGCTGTTGTGACTCTTGCCCTATGTGGTAGCACTTCCACTTCCCCTCAACTCTTGCTCTTGTCACCGAACTATTTCTTACCACTTAGCTCCTAAAATCTTTTGACTGAACCTCAGCTTATATAACTCCCTTTCTCCATCCCCCTTTCTTTTCCTCGACCCATGCCCTTTCTGTTTGGGCCTCTTGACATAAATTATAGTAGAGATCTGGCCAACATGAGACATTTTAATGGTTGAAGTGGGAATAGTTTAAGTCTCCCATTCACCATTTAATCTTCACAGCTTTGTAAAACAGATGTTGGCAAACTATAGCAGTGGTCAAACCCAACCTGTCACCTGTTTTTTTTTTTTTTTAAATAACATTTTATTGGACACGGCCACATCCATTCATATATGTATTGTTTGTGGCCTGATTTTATGCTACCATGGTAAAGTTGAATAACTGCCTCAAGGACCATATGACAAGCAAAGCCAAAACTATAATCTAGTGCTTTGCTGAAAAAGTTTAGCAAATACTGCTATGAAACTAAGTAATGCTGTGTGCAATTTGGCAGCTGATCAGAAAATTTCTCCTAAATACCCAGAAACATTTTTAAAAATTAAAATCAGGGAATGGGGCTCAAGGAGAATGAGGGGAAAGATTAGGATTAGCATATTTTTGGAAACTGCCAGTTGCTAAGGTTTGAGAGTAAGAAAATAATTAAATGTGAAATTGGAATGTTCTGTGGTTGTGTTTTCTGGTCAAACAGTTCATGGCTCAGTTCCATGAAAAGATCTACCAGATGCTGAAGAACTTACTCCAGCTCTCTCCAGAAACCAAACACTGTATCTTATCCTGGCTGGGAAACTGTTTGCATGCAAATGCAGGCCGCACCAAGATTTGGGCCAATCAGATGCCAGAAATCTTCTTCCAGATGTATGCCTCAGATGCCTTCTTTCTGAATCTGGGTGCTGCTCTCCTGAAGCTATGCCAGCCATTTTGCAAACCCAAGTCCTCTCGGCTTCTCACCTTTAATCCTACTTACTGTGCCCTGAAGGAGTTGAATGATGAAGAACGAAAAATTAAAAATGTACACATGAGAGGTAGGGGGAACTGGCCTTCTCAGAACTGTTTGTGTGTGTGTGTGTGTATAATTTCTAAGGCATTCACTCCCTTATCCTTTTTTATAAAGTAGCTCTTTCTCAAAAAAAAAAAAAAAAAAATGAGGTGTAAAAAAGGTTTAATTTTTTTTTTCTTGGCATATTATACAATTTATCAGAAATAAAGTAGACAGAGAAAATTTCTAAACATGTCATGGGGATATTCTTGCAAACAAATCAGTATTACTGCTTGACTTCAACTCAGGTACCCAGGAACTATTTTTACAGATATATAATCTCATCCCCATGGTTACTGACTAACTTTGTCCACATGATTCTTGAATATAAATCTGAAGTAGGAAGTAGGGAAACTTAGGTCTTACTTTCCATTACAGAATCACATCGGTTACTCATCCACATTTTTACATAATACCATATTAATGACTGTTGTCTTCTGCTAGCAGTTTTCTAAAATCAACACTTTAGCTTTTAAATGTTGTGCTTTAGTGAGACCTCTCTGGATATGGCAGCCTTCAGTATTCATTCATTCATCCTTTACAAAAATGAATAAAATACAGCTGCCATCCTCTTTGCAGAGGCTCCAGAAAAAGTCAGGTAATTTTAATGTGCCATAGAACTAAGCTCTGAGAACACAGAAAGAGTGAGTAATCGATTCTGCAGGAGTCGGAGGTCTTCATAGCTGAGCTTGAAAGATAAGTTGGGTTTTACCAGGCAAAGGAGCAAGAGTCTATACAAAGGGAATAGCAAGCATAGAAGTAAAAGCTGTGGAAAGTCATGAGTAAGGAATGATGAGACGTTCCAGGTATCTTAGAGCAGAGGAGGATGAGAAGTGGGTGGTAGGAAGTGGAGAAAATGGGTCTGAGGAAAAAGAAGGTTAAGGCCAGATTGGAAAAACTTGAGCAATTCAGAGAAATGAGAAAAAGAAAATAAAGGACTCATGATTCTGCCATGCAGAACAAATCCCTTCTTAATTTTGATATATTTCTTCCAGTTTTGTGATTCTTGCAATTATAAAAATGATACTTCTCAAAAGCAAATAATATTAAATATAGAAAAGCATAAAATAAATACAATTGGTCCATTGCCTATCACTTGGAAAAATTACAGTACTATAATTATTTTTAATTTTTGGTGATTTCATTGATTAAGCAAGAGATTTAACTATTTCTGTAGATAAAAGATATTTTTAGAGAAAGTAATGTGATGAGATTTGTTTTAAAGAAGTTGTCACTGGTTTAGTATGGAAGCTGAACAAGAATAAGGGGAGACTGGAGACCAAGATTCATGTCTGTGGCAAGCCATTTACCATTGCTTTTAACTTCTTTGAGGTTTGGACAAAGAAACCTGTTTGATCCCAGCTGTGCAGGAGCCAAAGTTTCCCCAGAACTACAACCTTGTAACAGAGAACCTTGCACTGACAGAGTATACCTTGTACTTGGGATTTCACAGGTAATTCTTTTGCTGTCACTAGAAAAGAACTATTTGGGAATGAACTATTTAGTTGTGTCTACAACCAGAAGGTTGAAAGTGAGTCTTAAGAGAATTATTCTAGGGGCTGGAGCTGGAGCTTAGTGGTAGAGTACTTGCCTAGCACAGGTGAGGCGCTGGGTTCAAGCCTCAGAACAACATACAAACTAATAAGTAAAATAAAGGTTAAATTCTTTAAAAAAAAGAGAGTTTAATTCTCAAGGCTAGCATTAGAAAATCTAGCAGGAAAAGAGAATTATTTGAATTTATTTTTGTTTACACGAATCAGCTTTGTCCAGTTAAATTTATTTTCGATTTTTGACCTGTTAACTTTTTTAAATTAAAGATACACTATTTTTTTTTCTACATTTTCAAAATTTTAGATCATTGTCTTCCTGTTGTCATTTAGGAAATGGAATTATTTTTATTTTCTGTTTCATTTTCTACTCTTGAAAATTTTGCTACTTACTACTTCTGATGAAAAAGCCAAGAAACAGAATTGGCAAAAATTAAGAAAATGTTAATAAAGGATTCCAGTGAGACCATCTATGTATCTAAGATAAAGAAGATTCTAGAAGTGTGAAGGTTTGAGAACTGTAGTTTAAAATTTTCCAAAGGGATCTAGTTCTGACTAGCCTTACGTCACTATAATTTTTCCCCCTTTTTAACTAAGTGTGACTTTCAGCATAAATAAGGGTGGGAGGTAGCAACTCGCTCTTGGAAATGGTATAAGGAATAGCAGTTTTTAATGCCTTCTCAGGATACTTAAATTAATAAAAGGCATTTTTCAAAAACCAGCAAATTACCGAAAAATGGTGGATATAGAAAACTCTCTAATAAAGCGTTTTTAACTTCTTTGAGGTTTGGACAAAGAAACCTTGTAACTCTCTAATAAGACATTTTAAATAAGACAATGTTCAGCATGTGCTTAATCTACTTAACCATTTAGATTCAAACACAAAAATGAATGTCATCTAGTTTCTTAGCTGGCCTTAGACATTACCTATAGGATCAAAGGAAATAATTTTGGATTATACACATAGAATCAGTTATCCTTAGCTTTAAATTATAGGTCTTCCTTTCAGTAGAGAATATTTGGGTGAACTTTCATGAAGAATGGTTTAATTTTATTTTAAACAGAGAGCTGAAGACTAACTGTAAGACATCCTCATAATCCCTCAAAGCACGATCGTTGCACTTTTGTTGTGTAAAACTATCCTGCTGGGCTTCTTGTACTTTGCCTAATAATTTTTATTTTACATAATATCTCACTTTATACCCTGCTCACCTAAGTTGCAGCTGTTTGAATTGTGCACTTTAGCTGAAGGCTGCTAACTATTTGTAATTAGCTTCAATTGTGTTGAATAGTTGGTAACATTTTCCCAGGGAATGCTAGAATAAATAAATGAGAATTTATTTTTCTAGAATGATCTCAACTAGACTATCTCCCTATGAGCCTTCCTGACCCAGTCTCTTCTGCTTTCTTGGGGGCAGGTTGCATGATCAGATGGTAAAAATCAACCAAAATCTGCATCGGCTACAGGTTGCCTGGAGGGATGCTCAGCAGAGTTCTAGCCCTGCTGCTGACAACCTCCGTGAACAGTTTGAACGACTGATGACCATCTATCTTTCAACCAAGACTGCCATGACTGAGCCACAGATGCTACAAAACTGCCTAAATTTGCAGGTGTCCATGGCTGTTCTGCTGGTTCAACTGGCCATAGGCAATGAGGGCTCACAGCCAATAGAGCTAACTTTTCCTTTGCCAGATGGCTACAGCTCTTTGGCTTATGTGCCAGGTAAGCAGTTCTCCCTTGGGAACTTCCTATTTTTAGCCATCTAAGTTTAACTGGGTCACTTTGGAAGTTTAGTCCTCAAGATATCTTTCCTTAGTTATCATTTGTTTTTGGAGAAACAACTCAAACTTATAAATATCTACTGATCAAAGTATGAAGTTACTAACAGTATGTTCTCTGGCCTTATGACCCTACTGCTGTGCATATCAGAAAACAGTCTTCAAAAGATTAAAACAAAGCCAGGCACAGTAGCACATGCATGCCTGTAATCCCAGCAACTCAGAAAGCTGAGACAGGAGGATTGCAAGTTCAAGGCCAGTCTCAGCACTTAGTGAGACCCTGTCTCAAAATAAAAAATAGGGTTGAGGATGGAGCTCAGTGATAAAGCACCCCTGGGTTCAATTCCCAGTATAAAAAAAAAAAAAGATTAAATGAAGCCAGGATTCTCATAGCTGTTAGTTTCTGTCATTTATATGGTTTGTCATTCAACTTACAAATTTGTAACTCTCCTGTGCTCTTTTTAGAAAGAAAAAAAAAAATCTATCAGTTAACCTAAAAGGGAGATTGTATTTATATGTCAGTGAGGGGTTAGCAGACATGCATCAAATCAGGTTAAATTCTCTTGATCACTGTATTGGACAAATATTGCTGTATCACAAATTACCCCAAAACATATCAGCTTAAAACAACAAATATTATTTCACTTACCATGGGTAAGGAATTCAGGCACACTAGGCTGCATGGTTCTGGCTCAAGAGTACCCCCTGAGATTGCATCCAAGCTGTCATTCAGAGCCATAGGAATTTGAGGATCCAACTACAGCTGGAGGATCTACTTACAAGCCCTGTCATGTGGCTGTTAACTGACCTCATTTTCTTGCACATTTGGCCAACAGCCTCTTCTCCAGGCCTCACACATCTCTCCTTAGTACCATTCATGATGAGGTAACTGGTTTCCCCCAGAGTGAGTGACCACGGTGAAAACTAAAAGCTTTTATAACCTAATCTTAGAAATGATATACCATCACTTCTACTGTATACTGCAGGGTGAAGCTTCTACTCTAGAAGAATGTGGGAAGGGACTGTGTGAGGGCATGAATACCAGGAAATGAGGATCATCCTAGAGACTGGCTGCCATAGTTACCTAATGTAAAAGTCTTGATAAGCAATTCTTCAGATACCTGAAGAATTAATTAAATTATGGTTAACCTTGTATTAATCTTGTAACCTGGTACTGTTAACACATGTTAATGTTAATAATATTTTGTATACTACTGTTCATATATTTACTTGGATAAAAATTAAAAATGACATACATTTAAAGAAGATCCTAAGACCAATAAGACCTTTGATTTTTTTTTTTTTTTTAAACCCTTCATTAAGTAACATGAAAGAGAGGAATATAAATGTTACTTAATACCAGCAGACAGATATTTGGCTAATTCTAGTGAATATTTTTTTTCAGAATTTTTTGCAGATAACCTCGGTGATTTCCTCATTTTTCTCCGCCGCTTTGCCGATGACATCTTGGAGACATCAGCAGATTCCTTGGAGCATGTCCTTCACTTTATCACCATTTTCACTGGGAGCATAGAAAGGTGAAGTGCTGAAAGCTTGGCTCTGTCACTGTTTAGAGCTGCAAAACATTCAGAAGACTTCTAAATCAAGAAATAAACAAGCCTGAATCATAAGGGGTTGCCTTCAGAAGTTATGTTAACATTAATGAACCACCTGAGCATCCTTATGGGTAGCCAAAAATCCCACTGTTGAGAGGCACAATAAGCAAAGGACTTTGCCCACAGAGAATTTGAACCTGCATTTAAGGTACCTGATGGGAATTCCACTGCTAGTCCCTGGTTAAAATAGTTACCGTACTGCCAGAAACCTTACCAGTGGCAGTCAGGTGCTAATGTTCCTCTGCTAATTGTATGATACATAAGTTTGTTCTTGCTGTTCGGAGTTGGATGAGCAGTAAACTTAGGTCAATGTTATTTCTGATCTCTGGTCTTCCCACTCATAACCTCCAGCCCTCTTTCCCAAAGGAAGATACTATGACTTCTAGGATTGCTTTCTTCATTTTCTGATATGTAGGCCAAAGGAAACAAATTCTGTGTACAGAAGTGCACATTGCTTCATAATAAAGAGAATGACCCACAGTTCCCCTAGGCACATCAATGAAAAGTAGGTAGAATCCAGCCTGTCACTGAACTGAGCAAACGTAATTAGTCATAAACCAAAAAGTATTGATTAGGCAAACATTACAGCATTGTAGATAATATAAGTAAAACCTAATCTTTACCCTCAGAAGGCCTGGCAAGGCAAGTTTATCCAAGATGAAACTGTCAGAGAATAGTACTTTTTAAATAATGCCTTATTGTAGACAAGAAAGTTGAATGGCTAAGTATTAAGTAGAAACTTAGTACTCACCCTCATACTTGGTAAACAGTCATCTCAAAAGTTAAATGGTGGGCTGGGGATATAGCTCAGTTGGTTGAGTGCTTGCCTCCCATGTACAAGTCCCTGGGTTCAATCCCTGGCACCACAAAAAAAAAAAAAAAGTGGTGTACCCTGAATCACCCAATATTGACAAACTTAAAACTGTAGAAGTGCCTCTTTTTTTTTTTCTCCCCTATAATGAGAGTATAGCATGCGTTGGCACCTCTTGTAGAGAGAACAGAGTAATAACTTTGGGAGTTAAGTTTATCTACTCATCTTGCTTTCTGCACTGTTTTGCAGAATGAAGAATCCTCACTTAAGGGCTAAACTAGCTGAGGTGCTGGAAGCAGTGATGCCCCACCTGGATCAGACCCCAAATCCCTTGGTATCCAGTGTGTTCCACCGGAAGCGTGTGTTCTGCAATTTTCCACATGCACCCCAACTTGCAGAAGCTCTAATCAAGGTTTTTGTGGACATCGAGTTCACAGGTAAAGCAATCATGCAGCCAGGTGGGAACTACAGAATTGATACCAGTGGAGTTCCATAGCTTGATCATTTATTGAACATCAGATAAATTTAAAGCCATCATTTACCAAATATCTTCTGTGTGCCAGGCTTGGTGCTAAATGCTATTTTATATTACTAATGTGTTACCATTTGACTTTATTATCCCCATTTTTCACATGAAGACATGAATGATCAAAAGATTACATTATTTGTCCATGTCATATAACTAATAAGTGATAAGTCCATCTCACCCAAAAAAAAAAAAAAATCCTATATACTCTTTTCAACCATATATTACTAGTCAAATTATACTCAAATTAGGCTATCTGATTAAAACCTAACTCCTTATTTGTGTCTGCCCCAAGATGGTAAAATACTGTAATGAGACTATAATGATTGAGAGATTCTTTATTTTAACCATACCATCTAATTTTCTAAAAATCTGATTGTTGGATTAAGAATACCACAGAGCCCCCTGGTGCACGCCTGTAATCCCAGTAGCTCCAGAGGCTGAGACAGTAAGATCATAAGTTCAAAGCCATCCTCAGCAATGGCGAGATGTTAAGCAACTCAGTGGGACCCTGTCTTTAAATAAAATACAAAATAGGCTAGGGATGTGGTTCAGTGGCTGAATGCCCCTGGGTTCAATCCCTGGTACCAAAAAGAAAGAAAAAAAAAAAAAGAATACCAGCAGGGCTGGGGTTGGAGTCAGTGGTAGAGCACTTGCCTAGCATGTGTGAGACACTGGGTTTGATTCTGAGCACCATAAATAAATTATTTTACTAAAACAAAACAAAATACCAACAAGCAGCATTCAGATTCTCTCTAACCCTGAGCTTCTCTGTTTGATTCGACAGTACCCTCTTACAACTAGTAGGCAAGATATGTTAAGCAATTGTATAAGACCAGTTTCAAGGAAATGTCCTGCCATCCAATGATACATATAACTAACATTTAAAAGAACTGTTAACATTTTACTGGCTACCTTTCGATACTTGTGTTTGTTTGGGGTTTTATTGTTGTTTGTTTTGATATTGAAAATTGAATCCAGAGGCACTTTGCCACTGAGATATACCCCAGTCCTTTGTTTACTTTCAGACATGGTTTCACTAAGTTACTGGAAGTCTTGGCAATTTGCTGAGGTTGGCAGTGAACTTTCGATCCTCCTGCCTCAGCCTCCCGAGTTGCTGAGATAACAGACATGAGTCACTGTGCTCAGTAACCTTTCCCTGTTTGGTTTCTGGCTTTGTTACTTGCTCACCTCTGAATCAAAAGATTACATTATTTGTCCATGTCATGTAACTAATAAGTAATACAACCAGATATAAAATGAGTCAAAGCAATGATTCGGTGGAATAGTACATGTAAATCTTCATCGTACTTAAAGAACTGCACAATAAATTATTGTGGTTATCTCATTATGTAACTATATAACCAAAGATTTGTCATATATTACAATATATTACAATTTCTATTTTTTCCCCAAAGGAGTGGAGACTTGCATTTAGTAGAACCAAAATGAAAATTTGGGTCTTTGAACTCCAAATCTTACACTCTTCATTATATGACCCAGACTTTGGTTCTTCAGATGCAGTATAGGCTCAAATTAGCTCCTGACCTGATATTTCAGAATAATCAAAAACTAATTGGCTGCACAGTTGGGGTATTGTCTATGAAGAATGCAGGAATTGTGTAGTGTCCCACTCTGCACATGACTTTTCAGCAACACCACAGTCAGCACAGAGGCCTCATTTGCATGCTGCACATTGGGGTGAGGAAGCATCTGTTACCCTTGTTGAGTAAAATATCTTTTACATCTGTTTCCCTGTTGTTTTTGTTTTGTTGGTAAGCAAATGAGCAAACACTTGGTCCAACTCTAGTTTTTTTGAAACTCCTAGAGAAGATTTTGTCAGTAACCTTGACACGTTCAAGATAGAAGAAAGTGACTGCACATAGGCATAAACTCCTAGCCACTCACAAATAGACCACCCTTACTGATTTCTTGCTCTTGCTTAACTTTAGGAGACCCCCATCAATTTGAACAGAAGTTTAATTACCGCCGTCCCATGTATCCCATCCTAAGATACATGTGGGGAACAGATACGTATCGGGAGAGCATTAAGGTAAGAGAATTTTTGGTGAAACCAGTTGCGTCAGATGAATCCCAATGATGTGATTCATTATTACTGACACAGTTTTCTCTTGGGCTGGAACTTATAGGATTTGGCTGACTATGCCTCTAAGAATTTAGAAGCTATGAACCCTCCACTTTTCCTCCGCTTTCTTAACCTGCTAATGAATGATGCCATCTTCCTTTTGGATGAAGCTATACAGGTAAAAAACAAACATTTAACTGCTACTATATCACCAAATCATTGTCAGTACATATTTTTGATCTTTTTAATCATTGTAGAACAATCCTGTGCCATGAGTATCCAGTCTTGAACACAAAAATTTTTGAGTTTACCATTATGGAGCTTTCTAGGTTATTGTTCCATCACAGAAAAGATCAAGGGTCATTGAAGCCTCATAGGATGGGTACTTTGGCAGAGTTAAAAACATAGTTTGATGAAACCAAACCAAGGTACACTGGCAAAAGTCATCAGGCCAGCATCACCCAAAAAAATAATCAAAAGATCTTGTTTTTGGTCAGTAAGTTTCAACTATTTTTCCATCCAAAGATATCAGTAACAGTGGTTCACTAGACAATGATTTTTAGTCCTCTGTTCTAAAAGATCCAGATTTTTTTATCACTACTTAAAACGTATCTGGTTTGTGTTTGTGTTTTGGGGGTTTGTTTGTTTGTTTGTTTTGCCTCCTAAATCCTTGGCTATATTATGAAACATGTGTTTCTTGAAATGTAAGATACAGCTGAGTGTCTCTTAGCTCCTGCAGTGCATCTTTTCCTCAACCATCCATATGAAACTGTTCATTACTCCACTAAAAACCTGGGTACCCAGACAGAAAAACTTCCCTTCCCTATAAACTACAATAGTGACCTAAAGGAAGATGAGATAGGTAAATCCTGAGGGTAGCCTATTGGACAGTCATGAGCTCCTCTTATTGGTTTGGTTTATGGAAAAGTTCCTGCTCTTTTCATAAACTTACACTCTTAAAATAGATTTTCTGAGAAAATGAAACAGGTTCTGTTATAAACAGACCCTGATAAGGAAGAGCAGTAGAGCCAAAGAATGAAGCTGATGGCATTTTTCAATGAGACAATATAACTTGACTTGTTTGCTATAACAGTAAGGATGATGAGAGGTAGAGTTTTAAATAATTATGGTTCTCCTTCCAGACATCTTGCATATTTGATAGAGCTTTCATTTTTGATAAATGGGTTTTGATTTGTGGGGTTTTTTGGGGTTTTGTGTTTTTCATTTTTTATCTTTCAGGAAGGATTCATTGTTTCTTCCTTGTAGCCTAGTGTTTGGGCCTGGGTTTCTTGTATTATGCCATTTTTCTTCCTTTTAGTTTTTGGGTACTGGGGATTAAATCCAGAGATGTTTTGCCACTGAGCCACATCCCCATCCCTTTTTTATTTTTTGAGACAGGGTCTCAGTAAATTAAGTTGCTTAAGGTCTTGTTTAGTTGCTGAGGCTGGCCTTGAATTTGCAATCCTCCTGCCTCAAGCTCCCGAATCACTGGGATTACCACACCCAGCTATCAAAAGTTCTTTTATGCTTCACGCTTTGCTGACAAATAAAGACTCATATCTCTTATATGATCTCTGGTTTTCCCAGCTAAGAGTGGATTTTAAACAAGACCTCTTAAATGTCATGTTCCTTCAATTGCACTTTTCTTCTCTAATATATCCCACCTCTGGTTTCTTTAGTATTTGAGCAAGATAAAGATCCAGCAGATTGAGAAGGACCGAGGTGAATGGGATAGTCTGACCCCAGAAGCCCGCCGAGAGAAAGAGGCTGGCCTGCAGATGTTTGGGCAGTTGGCACGTTTTCATAACATAATGTCCAATGAAACAATTGGTACACTTGCCTTCCTAACATCAGGTAAGGACACACAAAAAATGGAGTCATCAAGATCTGCTTCACTTGGGGGATCAGCCCACTTGAAACTAAGAATGTGCACTCTGTGATAGTATCCTCTATATTTGAGAGGGAAACAGATCACTAGGAAAGCTTCAAAAAGAAGATCAATGCCAGCTGGGCAAAGTAGCACACGCCTCTAATCCCATCTATTCAGGAGTCTCAGGCACAAGAATCACAAGTTTAAGGCCAACTCAGTTGAGCAAGATCCTGCCTCACAATAAACAATGAAAAGGGCTGGGGATGTAGCTCAGCAATAGAGGGCTTGCCTAGCATGTATAAAGCCCCTGGTCCATCCCCAACACTGCAAAATAAATAATATCTCATGGTGCAAACACAAACTGAAAAACTATGAAGTCTTTGAAAATGGTGTAAATCAATGTTATTCTATAAAACTTTCTGTGATGGTGGAAATGATCTATAATTCTGGGCTGCCCAGGGCTACACATAGCAGCCACACATGACTGTTGAACACTTGAAATTTGGCTAATATGACTGAGGAGTTGAACTTTTAATCTCATTTTATTTTTTTATTTTTTTAGAGAATTTTTTAATATTTTTTAGTTTTTGGCGGACACAACATCTTTGTTTGTATGTGGTGCTGAGGATCGAACCCTGGCTGCACGCATGCCAGGCAAGCACACTACCGCTTGAGCCACATCCCCAGCCCTTAATTTCATTTTAATTGATTTAAATTGTAAAAGTGGCAATGGTTGTTCAGTGGTAGAGCACTTTCCTAGCACGCATGATGCATTAGGTATGATCCTCAGCACCACATTAAAAATAAACAAAAGTGATTGTGTCCACCTATAACTAAAAATAGATAAATCAATTGTAAAAGTACATGTGGCCAGTTGGTACCCTATTGCATAGTACAGGAACCTCTCTTTACTAAAATGGTAAGATATCTCTGTAATAGTTATTGAAAAAGGTTACAGAGGGCTGGGGCTATAGCTCAGTGGCAGAGCACTTGCCTAGCATGTGTGAGGCACTGGGTTTGATCCTATATATACAATATACATTATAATCATTTTTCTCTTAAAGATGTATGTTATGTGTATAAATATGGACAAATAAACTAGGATATCTAGCAAAATGATAACAGTATCTCTATGTGGTAGTTTTTGTTTTCTTTTTTGTTTTTGATTTTGGCTTACCTACTACTTTGTGTAGTGAAAACATATCACTTATGTAATTTAAAAAATAGTAGCCCTCACAGGTCTCCAAAGAGTAAACAAGACATAAGTAAAAGATTATTAAATGGATTGAGTTTTCAGAAACTCTTGACTTTTTTTCCAGAGATCAAATCACTTTTCGTGCATCCTTTTCTGGCTGAGCGCATCATCTCTATGCTGAACTACTTCCTGCAGCACCTGGTTGGGCCCAAGATGGGTGCCTTAAAAGTCAAGGACTTCAGCGAATTTGACTTCAAACCCCAGCAGCTTGTATCAGATATCTGCACTATCTACTTAAATCTTGGGTACCTGAGATTGCAATTGGGCAAGCAGAAGGGATGCTGATGTTTTGATAGTAGAAGGACTGGTTGCTATTGCATGGAAGTGGAAAAGGAATGGTTACTTCTAGTTGGTTGATGAAGGAATCTTTATATTATTAACTGAGACTTTATGATTCATGGGATATTGTTGAGGATTTTCAACATTCTGCCTTGATCTGTACTAAGATAAACTTTGCTAATTGTACGGTTGTTTGGGAAATAGTATTCCTTTATGACCATGGAATACCTGATAGATATCCTATCTAGAAAATTAGAAGTCTTTCTACATTAAAAGTATATTATACGGAGGCTGGGGTTGTTGCTCAGTAATAGAGCTCTTGCCTAGTAAGTGTGAGGCTCTGAGTTCGATCCTCAGCACCACATAAAAATAAATAAATAAATAAAGATATTGTGTCCATCTACAACTAAAAAAATATTTTTTTAAAAAAGTACATTATAGGGGTGGGGATGTGGCTCTGTGGTAGAGTGCTTGCCTTGAAAGCATGAGGCCCTGGATTCAATCCCCAGGACCACAAAAAAAAAAAAAAGTGCATTATAAGATAAGTGATGAGAATGATTGTTCCATTTGTTCCATGCCCATCTGTTATCTTCCCATCAACCTACCCTCTAATGTTCAGTTTCTTTCTAATGCCAACTTTCCAGGGATGAGGAGAATTTCTGTGCCACTGTGCCCAAGGATGGACGTTCCTATTCCCCAACTCTCTTTGCACAGACAGTTCGAGTCCTGAAGAAAATAAATAAGCCTGGGAATATGATTGTGGCTTTTAGTAATCTGGCAGAGAAAATCAAGGTGAGGAGAGAATTTGTTTCCTCATATGCTCAATAAAAATCACATTGTCACTGGCATGGGGCTAAACACCTATAAAACCAGCTACATAAGAAGCTGAGGCATAAAGATCACAAGTTCCAGGCCAGCCTTGGAATTTAGTGAGACCCTGCCTCAAAATAAAATAAAAAGGACTGAAGATGTGGCTTCATGGTAGAGCACTTGCCTAGATCATTTGAGGCCCTGAGTTTAATCTCTAGTACCATACATACACTCAAAAAAGATCACTTTGACAGGGACTGGGGTTGTACCTCAGTAACAGAGCACTTACCTAGCATGTGTGAGCCCTAGGTTCAGTTCTCAGCACTGTAACAAAATGTTGATTGCAAAAATCACATTGCCAACTCAACTATGCTTAATTTTGCCCTATTTCAGGGAGAAAAAAGTTTGCCTTGAGAAACTAGAAATAGGTGATTTTTCTTTGTCAGTCAGTAACCAGAGCTTCCATCTTCTTATTTTGCCCAGTATGTATTCAGTAGGCTGAGGCAGGAGGATCACACATTCAAAGCCAGCCTCAGCAACTTAGTGAGGCCCTGTCCCAAAAAAAATAATAATAAAATGGGTTAGGGATATGGCTTAGTGGTTAAGCCATACTGGGTTCAATCCCCAATACCAAAAATATATACATTTGTTGTATATATTTTTTATATAACTATATATATATATATATATAGTGTGTGTGTATAATATATTTTATAACAATATATAGTATATATATATTATACTTTTTTTTTTTTTCTTTTTTTTGGTACTGGGATTAAACTCGGGGGCACTTGACCACTGAGACAAATCCCAGCCCTGTTTTGTATTTCATTTAGAGACAGGGTCTCACTGAGTTGCTTAGCGCTTCAACGTTGCTAAGGCTGGCTTTGAACTAGAGATCCTCCTGCCTCAGCATCCCAAATTGCTGGAATGATAGGCATACACCACCATGCCTGGCTGTAACATATATTTATATATTTTTATATGTGTGTGCGTATGTGTGTGTGTATATATATATACACACACATTTATAACGTGTGTATATAACATATATACATATACATATACATGACATATATCCAAAAAATTACTCTTTTTTCACCTAAGAACAAGAACAGAAATTAAAGAAACAACTTCTAAAAGAAAAGAATATACATTTTTGGAAGCTTTTTATGAAAACTTCCCAGAGTTACTAGTAGACTTGAAAATTTAGAATGTTAATGCAGAAGAACATTTTAGGATGAAATTCAAGATGCATAGTTTTCAGTAACTGATTTTTGTCTTTCTCTGTTCTCTACATATGTAGTTGGTAGGTAACTTACACTGAAATAGGCATACATTTTAAAGATTAAACTACTGCATTGTATTCACTTAGTCCCTTTGGTTGGAATATGACAGCTCCTTCAGAAATGGTTAAGAAGGAAAAATGGTGCAGAAGTCTAATAGAAAAACCTTTCTTATTGAGTTGGGTATGGTGGAGCATGCTTATAATCTGAGTAACTTCAAAGACTGAGGCAGAAAGATGTCAAGTCTAGGCATCTTAGCAAGACCCTGTCTCAAACAGGGCTGAGAATGTAGCTTAGTGGTAGATCACCTTTGGATTCAATCCCCAGTACTAAAAAGAAAGGGAGGGAGGGAAAAAGAAAAGAAAATCAATATTCTTACTGATGTAAGTTTCTTTTTTATGGAGTTAGATTTCATTCTTGGCCTAGAGCTTAGCCAGATGAATCTCTAAGGATTTAGGTATAGGGATCAAATGTTTAAGCTACTTTTAAATTCCTGTTTCTGTTTATATCAAAATCCATAAATTGTTTTTCACACACAGGCTGCGTGACTAACTCAAAAAGTAACCCTCCTTCCCATCCCCTTTTGATTATGGCATTTATAATAGAACTGTTGCCAGAAAGATGTTGTATATGGTATAGTTCTTTTCCTGCTAATACTTATACCTGTTTCTAGTCATGACTGCCAGCAGGTGACCCAACTTGCAAGTTCGGAGTTGGGGTGCAATATTAAATTTGCTTCTGAAATATCTATTTTGGCTGGTTTAAAAAATAACAATAAAGGGGCTGGGGATGTGGCTGAAGCGGTAGCGCCTTCGCCTGGCATGCGTGCGGCCCGGGTTCGATCCTCAGTACCACATACAGACAAAGATGTTGTGTCCGCCGATAACTAAAAAATAAATATTAAAATTCTCTGTGTCTCTCTCTCTCTCTCTCTCTTAAAAAAAAAAATAACAATAAAGGTAAGAGCTCAGGCATGATGGTACATACCTTAAAACTAAGAATTTAAAACTAAGAACTGGGCATGGTGGCACACATCTTAATCCCAGTAACTCGGGAGACCACGGCAGGAGGATTACAAGTTTTGAGGCCAGCATGGGCAATTTAGCCAGACCCTATCTCAAAATTAAAAATAAAAAGGGCTAGGGATATGACTCAGTAGTAAAGCACCCTTAGGCTCAATCTTCAGTACCAAAAATAATAATAATTAAAAATAATAAAGCTAAGGTTTGTCATTGCTGTCAAGATTTATTAATGACCAAGATTAAGTTATAGCCTTTTAGGGGCTGGGGATGTGGCTCAAGTGGTAGCACGCTCGCCTGGCATGCGTACGGCCCGGGTTCGATCCTCAGCACCACATACAAAGAAAGTTATAGCCTTTTAGCATTATGAATTCAGCTGTACTGTGAACACACTTTAACTAACAGGTATTGTGTTCTCAGTCTCTTGCAGACCTCCAACAACAAGAAGAGGAGACCTATGCAGATGCCTGTGATGAGTTCCTGGATCCTATCATGAGCACACTGATGTCTGACCCTGTGGTGCTGCCATCTTCCAGAGTCACTGTGGATAGGTCCACCATTGCCAGACATTTGCTCAGGTAGGTCATTCCCAAAAGCAGCCCCAGAAGCAGAGCTTATTTAAATTATAAAAAGTAAAAAACACAGGGCCAGGGTTGTGGTTCAGTGGTAGAGCACTTGCCTAGAATGCATGAGGCACTGGGTTAGATCTCCAGTACCACATAAAAATAAACAAATAAAATAAAGGTATTGTGTTCAGCTACAACTTAAAAAAAATTTTTTTTAAATATAAAAGACAAAGGTTTTATTTTTTGCTTTAATTCAGATTTTATACTATATGAGTTAACTCTGTTTCTCTCTTTGAACCCCACCCATGGGGTAGCTATGAATTTTCCCCAGTTCACTTGCTATTTGGATAGTTGCCTCCTAATATCTATAGAAAAGACAGGAATAAAGATAAATGGTAGCTTATTTGCTACCAAACACCTCCTTTTTTTTTTTTTTTCTTTTTCTTTTTGAGACAGGGTCTCACCATTTCACCCAAACTGGCCTCAAGCAGGAGTTCTGCCCTGCCTTAGCCTCCTTAGTAGCTGGAACTACATGTATACTCCATTGTCCTGTCAACCCCTTAACTTTTTTAAGTATAGCATTAAATAGAAATGAATATTGAAAGACTATTCATGTTTTACAGTTACGTAAGTTGACCGAGATTTAAGGCAGTTTTTAAATATCAAAAAAATAACTGGGTACTGTGGCACACAACTCTAATTCCAGCTACTTAAGAAGTTGAGTGCTTGGGTTGTGGCTCAGTGGGTAGAGCACTCGCCTAGCACATGTGAGGCCCTGGGTTCGATCCTCAGCACCACACAAAAATAAATAAATAAAGATATTGTGTCTGACTAAAAAATAAATATTTTAAAAAAAAAAGAAGTTGAGACAAAAGATCACAAGTTTCAAGGCCAGCCTCAGCAACTTAGCAAGACCCTGTCTCAAAAATAAGATTTAAGAAAAAAGGACTGGGGATATATCTCAGAGACAGAATATTACTAAGTTCAATCCCAAATACCACTAAAAGAAAAAAATAATAATAAAATGAATTTTATGCTTCATGGTATTAGGTATTAAGCTTTCCCTGTATGCATGATGCTATAGAAGGTGGTATGTCTTTTCTAAAGTGTCAGTGAAAGTTTTATTGTGTAGTTATCTCAGAATATAAACAGAAGATATATTAGCCCTTAATGTATGTCATGAATCTTTTGTTTTTTTATTTTTTGCATCTGTCACTAAAACTACAAATAGTTAGCCGAGCATGGTAGTATGCATCTGTAGACCCAGCTGTTAGGGAAGTTAAGGCAAGAGGATCATTTGAGGCCAACCTAGGCAACAGTGAGACCCCATCTCCAAAAAGGAAAAAAAAAAAAAACTACAAATAGTGTTTTACATTGACATGAATGTATAGGGTCTCTGTCTTAGAGAAGCTAAAGTCTGGTGACAGATGCAAAAAAATAGCATTTTTTAAGCCACTGGAATCAAAAGTCATCTGAACAAGCAGTGTTGAGATAGTTTGTTAAAAAGAAAAGAGACAACTCCTGAATCATTCTTTTTCTCATCTCACTCTTTCTAATCCCCAGGTCAATATTTGACTCATAGTTGCAATGAATGGTTAGCTTCAGTCAAAGTCCAAGTAAGATGCTTTATTTTTGGCTTAGGATGCTAGAACTCATAAAAATAACCCCCTTTCTCTCTCTCTCTGTCCCAGTGACCAAACAGATCCTTTTAACCGCAGTCCCCTCACCATGGATCAGATCCGGCCAAACACTGAACTAAAAGAAAAAATCCAACGGTGGCTTGCAGAGAGGAAACAACAGCAAAAGGAGCAACTTGAATAAATACTGTGAACTAAGCAAACCAAAAACCAACCCCAGAGTGTAGATAAACAATTGGTTTCTTTTTTTTTTTTAGTTCTGTTCCTTTCCTTTTTTTTTTCTTTCCTCCTTTTCTTTTTTCTTTTTTTTTTTTTATCTTCTTTATTAAATTTTAGAACTGCTTTTGCTCAAATTATGATAATTAAGATTTCTGAGAATTTGTCAGTGCTCCCCTGGCTTGCAGGAAATTATACTTCTTATAATCACCCAGTGATTATAAATCACTAATTTTCAGCCTTTTTTCTCTATTCCTATTTTTCCTACCTTATTAGTTCAACTGCTAAAACTTCCCTCCACTTTACTATTTTTCTCCCCAAGTACTGCCCAGACATTTTTAGTGAGCAGTACTTTGTAAGTCTGCAGTGTCACGTATTTCAATGACAGTTGATATAACCAGAAAATCCTGCATTATCCTGCAAATTTACTAGTCCTCATGATCTGGACTTAAGCCCTTATACTTGTTATAGCTCTATGATGTTACAAAACAACATTTCACATAAAAGCAGATACCTTGATGTTCGTGTTGACTTTTGAATAAGATGATAGATTTTTTTTTAAAAGGAATCTTATGCAACTTCTGTTGATAGCTCTTAATTTTGTGTTATCTTGTAACTCAAGATATTATCACAAACACACACTCTCTCATGGGGTTGTCACCACCAAAACTTCAGCCCTGCAGCCTTTTTATGAGGATTAATGATTGGGCAAACTTGCATTTTAGACACTTAAGTCAAAAAATTATGGGGTGAAGGGATTAATAAACTATTAGACCTTTTTTCTCTTATAAAAATCTATTGTTGGGGCTGGGGATGTGGCTCAAGCCGTAGCGCGCTCGCCTGGTATGCGTGCGGCCTGGGTTCGATCCTCAGCACCACATACACACAAAGATGTTGTGTCCGCCGAAAATTAAACAATAAAAAAAAATTATTTAAAAAAAAAAAAAAAAAAAAAAAAAAATCTATTGTTACAAAGACTAGACCTGATTAGAAGTTAGGCAACAAATATTGTAAACATGAAAAACATCATATAAGACACTAATATCAACAGTATATCTCACACATACATACATATCATGTACTTTTTTATATTGGTATAATATAAATTGAGTGCCACTTTCTGTTGTCTCTTCCATAGTAAGATATATGCAGTGTGTGGCCATGTTTACTCAGATACTCATTCTAGACAGGTGAAATTCTGAGACTATAAAATGTATATATTTAATGTTTGTTTGGGCTTGTGGCCTGGCCTCTAAGAGCTGCTTCTAACATAGCCTTGGGTCATCAATTAATAAAGTAGGAATTTGAGCAAAACCTTGTCCACAAGCCATTTAGTATCCACTTAGCCCCAAGTAGTTAGTAAGTGGAAGTACCCCACTTTTACAAGTTGGGCCTGAGTTCCCTACTTAATTGTGTAGCTTAACATGCCGAGTGAGGGACATTCCCCTATGGATTGTCTTTATATTAGTATTCATCTAAGCCCAGAGATATCATAAGGGACAAGAAAAGTGATACAATTTAGAAATAGGGATCATTGCTTTCTTTAGAGGACATCGTTAACTACGGCCTCTTTCAAATATGATAGTAGTTTTACAATATTCTAGCACAAGTTGCTATAAGGAGTCCTTGATGTGTTTTTGATAATCAGCTGGAAAACTCAAATCAGATTGGGCCTACCACCCATGATAGAAAATAGACGTCTATTGCTGCACTTATAAATGAAAAGGGAATCTGGGACACCTGCAAAATGCCAGAATGTAAGATTAATTCATTGTGTTCCCCAGGCCTTAAGGTGTGGGTTGATAGGACTTATAAAGTCAGTTTCATTTCATATTTATTTTCCTTATTTTTTTTCTCTGAGAGTGACCTGTGTATAAAATAAACTTCTACGTATATGTACTTGCATTATCTTCCGAATCCAATCTAATAGGATGTTTTCATTTTAAGAAGGAGGAAAAAACAGTTTTGTAGAATAAAGAGGAAAATGGGCACAAAACCTCAGAAGGCAGCTGTTTGCAGAAGCTTTCTAGCTAACAACCTCTATGCTGCCTCCAGTATCTGTTTTGTACTTTGCCTTCAGATTGTACGCCTTTTCTGGCAAGCTTTTTTTTTTTTTTTTTTTTTTTGTAATATATAAAACTCTTTTCCTGAGCCTCTTTATGAATAGCTGTGGCACCATTAATGCTGCTGAATATCTTTAAACTTATCACAAAAGCAAGTGTGTAGCTTAAGGACACTATTGGTAAGGAACCAAGTGTCCTCTGTGCCTTCTTTCTTTCTGTGAAGTAACTTAGGATGTCAAAAAAATTGAGACATTAAATAAGTTATCATCTTGGTACAATATGGTGCATATATGCATTTGGATATGTAAGGAGGTGCTTTGTCCGGAACTCAGCAGCAGTTCTAAATCTTTAAGAGTAGATATGTGACATACATAGTTTTATGTGTTGGCTTTGCTGGAGTATGATAGGAAAATGAAGACTCTAATCAGCTCTGGTATTGCTCATAACTTACCAAGAGGCTAATACTTTGGAAAATTATTTAAATAGGTTTTATCAAGCAGTTTTTTTTTTTTTAGTATAGTTTTTAATATGTGAAAGCTGAAGGAAATTAGAGGTATTTTAATGGTGCAGGTGAAGGCACCTGTTGCTGTTTGGGATCACACCCTACAAAAGCTTCATGACTTTATTTGATGCTGGTTTCTAAGCAGCCACTGTTCGGGGTATAAGTCTACTGGGTGCCTTTACAAGCCAGAGGCTGATGCTGCACTGTTGTCATGCAAGGAAATAATGTACATGCTCTAACAGCAAAACAGGAAAGGAACCTAGAAACAAAATGAAGAGCAAAACATCAAAATGGTTGACTAAAGTAAAACTTGATCAACATAACTATTTTGAAACATTCCAGGAAGGTTACTTCTTGTCCTACTTGCCTGGGGGTGATTGTTCAAACTTGTATTTAATAAATGAACACCTGACTTACAACCTTTGTTGTCATTTTATTATAGTATTAAAAGCTAGTGGCAGTTTCAGAAATACCTCAAAAATCTAGAGGACTCTAACTTACGCTGTTTTTTGGTAGGTATTATCAATATCAAATAATTTGTGACCTAGCTGACCTAACCCAATTCATTAGGCCTCTGGGGGGACCCTGGAGTTACTTCAGAAGATGAGTCTCAAAACGTTTTTTTCCCAATTAGCCCCTGTTTGGCTCCATTTTCTTTAGCTGGCCTAAACCTCAGGTCTTTCATTTTAATCATTTTCCACCATGTTCTCCTTTATTGACCCCTTTTTGTTCTATAACCCATCCATACAAGACCTCAGCCTAGATTAATCCGGCTGTTCCCCTCAGCCCAGTATCCAAGAAAGAGACCACTGTTGGATCAAAACCAACCCAATTTTTTTAGAGTGATGTAACCACAAACTTGTGGTCTTGAACATTTCCTGACAAACCTTCTGTGTGTCCTTAACTTAAACCTCTTTCCTCAAATTCTCTCACCCTACCCATTACCAGATGACATTGCTCTCTATTTCCCTGAGAACAGAAGACTTCAGAGTCTCCACTTTCACGCTCTTCTCCCATCACCCCAATCGGTAGGAAAGGTCCCACTGTTCCCAGGCTAATTCCTCCACCACCTTTCCTGCCTCAGGGCTCTTGTGAATTCCCCTCCTCTGTGTTCGGTTTTCTTGAGTTCCACATCCCGCTTTGATTTTCTGACTTGTATTCCCTTAAAGCCACATTTCTTCACCCAATCACTCTGGCTTCTAGCCTGTTTTTGAAACGGCTAGTTAACGTCAAAGATTTTCATATTGCTAAGTTAACCTTTTCTTTATCTCTTAACCATTTCATCAGTTTCACTTTTGCTCATGTTTCGCCTGGATAACTTCTGTTCATCTCATCAAATATCATTTCTTTTTTATATATTTATTTTTTAGTTGTAGTTGGACACGATATCTTTATTCCATTCATTAATTTTTTTATTTAATGCGGTGCTGAAGATCAAACCCAGCGCCTCACGCATGCTAGGTAAGCACTCTACCGCTGAGCTACAACTCCAGCTCTTTATTCCAGTCATACTCAACTATGAAGTTTCAACCACCCCTCAAGGATCTCTAAGATCCACACCATGCCTATCTAATACTGATGTTTCCCCGCTTGGCGTTTACACTGCTACCTCTTCGTTTCTGAACTCTGCACTCCCTAGGTATTCATCGATCTCATTCCCGGTGAAGGTAATACCTAACACACCCACACTTTCGTTAAATTTCAGAAAAGCCGGCATATGGTCGCGGTGGCAGACGCCTGTAATCCCAGCGGCTTGGGAGGCTGAGGCAGGAGGATCTCAAGTTCAAAGCCAGCCTCAGCAATAGCGACGCACCAAGCAATTCAATGAGACCCTATCTCTAAATAAAATACAAAATAGGGCTGGGGATGTGGCTCGGTGGTCGAGTGCCCCTGAGTTCAATCCCAGGCACCAAAAAAAAAAAAAAAAAAAAAAAAAAAGCCTGACATAAAGGAGCCCTCAATCAAAGGGATTTTGTCCCTCCTATCTGCACTGCACTGCTCCTTGTGACTAGTTAAAGAACTGAGGAAATTGGATTCCAATCTAGATACAAGACATTGACATTAGAAAACATCAATTAAAGAGGGGCCAAGTCCATGGGCTGGGGTTGTGGCTCAGTGGTAGAGTGCTCGCCTAGCATGCACTGGGTTCAATCCTTAGCACCACATAAAATAATAATAATAATAATAAAGATATTATGTCTACCTAAAATGTTAAAAAGGGGGGGGGGCTGAGTCTAGTGATTTGGTTTGTAGTGTGCTCGGCACCCAACTTTTTGCACTTTTTGTTTGGCCTTGGACTCTCTCTGCCTCTAAAACAGTGTAGATCTAGGAGCATTTTAACGATGGCTTCCAGCCTTGACAACCTCAGAGAAGCTCCCAGAGCACCCTAAGCAAAACTGTGCGGGTCAGCGCCAAAAAAAAAAAAAAAAAAAGCACAGACGCATGCGCACTTCCTCACCTCCCCGGCCTTCCGGGCCTCCGCGAGTGGCTGCCCCGAGAAATGCCTCTTTCTCTGAGGAATCCCATTATTTCCTATTTATCCTCTAGTGTCGTCTTTTCAAATCCACTTCCTGTCCGCGGCTGAAAAAAATAAATTGTCTGACTAGATTCCTCAAAGGCGCTAGGACATCTAAGTATCTTGAGCCGGCGCGGAAAAGGGCGGCCTGACATTGGAAGTGGCACAGGGTCCTGCAGTGAGTCCTTCCGGGGGGTGACATTCAGCCGGCCTTTGGGGCAACGGACCTTCTGCCCTAGAACCATGGCCCAGTTCGTGCGTAACCTCGCGGAGAAGGCCCCGGCGCTAGTGAACGGTGAGCGCGGTGTGAGGCTGCCGAGGCCGGTACACGGGCTACGGGGAGGCCCAGAGGTCCCGAGGGGAAGAAGGGGGCTGTGGTGACCTGAGGGAGCTGCAGGAACCGGGGCGGGACGGCCTGGCGGTGCAGGGAGCGGGTGGGAGGATTGTGACCCTCTGACCCTCATCTCCTCTGCTCCTCATCTCCTCTGCTCTGCATCTTGGGTTCTCTTTACCACCTAGAAGGAGCTGAATTCTAACCACGACAGTGAAGAGGGGTAGGGGGAAGGAAGCCTTGAGTACCTCCCGGCCGGCGCCATTACGCCCCTTTAGATCCCCCAGAACAGGGAGGCAGAGGGGATGGCTCTGTTAGAGATAGGAAGGGGAAGGGCAGAAACTTGAGAAAGTACATAAATTTGACCTCATCGGGTAGTCTTGTTCTCATTGGAGAGTATTGAAAAGTCAGTAGAAATGTCGAAGCAGGGATGAGCTTTGAACGGTGCCTTTGCCTTCTGCCCTGCTTTAACCCAAGGGAATTGTAGGCGAAATTGGACTTTATGGATGAGTGTCCCCGTCCCAATAAGCATTGAAAGGTTTTCGTATAAATAATATAATCTTTGTTATTATAGCTTAACATTCATGGAATTTTTTTCAGTTCGAAGAACCTCACTGTAGCCCGCTATATACCAGAACAGTCCCGAATATTCACAGCCCTGAGTAATAGTCTGTTCTGTGGGTAAACCTTCAGTTGTTTTCTGTAAGTTCTTCATTTTATTCGTAGAGTGAGATGAGCTAAATTGACGTTTCTTCATTAGTTGTGGTATATTGTAGTAAGTGGTTGAAGATCAAATTGCTAAATAGTTTTTATTCAAATTTAATCAAAATTGAATTGTGGCCAGAAAGCAGAATTCTGAAAAATACGTGCAATGTTTTTAAGCCTATTATGCTGTCTGATTTTCTTATTCATTCTCTCTTCACTTCATCACCAATGAGTCAATGAAAATCTTGCAGTGCCCAATAGTATATACTTGATTCTCTCTTCCTACAGTCTGTGTTCCCCACAGTCTATTGGTGAGACACGTTATACATTTTCCCATTTTATTTGCATTTTTTATATTACTGAGATCCTTGAATTATCTGTTTAAAAAGCTCTATACTTTTGTGTAAATAAAAAGAAAAATGCTTCAATCTTTGGACTTTGTGGATAATATAAGGCAAAACTTTTAATAATTTCAAATGGATTTTTTTCCTAGTGGCTTTCACATATTGGGAAATGAACTCGTTTCTGTGATAAAATTCAAAAGGAAAAGTATTAACAAAATAAATTTTTGTTATGAAATATATAATCCCTACTGGGCATGGTGTGCACGCCTGTAATCCCAGCAACTTGGAGGCTGAGGCTGGAGAATCACAAGGTTGAGGCCAGCTTTGGCAACTTACGAAGACCCTATATAACTCAGTGATAGAGTGCCCTGGGTTCAATCCCCAGTATCACAAAAGAAAAAGAAGTGTGTGTGTATGTGTGTGTGTGTGTGTGTGTGTGTTGTGTAAATCCTTTTCCTCTGTTATTGTGAACAATTGAAAGATAACTTCTTATTCTTCCAAAAGTACTCAGAAAGGAAGAATTCACTAGGCTCTGAATGTTGAAATGGAAATGTATCTTGCTTTATAGAATAGGCCTGTGTGTTAAATGTAATTCCAGGATCTAATTTAGGATATCACATTTAGTTGTTATGTCTTCCTAATCTCCTCTGATTTGTGACATTTCCAATTTTTTCCTCATCTTTCAAAAAACTTTGACTGTCTTGAGATGTCTGTCTATGTATCCTGAAGAATATCCCTCAATCTGGATTTATCTGCTGTTTCTCTCATGATTAGTCTGGAACTATGGATTTTGAGAAAGAATACCACAGAGATGAGATACCCTCAATCTATAGAAAGGTGTATTTATATAATATCACTTGTAATAGCTTTTATTCCTTGGTTTAGGTAGCATTTCATATATTCCTCCCCTGTAGAGTTATTATTTTCCCTTTCTATATCTTTGGGGTTTCCTGTGGTGGTAGTGGTTTTTTGTTTGTTTTTCAGTACTGGGAATTGAGCCCAGGGTTGTCTCCCCAGAGCTTCATCCCCAACCCTTTTTACTTTTTAATTTGAAGCAGGTCTCACTAAGTAGTCCAGGCTGGCTTTGAACTTGTGATCCAGGTCCTGCTTCAGCCTCCTGAGTATCATGTGCTACCTCATGCCTGGCACTAACTCCTACCTGATGTTTAGAAGCAAGTAACTATGTCTGGCCCCTGGGGTAGGAGGGTTTGCAGCCAGAAACCAGGGTGGTTGGATGGTCCATTTCCTGTAGGGGGGAATATCTGCAAATATTAAATGGAATTCTTCTATAAGAAAGATTTGTCTCTTCTTCGTTTATTTACTCAGTCACTTACTGTATTGGCTCATTTACATTTATTTCACACTTTGCCTATCCAATATTCTTTATTTTTTGCTCAAATTGGCCATTGAGAACTGTTTTAAGTTGGCATTTCTGTTCCTTTGATGTGCCCCCTTACTTTCTGAAGTTTCCAGTCTTTCCTCATCTTTCATGATCTTGACCCTGTTGGGGTGTCTATCTCTGTATCCTGAAGAATATCCCTCAGGATTTATCTGGTGTTTCAGACTCATCTTGGTTTTTTTTCTTGCTCAGCCTTAGTATTGGCCATTTCTCCAAGGAGCACTAGTTTTTTGTTTTGTTTTGTTGATAATGGAATTTAGAAACTAAGATTTGGTGTTGAGTTTGTTCCTTGCTACTAGACTATTAGCTTCTAGGGGCTGTCAGTGGACAAAGATACGTATACAAATCCATACGGGGCATGCATACCACCCATGTATTAAGGTGAACATGAGTTCACGTGGATGTTTGCAACTGTAATCCAGTAGCATGAGTTTTGATTTTGTTTATTTTGTGCTGGGGCTTGAACCCAGGACCTTACACATGCTGAGCACATGATGCTCTACCTCTGTATGCCACCAGCCCAAAATAACCTCTCAACTTTTTTTTTTTTTAACAGAGAAGATTTATTTATTTTTTTAAGAGAGAGAGAGAGAGAGAATCTTTAATATTTATTTTTTAGTTTTTGGCAGACACAACATCTTTGTTTGTATGTAGTGCTGAGGATCGAACCCGGGCCGCAAGCATGCCAGATGAGCGCGCTACTGCTTGAGTCACATCCCCAGCCCATAACCTCTCAACTTTATTGTGTTTTTTACTTTTTGTTTTCTTATATGAGATGGGATCTCACTTTGTTGCCTACCCTTGCTCTGAACTCTTGGGTTCAAGCAGCCCTCCTATCTCAGCCTCCAGAGTAGCTGGGACTACAGGCACACCTTACTGCCCCTGGCTATTCTTATTTCTTTTCTTGCTTATCACTGAGAAATCTGGTTCATACTATCCATCATTCATTTACTTATGTTTTGTTCATCCCTTGTATATTAACTTGTGCTCCTAAGAAACATTTACCAACTCAAATAGTATTTTATGTACAGTGTACTCCTCTTTTTGAAGAGAGGGATTTGCAGTGCTGGGATCAAACCCAGGGAATCATACATGCTAAACAAAGGGCTCTACCACTGAGCTGCATCCCCAGCCCCCAGTTATTTGGGTTTGTTTGGGTTTTTTGTTGTTGTTGTTGTTGTTGTTGTTTTTAAAGGACAAATATCTGTGTTGAAGGTAAGTTTAAAGATGGTTTGTTGACTATTTCATAAGACATTGTACTTTTTAATTGTCCCATTTGGTAGGTATTGGCAGTTCTCTTTAGAATAGTCTCTTAGTGTTTCATGTCTACCTAGTGTTACTACCTGGCCCCAAGCACAGGATAAGTAAGATGGTGATTCTTATTTTTTTTTCCTCTCTTTGGTACCAAGTATTGAACCCAAGGGTGCTTAAGCACTGTCTACATCTCCAGCCCTTTTGAGACAAGGTCTCATTGAGTTGCAGAAGCTGGCTTTAAACTTGTGATCCTCCTGCCTCAGCCTCCAAAACCGTTAGCATTACAGGTGTGTACCACTGCATCCAGCAGGGAGATAGTGATTCTAAGAATAGTAAAATATCCTGGGCCAGGGTTGTGGCTTAGTGGTAGAGTGCTTGCCTAACATGCATGAGGCACTGGGGGTTTGAACCCTGGCACTTCATAAAAAAAATAAAATAAATAAAATAAAGGTATTGTGTCCATCTACAGTTAAGGGGGAAAATAGTAAAATACTCAAATACAGGCATTTAATAGAAAAAACTCCAACAACCTTGGGTAACCCATCTTTAAATAATAGACATTTGGGGGCTGGGGTTGTGGCTCAGTGGTAGAGCATTTGCCTAGCATGTGCGAGGCCCTGGGTTCAATCCTCAGCACCACATTAAAAAAATAAATAAAATTAAGGTATTGTGTCCAACGAAAACTAAAAAAATAAATTAAAAAAAATAATAATGATAGACATTTTATGAATGTTCATGGATTTGTGTTTTGGTTTTTGTTTGTTTTTGTTTTGCACTGGGGCTCAAACCCAGGCTTCATGCAAGCACTCTTTGAGCTTACCTCCAACTTCTTGCTATTTTTATGTTCCTCTTATGATTTTATTATTTTATTTATTCATACTGAGAACCCAGGTGCGTTTTACAGTTGAACTATATCCCAGGCCCTTTTTATTTTGAGACAGGGTTTGGCTAAATTGCTAAAATCTCACTAAGTTTCTAAGGCTGGCCTTGAACTTGTGATCCTTCTACTTCATCTCTCAAGTTGCTGGAGTTATAGGCATGCATCACCCACATCTGGCTTGATTTTTTTTTTTTTTTCCTCCACCTTGCTGAAGTCACTAGTCTCACATCTTCCCAGTTTATTAAGTGTCTATTTTCTTGCCAGGCATGGTGGTGCACTCCTATAATCCCAGTGACTCAGGAGACTGAGGCAGGAAGACCACCAGTTCAAAGCCAGCCTCATCAATTTATCAAGGCCCTAAGCAACTTAAATCCTGTCTCATAATAAAGGGCTGGGGATATGGCTCAGTGGTAAAGTGCCCTTGGGTTCAATCCCTGGTATCAAATTAAAAAAAAAAAAAAATCTCTCTTCTTGAAATATTAATGCCTTGAAGAATTTGAGCTTAGTAATAGAGTCTAGTTTGGGCTGCTTTTAACAATACATGTAGGTTTTACTTTTATTAAAGGGAACAGCTGTGCCTTTGTTAGAGAAAGATTTAATCCAGCACATATTGATGAGGATACCAAAAATGGATACTAATTGGTATAATTCTGTCTAGATTTGTAGCCAATATTATGATAAATTTTAATCTTGTTCTTAAGGGTGCCATTCTGTGTAGGTCCTTCCTCCCCCCATTCCCCTTCTGGACCTCTTCCCTTGATTTTCTGATCTCTCTACCAATAAAATATGAATAAATTTCTGCTGTTTTCTTCTGTTTGAATACAAATGCTGGTACCTTTACAGTTAATTAGATTTGCCATTCATAAGTGAAGTAGCATACTAGCTGGCCACTAGTGAAATCCCAGCATAATTGAATGTGCTTATAGTTTCCTGCCTGATTGAACTTCCCTGTGACACAGGTGTTCTGCATCTTTAAAAGCCTCTTGTTACCAAGGAGCAGCTTTGACTTTTCACACCGGGTGCACATTTGGTACAAGCAGTGAATGAATGTGATGCATGAATAAATATTTGTGTCCAACCCACACATCTGCTTCTTTCGGTCTCTAGTGAGTTCATCCTGGTTTTTTTGTTTTGTTTTGTTTTGTTTTCCAGCTGCTGTGACTTACTCCAAGCCTCGATTGGCCACATTTTGGCATTATGCCAAGGTTGAGCTCGTTCCTCCAACCCCTGCTGAGATCCCTACAGCTATTCAGAGCCTGAAAAAAATAGTCAATAGTGCTCAAACTGGTAGCTTCAAACAGCTTACAGTTAAGGTAACTATGGGCTAAGTGAAAACGTATGTACATAACAGCAAATGTCTTCCCTTGGGATTTTTCTGATTGTTTTGATTAATATGTGTGTTTTCAATGAGACTGAATCCAACATAATGAGAGATAGTCTCTTTTTTTTTTTTTTTTGACTGCCAAGGAAGATATTTACTTTTCTAATTTTGTCATCTACATAGAAATAATTGGCTATTTTATTTCTTGGTTTTCCTAATAGTCTTATAACAGAAAAGTAAGCATTTTTTTAAAACTGGAAAACATCTTCCTTTCCAATTTTGGTTACTATACTAAATGATTGCTTACTTCCTGGTTTATACTTTTTTATTCATCTTTAGTCCTGGAATTGTCCCCAATTCGGCCACAATATCTCTTAAACTATATTAGTCAGCAAGCTAACCAAATCTGGGTTATCATATTAACATGAATATTAAATATCATAAAAATTAGAACTTAAATTTTATGTTTACTTAAATTTGCCATTCATAAGTCAAGTGAGCACAGGGTATAAAAAGCCTAAACAATAGTTATTGACTTTAGAATCTACATCCTGGAAGATATGGTTATTTATCAGAAGATTCTAATAACCTCTGGTCTAATTTTGTAGGGGAAAACTCATTTCTAGAAGTACTAAAAGGAAAAGGCTCAATTTTGTTATATAAAGGTATTTTTTTCAACCAGTTTCAAGGTCCATATTTGTACTTGTATGAAACATTGCTTTCTGGAACCATATGTATATATATTTTTTAGGGCAATAAAATGTTGATTTGTGAAACTGAGTACTGAATATTTCGAGTTAAACCAAATAATATGTGAATAAAAAGGAAATACAAATGGGAAAACAGTCCTTCATCTTTAAGCAGATTATCTTCAGCCAGGCAGAAATGTCTTTTCAGAGATTTGGCCTTCCTTTAGCCATCCTTTCATATCAATGCCCTATCTAAATGTGTCAGCTATTTCTGGATGTGGGTCGTTTTAGGGCCCATGAAGTGTCTCATAAACTAATAATGAAAGGGTTAAGTCAGTTCAGGTCTTTAAAGAATGCTTTGAAAGAATTTATAAGCTCTGGACTACTTAACTTACAAAATTTGAAAGTTCAGGGGTCCTCAGCAGTTAAGCAAAGTTAACATTATTAACTCTTGGCTTTGACTAAATTGCCCTCTAGTTTGAATAGTGTCCTTATATTCTATGTCACTTAGTCCTAGAAAATAATAGTCTTAAATATATAAAGAAAGGAAGGTACCTTAAAATTGGTGCTACTTTTTGGGTGAGGCTGTAGCTCAGTGGCAGAATGCTTGCCTAGCACATGTGAGGCACTGGGTTCATTCCTTAGCACCACATAAACAAATAAACAAAGGCATGCTGTCCATCTACAACTGCAAAAAAAAATTTTTGTACTACCTTTTTTTTTTCCAGGAAGCTGTGCTGAATGGTTTGGTGGCTACTGAAGTATGGATGTGGTTTTATATCGGAGAGATCATAGGCAAGCGTGGCATTGTTGGCTATAACGTTTGAAGACCTATCTTTAACATCTGATTATATTTGATTTATCATTTGAGTTTTCTTGGACCATATATGATCAGATTGCTATCTGAATAAAGATGTATCAGAATAAGATGTATCAGATATCAGTGTTTTTTCTGTCAAGTACTGTATAAAAGGTCATAGGTTTTTGTTGTTGTTTTGGGGGTTTGGGTTTGGGGGTTTTTTTGTCAAGGGAGTGGTACTGGTCATTGAACCCAGGAGGCACCCTACCACTGAGCTATATCCCCAATCCTTTTTATTTTTTGAACCAGGATTTTGCTAAATTTCTGAAGCTGACCTCAAACTTGTAATCCTCCTACCTCAACCTCCTGAGTCACTGGGATTACAGGTCTGAACCACTGTTACCCAGGACAGTTTTTCTTGATATTAAGTTTGATTGTTTAGGGGATATATTAATATAGCTCTAAATGCATGTCTAGGAGACTGGAGTTGTAGCTCTGTGGTAGAGCACTTGCCTAACACATGTGAGGCACTGGGTTTGGTTCTCAGCACCACACAAAAATGAATACAGGTATTGTGTTCATCTACAACTAAAAAATATAATAATAAATGCATGTCTGTTTATCCTGAAACTGGAAAATATGTCACTATACCAACCTGGTAGGTGAATATATGAGGATAATGTTTTTATAATATTTAAAATTGGTCACAGTGGCACACACCTCTAATCCCAGCAGTCTGGGAGGCTGAGGCAGGAGGATCACACGTTTGAGACCAGCCTCAGTAACTTAGCAAGGCCCTAAGCAACTTAGTGAGACCCTGTCTCAAAATTAAGAAGGATTGGGGATGTAGCTCAGTGGTAAAGCCTCCCTGGGCTACATCCCCAATACTAACAGAAAAAAAAAATTATATTTAAGCTTTCCAGAAAACTTGAGGGGAAAAGTCTTGAGAGAACTAGAACTTGCTATAGCAAAAGATATAGTAATACCATGTGCCAGAGTGATGTAGTTAAATCATATCGGTAAAAGCTGGACTTTAAACCTTAAAGTCCTTGGTTAGCTCATTGGCATGTTTCTAACCTTTAGTCCCAGCAACTTCAGAGCCTGAGGCAGGAGGGTCAGTTGAGCTCAAGAGTTTGAAGCCAACCTAGATAACATGATGAGAACCTGTCTTAAAAGAAGACACGTTAACAAAGAGAAAAATTGGATTGTTTGTCTTTGCTGTAATCATTGACCCATTTGACAACAGTTGTGTCTATAAATGTTGGGATACTTGTCTACTAAAGTATTTACTTTCCCAAAAAGAATAACAGTGGTGGTGGTTCTGAATATGAATGTTTGTAACATCTTTAACAGAAGTTCAGAGTAAATAAGAACCATGACCTATATTTTTAAGTATAATTTTCACGTGTATTGTTAATCTTTCTGGTTGTATGATTTTTAGAACTTATTTCAAAAGATCCCACAGATAATTAAACAAGTTTATAACTTAGCATCATCTATGGGTCTAAATAGTATATTGTGACTTGAAATAAATAGAAGTAATTGGTGTCAGTCTGTCTTGAGCCATTTTATTAAGGATATAGGAGATATATATAGTAGATAACTGATCATAGCCTTTGCCTGGGAACCTTAAAGTCCTTGGTTGGCTCATTGGCATGTTTCTAATCCTCTCCTACTCTTAACAGCCATAGCAAAACATGCAGTGCCAACTAATGATAACTAAAAAGTTGTTGCATATTTTTTGTGAAAGCAATATGGTTCACAGTATAGTATTAATCTTTTAATAGTGTTGAGGATCCATCTACAACTAAAAAAATAATTTAAAAAGAAAGTTTCCATAGAGGTTTCTACTCTTCTGAAAGTAATGCCCAACTTACTGCTTCTGCAATAAACACAGGTGATCAAAACTGAAACTAACCTTTTAAAAAGTATTCAGTAACTTAAAATATGCAGAACAGAAGATCACAGAAATACAACCATGATGATGATCTGTATTTCTGTTTCAGGTAGTGCAGAAGTATTAAACAGAAAAAGGTGTGAAATCCGCTAGCTCTCCTTATAACCTATAGAGGCCTAGTTGATTCATGATATATAATGTTACTTTTTTAAACCACATACTCACACCTGAAAGTCCTCAAAGTAAACGTTACTATTCACTTCACTGGTACTTCCTCCTCCTTTGCCCTACAGAGCTCCTCTGAGCTCCCTTGTGACTAATAGTGCATGTACAGAATTTTCTTAGGAGGTTAAAATAGCAGTGGGCTCCTTAAAGTAGCGACTTGACTTCACCAGGCTTGTTTCTTTTTGCCTTTATCAATTCCACATACCTTGTCTCCTAGTGGAGAACTGTTCAAGCAATCTTTCACTGGATGTGGGTGCCAAGTGTTTGTCACTGGCAACTTAAATATTATTTAACTCAGATGTTCAGTGTGCACCTCCTAATTCCAGGCACTATATAAGAAACATGAATAAGACTTACCTGTTTGCAGAGTTGAGTCTGGTGCTGTGGGGGATATGCTGTGAGGGATAGGCTAATCCAGATTTGAGAAGAAGGTTCAAGGGGGTTGTAGAGGGGATGGGTATCTAAAGTAAACCAGGAAAATAAGAGCCAAGAAAAATGGATCAAGGTATACTAGGCAGGTAGAACAGCCTTTACAAAAAATATTGCTGGCGCAGTGGCCCCACTTGTAATTCCAGTGGCTGGGGTGGCTGAGGCAGGAAGATCACAAGTTCAAAGCCAGCCTCAGCAACAGTGAGGCACTAAGCAATTCATTGAGACCCTGTCTCATAAAATACAAAAAAGGGCTGGGGATGCGGCTCAGTGGTTGAGCATCCCTGAGTTCAATCCCTGGTGCCCAAAAAATTTTTTAAAATAAAATATTAAGTCAGGCAGCACGCATTTGTAATCCCAGTTACTTGGGAGGCCTGGGCAACTTAGTGAAACTTTATCTCAATAAAAGGGTGGGGGTGTAGCTCAGTGGTAGAGCACTTTGCTAGTGTGCCTGAGACCCAGGTTCAATCCTCAGCACTGCAAACAATAAATATAATAAATATGTGTGTGTGTATATCTTAAGATATACATCTTAAGCACAGTTAAGAAAAAGCCATTAAAATGTGCAGTATGAGCTGGCAATTTCAATTCCACCTAACCCTAGGAAAGAAAATGCATGGGGTGAGTCAGGTGTGGTGGTGCATACCTGTAGTCCCAGCTGCCCAGAAGACTGAGGCAAGAAGATTACTCAAGCCCATGAGCCTGGGACCAGCCTAGCAAGACCTAGTCTCAAAAACAAAAAAAGCATGGGATGCACGTAAGAGTGTATGGTCCCCTGGGTGCGACAGCACATGTATGTAATTTCAGCGGCTCAGTAGGCTGAGGCGGGAGGATCGAAAGTTCGAAGCCAGCCTCAGTAAAAGCAAGGAACTAAGTAACTCAGTGAGACCCTGTCTCTAAATCTCTAAATAAAATACAAACTAGGGCTGGGGATGTGGGTCAAGTGCCCCTGCATTCAATCCTCGGTACCGCCCCACACACACAGAAAAAAAAGAGTGTATGGTCCTGTGTTTTTCTCAGTATATAAAACTATATAGTAGTAGGCATAAGGAGACAGAAGATTATAGTTACAAATAGTCACTATGATCAAGAAATATGATTCCTAAGGAAACCACTATCTAAAAAATAACAACATAAATGTTAATAAACAGCAAAGGCTTTTTGTTGAGGCTTTCATCATTTCAAGACTTAATAGTAAACTCTGGGGAGTATAATTCAGTGTGAGAGTGCTTGCCTAGCACACATGAGACCCTGGGTCTGATCACCAGCACCAAAAATATAGATGATAGGGCAGAAGTTAATGTGAAACTGTTCACATTGCATATTTAATCTTTTGTTGTATATATCTCCTCATTGTTCTCCTTGGATAACAGATTCTTTCTTTTGGCCTGTATTTCTAGTCCAATATGTTTTTGGTTTTTTTTTCAGTATTTCATATTGTATAGCTCTTTACATTTTTAAGACATATGCACTATCTCATTCAGTCAAATTTCCTCTGAAGCACATGGCATAAATGGTATACCCATTTAACAAGTCAGGAACTGAACAACAGAAATATTAATGATGTGGCTAGAACCCTGTGAGTAACAAGTGGTGGATGCACAAGTGGGGCCCAGATAATGAGCCCCTGTTGATTGTGTTCTTTACTCATGACTATTATTTGACCTCTCTGCTTTGTGTACAGTTCATTCTATATTATTTTTTCTCATTGCAGTCCTGTTTTGCTCTACTACCAAGTTACTTAAGTTTTGTGAGGTTTTTTTCATTTGTGGAACTGAGGATTGAAACCAGGGCCTTGTGCATACTAAGCAAGAGCTCTATCACTGAGCCACATCTCCAGCCCAAGATGTATTGTCCCTTTAGATATCAGCCTCTCTATTTTTTTCAGCTTCTTTTATTGGTGCATTATAGTTGTATAGTTGTTTGTAGTGATGGGAGCCTCCCTTATATGCATATTTTTGACATATACATGTATGTGACAATATACATACATATGACATATACATATGTATGACATACATATATATGACAATAGATATCTTATGTAAGATAATATATGGCTTTGTGAAGCTTCCTACTATTTCTTAATTAGTGTGGTTTTAATTTTCCCCAGCACATGAATTGATATGATTGTGATCACTCTTATGGTGAGTACAGTAACAGCTCTACCTAAGATAATACCTTAGCAGAAAATGTACACAAGACCTACTCATCAGACAAAAGTCCTCCATACATAAAACACTGCCATGCAGGGCCCTTGATGGACTGCCTTTGGCCTTAATCTCATTTTGTTACCAAACATTGTTTCAGCTACATAATTTCTAACCAGTCCCCATTAAAAAAAAAAAAAAAGTTTCATGTAATTAGACTGTATTCTCACTGGTCCTGATAGTTTTAGTTTTCTACCAATCACCAGGTCACGCCCCACTCCCATCCCCACTCTTTTTCTTGACAATTTTGTCTCCTGGTTTGTTCTCTATAATACTACCTCCATCTTAATCCTTGGTAATTTCAACATATACATAGGTCAATAGTTTCTGTGGTCCCTGAACCAGAGCAGCATCAGCATCACCAGGGATCTTA